GCTTGCTGAACAACATACTTCGGGGTAACCATCAGCATAGCGGGACATATATAAGATACTGCGCTGCTCGGGTCACCTTGTCACCTGGGCAATACTGCTGACAGGATCCCGTGGGGAAAAGCACCATAGGCTCAGGACGCTTCACCTAAAGAGCCTAGTTAAACATGTGGAGAAGGGCGGTATTATAGAAACGCATGATGATATTCCCGATATGGTCTGTGAACGGCTACTGTAAAGGGGTTTAAGAGAAAGGCAGTTTAAGAGAGCTAGGTAGGGTAAATAACTGCGGTTTATATACATGCTGAAATCTACCCCGTCCTGTAAGCCGCCAGATCCAAACACCGGATAGCTATGTCCAGAAATATGAGAGACTCCGTCCCATAACGCAACTTATGCAAAGCACCTATGAGCAGATCCGGAATAATACTTCAGACAATGGTCCGTACTTCAGATGAACATTGGTATTATTTTTTCTTCTTGCCACCCTGGGCGGCCTTTGCTTGGGCGGCTGCCCTTGCACGGGCTTCACGGATGCTTGCGCACGTGACGCACTCTTGACCAGGCAAGGAATAACGGTTCGGGTGGATTGGGCAGGGGACCATATGCCCATTTTTAACGCAAGTGGACGAAAAGGATTTTCGGCAATAACCACTGAATTTGTCAGATCTCAAACCAATATGGATACACCTTAGAGCACTTACCAGTGATGACCAGCCATGTTAAGATAAAGCAGGAGCAACGCTATTGGGCCGAAATATAATTTGTTCGGTCTTGGTGGCCTGGAGCTAGTTACCACAATATTTGAGTTTGGGTTTGGTATATATGAGTCGATTTGTTTCTTTAGAGGTATATTCTGGAATGTAGCAAGTGGGAGTATCCGAATGGTGGAAGGACTGTAAAATCGAAGCTAACAGAGAAATATGGGTTTAGAAGTTGGTGCTGATGGACTAGCCATATTAAATCAACCGGGAAAGTTCTTATCTTAAATAGTTCTCACACTTAACTTATATGAAAGTGTTCCCTTCTGGGAGGGATATGGATTGGCGCCCGTCTAATGCAACGGGGGGGGTGTTGGCGGCGTAGTGCATACCCCCAAATATCCAGACTTACTAAGTATTCGGGGTATTTTCTATAAAAAGGTGACTTATGAGCGCGCATATATGTGGTGAGCTATATAATTATTGAAAATGCAGATCTGGTTGGCTGAGGCAATCAGTCGTACGTGGGTTGTCATTGTTGCGGTTATAAATATCCATTTTAACTAAGTTTTACTATTAATTGCGGGAAAGCATTGCGACTAATGCACTACCCACGTTAATGGAGCCAACTGGAGCCAACGTCATGAATACCGCTGTAATCTTGATTGGTTGGAAAATCCCCTTGTTGCCATGTTATGGGAGTGATTTTTGTTGGATGGGATATTTGTGATCAGCTATTGATTACTCTTTTGGGTTGATGTCGGGATCCCTGTATAGCGCTATGGGGTGGGAGGTATAGATCCTAGGTGTGCTACAAGTACCTCTTATAGTTAAGGGGGGATTTGCACTAACTGATCCACAGTAAGTATCAGCAACGGACCATTATGTTGGAAAACAGCCGCTCTGATTAAATCATCATTTATGAGAGTGCACCTCTGTGATACAATATAACTATCGGAGCCGCCGGTGGTGGCGTCTCTATGTACGTGTACACACAGCCGAACAGCAACGGAATGCTGAACGCCCCAAGATACTATAGTGAAGGGATGATATCGGCCAGGAATGGGTGATAATCTCTAGGGCTGGTCTATTTATATACGTGTGGATGCGGCAAGGTGCCTAAGCGCCAGGGGTGGCATACGCCGTACGCCGGGTGGCCAAGCATGTGCCTTGCTTACGTAGGCCCAATTAGTCTGATTTGAGGCTATGGCCAGAAAGCCTTCTTAAAGCCCTCGTCTCCCCACATAACAACCAGCTTGTTTACTACTGTATCCAAAAAGTTGTTGGATTTTTTTTTTTGACTTGCAATATGTTGGATTCCGTTTGTGACACCCTTTCTCATGATGAGAACGATGAGCGTTCTGCTGTGTTTAATACGGTACTTGCCACTGTAAAATTGCACCATGTGCCACAACTTGCAATCCGTATACGCAATGAGAGGGAGCTCACCCAAGTTGATGCACTCACTCCTATCTACAACTGTCGCATTCTCCCTCAACCACTCTTCGGGTCTCATCACATACTCTTTCGGCTCGAATTCAACGATGGAGTTGGCTGGCTTCTCAAAGTCCCAGCCAATGGCTACCCCAATGCGTTCGACGAAATGTCTGCCCTTTCGCTGAGATCGGAAGCGTTAACGATGCGTTTACTCAAGCAAGAGACGGCGGTTCCCATTCCAGAAGTTTATCACTTTGAGGACTCCTGTGATAATAAGCTTTCTTGTCCATTTATTCTTATGGAATATATCGTCGGGCTCCCTTTATACGAAGTTTGGTTCAACCAACGTCTTACCCCGGATGATCTCAAGCGACACCGGCTTCAAACCCTTCGCGATATTGCACAAGCCATGGTACAACTAAACAAATATGTATTCTCTCAAGGCGGTGCGATACATTTTGATCAGGATGGCAAGCCGTCAGATATCGGGTCGTTTAGAAAAGTACATACAGAAGCAATGCTTGACGCTCCTCACACAAATGACGAATACGATGGTGCTATTATCTTTGAAACCGCTGGTCCTTTTACTTGCCCAAAATCATATTTCACATATATGCTCGAGAAACGAAAACCCCCCGCGAACGAAGACAAATATGGCCTAGGACTCTACAAATTACTACGACTGTTCATTGACTTGGCCTTTGTGGATATCGACGCTCAACAACAAGAGAAAGGATTTGTCCTGTCTCATCCTGATTTTGATATACAAAATATCATAGTCTCTGAGGATGGGAGGCTACATGGGTTGATTGACTGGGATGGTGTGGTTACTGTACCTAGATGCTTGGGAAATGAACGATACCCAAGCTGGTTAACCCGGGACTGGGACCCGATGAAGTACGCATACCAGGAAAACGCAACACCGGGGCCAGATAACCCTAATAACCATGAAAACTCGCCTAACGAACTCAACCATTACCGAGAAATATATCAAGGGATCATGGAGAATGTTTTGCAAGATAAATCGGTTAAGCGAAAAACGTCTAGATCACTGCTATTGGAAAATCTAGCTATCGCTGCTGACGACCCTGTTTCCTTTCACTCCATCGTTGAGAAAATTTTTGAGGAAGCTAAGGCGAAGACAGCTAAAGACGGCGATGACGATGACGACGATGACGACGATGACGATACATTCTATATCTATGAAGTGGCTACCGCATACGCAACCGGGGAACTAAGTGAATCTCATCGGAAGCGAGTCATTCGCGGATTTCAAGCTCTCTTATCATGAAATTCATTCTCTCGCTCGCTTATTTACTAGAATTATAGACCTTTGGCAATATTCACCCTGGTTCTTTTACATCGCTTTAGCTGAAAACTATCTGATCTAAATACGTAGGCATGGTCTCGAATAACGCACTTTTCCACTTTGAAAAGTTCAGGGAATGACCCCAGCTAGGCTTCGTATGGTCGCTTTTTGAAGGTAGCTTGCCTAACGTAATTTACTAAAACAGAATATGATCTTGCCGCCGGATGATGGCCATCGGGAGGTTTAATATATTGCCAAGAGAGTTGCTCGTTCAAGGACGCCATCAGGACCTTCCCGAAATCCCAACGCGCATGACCCGTTTGATGCCCAGTTAGTCTACGAATCAGCCTCTCGTTTGATGCAAGTTCCTGGTTCTGCACAGCATTATGTGACGGTTGATATGTCAATCGCTGCCGATATGCTGCGTTTGCACATGCTCAAGGAAAGAATCTCTTCAAAGCGAGCGTTAGTCTCGGCTAGAGTAAATACTGTACACTGAGTGGAGGTGAGGTGAAAACATGCCCAAAATCACCGGAAACGAGAGCGCAGAAGCTAGTGGAACCCTATCGACGGTGCTTCAAACGCTGGGATTTGCTTTCACGATACCGATGCAGATTCAGTTGTCCAACTCTGGCCATAGCCTCAAATCAGACTAATTGGGCCTACGTAAGCAAGGCACATGCTTGGTCTGAGATACGAGATATTTGATTGATTTGATTGGTCAGGTGGGTCTGGAGCAATCTATGAGATTTCAATCTATCAAGCACTGATCATCTAAATACACGATATTGAGCTCCTATTTATGTTCCTCATACGGCCATGTATCTTGCCATCGCGGAGATGCCAGCTACAGCTGAAACAGGCGTTAAAACGCCGGGCGTAGCATTTGTTCGATGATGGAGAGCTGACACTGATATTTAATGAAACGGCGTAGTTGACTAACGTGTTTCGTACGATCAGGCAGTATTACACCGAATCTCCGTTCAACATTTACCCAGCTCTCAATGGCAGGTGAAGCTCCACTCCCCTCTCTGATAGTTTTGGATATAACACCCATGTTGGGCCTGGGACAAGTTGGCTGGAATGATATTGACAAAATAGACACGAATATCTCTGCTCAATATTCGCCGGGCGTTTTCTAAGGAAACATGCACGGTGAGTATCCATAAGAGATAGTTTGTGGGTAGGATGTTGCCGCATTATATAGGCCAACCTTCTAGATTAGTAGATCGACTGAAGGCCGTTTTGTGGCAGTTTGACGCGAACTCTTGCACCACGTAGATCCAGAGGAGTTGATTCAGCGGATATTCACGCCTTCCAGCGAAGGATGCCGTTTTACCGCGTACATGTGCCTTACGATGTGTTATTTCCTGTCTCAGAGACGGAAAAAATTTCATTTCTATGTATATGTTGTTTTATTGGGACTCTAACTATAACTGATGAGCTGGTTTTGCTACCTTGTGAGTCCATGATCCAGCGGATGATTGACTGGCCAAAGAGGTGGATTCTTATAGAAAGGAGATTAAACTAAACATTTGTCTATCTCTATGTCTAGATTACCTCTTTGCAGGCCTCTCGTCACACGCCGGGCAGGGGCTTGGCCTCTTCTCCCCACGAACACGTCCACCTTCTTGTGTATCAGGATCCCCATTCAACCGCAGCCTCTCTTCGTCTGGCTCCAGAAACAAGAGAAGGCTATCAAGATGTTCTTCGGCCGACCCTTTAACACCTTTATATAGAGGTGACTTATAAGCTGCCTGGATGGTACTATTCTTCACCATTAATCGAAGAGCCCCCGTTGCCTCTGGTAGAGCCGCGAACCACCCAATCCCAGCGCAAAGCATTATGAGGTTTTGTAAGGCAGAAAAACGTTCGTCTTTCGGATTAGCCGGCTGTATCACTGCATTCGCTGACATGCGTTGGATCCCGGCGGCCAGGCTTCTGTGCTGTTTTCCCACCTCACCCTCCTGAAGGCTGTCATCTTTGAACTGGGGGATGCTTTGGAGATAGCTGTGCATAGCTAGATAATAATCGGTCGAGTTCTCTATGCGCTGGAGCTCCAGTCCCCAATCTTCCTCCCCCCACGATAGCATCTCCCCGAGGACTAGCCGCTGGTTCTCGATAACCGGGCTTTCCACGCACGAGAAAAGGAGTATAGCACATAGAAGGTAGAGCTATAGCACATAGAAGGTAGAGCTATAGCACATAGAAGGTAGAGCTGCTGGACATGAGGCCTCGACACCTACAACCTAGTAAGTACGCAAGCAAAATAGGAGATTCGGAGGGAACTTCTTACCGTAAGCAGCTTAGGACCTTGCTGAAGAGACTGCTCGATCTTAGAGGAGGTTGATTTCCCATCAGAGGTTTGGTGTGCTTGAAAGGAAGTCGCCATTACCGCGACAATTGTAAGTAGATGGCGGTTCCGGCTCAATTGGTCTAGTATTCATCATTTTTAGGGGAGTTGAGGCTATATATATATATACATACTTGAGGGTTATTTTATCTATACAGGTTGATGAAGCCAGCCATAGATCAGTAGGCACTACGGCCGATTTGGAACCGCAAGTGAAATGTAAGCCCCGAGCTAGCAAACTACCGATCCATTTATGCACTCTACATAGTTATACATCCCTGTCATGCTTGCAAGCGTTGCAAATGGAGCCCGACCCACTATCATATGCTTGCTGCAAGTCCCTGCACTAGCAGCTAAAAACCTTATCTTCGAGGATTCGCTTCCGCGGTCTCAAATCTATAGCGTGGGACGAGAGTTTCAATACAGGGCTTGACATCCACAAAGACAAATGGAACGATAAAATGTTCTTTTAGTAATTAAGTTCTTTGATCCGCCCCGATAAACAAATTGCATACATGTCCCTCTCATGGCCACACCACCCTAGTCATGACCCTATCCTCGGATAAGGTATATTCTTCAGCACCCTCAAAGTACCTCTCACAGCTGTATTCGAAAGGTAGGTCACCTAGACCGAGTCGACAGAGTAACCGTAGCTCGCCCTCGTTACCCATAGGTATTTTGACTTTTCTGTGCCGTCTTAGTAATAATTTGATATACAGGGAAGCGCCGACATTCATGTTCTGGAAATAGTCCAGTCGCCTTTCCAACACAAGACAGAAACTGTGTGATTCTTAGCAACCAATCTCGAAGGTCAGGTCCCCTCTAAACATACCAGAGAAAAACCAATTTATCATCCCTTTGCCAATTGGTTAACATATGTTATCTCGTCAACTTCGGTATTCGACACACACTTACCGGTGTAATTGGACAAGAGTAACCACTCCCAAACCTACTTGTTTGAAGAAATTTCGGTCCCTCCCATGAAGGCCCATAAAGGAATCGATACCCGACCTCAATTTGGCCCCATCGCTCCCGAAAACACCCCACATTACTTGGCAAGGCTCTATGGCTAACTTGCTCAAATATCTATACTTGTATAGGAAACGAGTCTACCCCACATACACCTTAGCGACGGCATAGACGATGCATTGTGAGAACACTCACCACAGAACCGGAAGCCAGATATTCCAGTATTCCTCCCTGAAATGGGGGTGGGCTGACCACCTGATAGGCCCGAGGATCGGTGGTTGGTCTATCGAAATGCCACTCTAGGGGAGGCAGCGTTGGATAACCGGGGAGCAAACGTTGGCCGTTGGCGCCGGAGGAATCGCCGCATTCTGTCATCATCTGTGTCATTCCGCCAGCAGCCTTTATGGTGGTAAAGAAAAGTGAGCTTTTTGCGAGTTCTCGGTGAGTAACCACAGGCATTATATAACCACATAGGCAAGACTCCCCGGAGCAGCCCCCGAGACGAGATTCCGCAACCCAATATTAAACGGCATCAGTGTACCCCTGGCCGCCGTAATCCTGAAAATCCACCTTAGCATAGTATTTTTACAACAACCAGGGGTTACCCCTACTAGATCTCAAAGCTAGGAGATCCATAATGTATTTCGTTCTGCACTGGGGTAAACATAGACCGATTTGCAGGGCTGTCCGGCGGGAGTTGGAGTCTGAATTAGCAAGTGAACTTCACGGGCTCTATCAAAAGGATCTTCATATCGAGCCACCTGCAGAAGCAAGGAACTATATCACGGTGTGATCCCGAGCACGATGTGCCTTTGGCGTATTTGCATTTTGCCGTGGCTTTTTATGCAGCCCTGGGCCGTTCACTCCATCATATTGCACACGGAGGGGCCTAGACCAGGGGAGTACCCCGGAATCCCCTCTCCCAGGAGGCTGGAGCTTGCTGTTGCAGTCCCTAGTTGCCTGCTGGTATCCTTTGATGGTAGATGTGGTCTAGCAGAGACTATCATGTCTCGATACTCTAGAATGGGATATAAAGACCGTAAAGAGACCGTGCTGTTCCTAGCCGTTGCCGTTCTTCACCCAACCCACCACCGTCTTGATCAAGCTAACTTAACTTATGATCCAAAAACCCACTCCTTTGGGGGACTCCCGCGGAGCGTACGATACCACCGGTGTACCCAAGCCTCAACCACCGCCGAACGATGAGCCAGCCAAAGACCGTGCGGATTCATGTCCATAATTACGACCACCCATCCTCCCCGCCTTGCAGGCTCCTAGACCGCGACAGTTCTCCGTTCAGAGATTCAGACAATACAGACGGTGGGCTCAGCCAATTATTTAATGGTGTAGCCGTGAAAAAGCCGCTAGACCCAAGAGACGTGCGCAAAGCCTTCGTCAATCGTGAAATGGTTAAGGAGGTGCGTCGAGCTTTGTGCAATGAGCGGCAGTTCAACAGCAGGTGTATTTGTCGAAAACCAGGGTGTAAGAGAAGGAGTATCAGGCCTTCAAGGTGCCCAGGGGACTCGGATGTTTGTGTCGAAGATGATTGCTTGTTTGACCTGGGGTTCTCAGTGTGGTAGTGGCTGGAGGACTAGCAGGACGTTTGGAATATGTGGATTTGTTACATGTTGCGATATTGAATTGCAGCCGCTTCGCAAGATTTGGGTGAGGCGCTTGAAAGACAAAACTACAATACGTGAGGATAGTTGAGCGGAGAAACGGGGAGCTGGTGGTCTTAATATAGACAAATGTATGATAGCAGTGCTATGAAAGAAATGTTAAGGGGCTACTGGATTAACGGAGTATTTAACCGCCATAAGTTAAAGAGCAAGGCAGATGGATGCCTTCCGTATTATATAATACAGAATAAGGTTATTGTGCAACTCAATGTCCCGAAATAGAACTGACGTAACTGTAACATTCGTTAACTATCGTGCGTCACGGCCTTTTCCAAAATAAGATTTACCCAGCCATTTATCCAACCAATTCTCCTGAGTGCTCTCAAAGTCCATGAAAGAACCGACGGGATGAAACGAGTGTACCTCGCTGCTTCTGGTCTTTTCATCATATTCGACCGGGGGGCTATTCCGTCCGTCGGCAACTGCATTTGGTAGGTTCGCTCCACGATGTCTATCTTGGGTGGAGGTTCCCACTTCCATGGATCGACGTGGGTAGCCAAAGTATGCTTCGTCCATTGCTGGTGTGGTTTCGCCATTGGGTCTTGGTGTGGGGTCAACAGCCTTTGCCAAGACGTGATTGTGCGGCCCGGGCCAGGTGGGCTTAGCGCGTCTAGCGTGGATCGATGGGGCGTATGGGCAACTGCCCACCACCCATGCAGGGGAAGGACGTGCAACTTGTGGGTGAGCAAGTGTAAGATTGTGGGAGCCGGTCGAAGGGTGTGGCTGGGGGTGGATTATGGCAGCCATGGGCCCTGGGGAGCTGTATGGCTGCGTAGGAAGGGGCTGCTTTCCCTGCCAGATCTCGTCCGGCTCAGGAAGGGGGCGCCAGCATCGAGCTATCCAGGGGGGAAGAGCGAATACGACCATGATGTGGAGAAAGCTGAGAGAGTTGCAAACCATCAGGCTGAGCATGGGTGTGAAATAAGGCAGAAAAGGCGTCCAAGACACAGGAGCGGTGAGCTTTCTTTATAGACACCTGTCTCCGAAATCATTCAAATTATGGGGTATGCACAATCCAGGCCCCTTCTCTGCACGTTCCGAATATGGAGTAGTGGGAAGAGCGGATTGGAAGTTGGAGCGCGAACGTCGCATTGGCAGTCGGCGGGTCAAGGACGGGCCCTTCCGACGCTAACCAAAAATCGAGAACTTCTTTCCTCGAGGAAAGAAGTTCTCGATTTTTGGTTAGCGTCGCGCCGATCTGCAGAAAGTCGTTGCCCACAGCTAATTTTATCATGTTCACTCATCCTCACCACGCCAACCCCATACACCAACCCATACAATGGGTGCCATGGAGAGCAAGCAGCTTGCGGAGCGAGTAATCATAGCCTGCGAACAGGTTGATGGAAATGGTCATATTGACAGACTTCTTCTTGAGGATGAGACTGTGAGTTTGCACCAGAGCTTCAAGTTTCTGATTCTAATTCCCCCTAGTTTTCAGAGCGGCTTGGGAGCCTTTCTATTCCGGTGTCGCTACGGCAGCTTATTACAGGCCATACGGCGCGGAAACGTAAAGACTATGGTGGAAAGGATATTACAGAGCATCCAGCTTTTGGGAGATTGTGGGAAACCCCTCCGCGGCGGCTTCATCCAACGGTTCAACGTGCTCTTTACGATGGGCAAAGGGACCCATCAACGTTCTTCAAAGGCAGTTCAAACGCCCTTACTCAACGGAGCTCGGCCGCTTACCTTGATTATGTGTACGAACTCGACCGAAACCGCCAAATCGACAGCGTTCGATGGAGACTTTCCCTAATACCCATATTGGATTTGTTTCGAAGATTCAATCGTACGAATGTGGACGCGGCGACCTGCGATGACCTTATCACCATTATCACCCAGTCCGGTCTCGCCTTTCAACACGAAGACAAAATACGTGAGCGACTGCCGGATTGGGTTCGGAAATCCAGGAGGTACAACACCTTGGCAACGGCAGTAGGACTGGGTGGTATTTGTGTTCTTCCCGAGGAACCGGGTGATACAATGTAAGTGGCAATCGCCTTAAGATATCAACGACATTCCTCTAATCAAGGCAGGTGGGAGAAAACCCTCCCGTTGAAAGGACCTGTGCACGATGCTTGTTTGAACCTCTTGTTAGACTGTGGTATTAAGGACTTTGCGTCCGAGAGCTTGACCGAGGACGACGGGGACGTCACTACTAACACGGCCGCGGAGACAATAGTAAATCATTTGCGTACGACTTTTTGCAGAACCGCGTATCTCGAGACGGACAAGCGACCCTGTCCGGCGAATAACGGCGGCCAGCGTCGAGTTTCGCAGCGAAGGAGATTGAGTGGAAATGGGGGAGGTAACGAACACGCCGGCCATGGCGCAGTACATGCCGAAGGGAACTCTGTGAATGATCCTCGTGCTTCTTCGGCTACGGAAACGAGCACCTCCACGCAGGGAGGAGAACCGAACGATGCAGGCCGAGAGCTGCAGGCAGATTCACGGTTGGGACCTACGCATCAAGGTAGTGTAACACTCTTGCCCAGAGACAGAGCTATGCTGAGTGTGTAAAGAAGTTGAAGGGGCAGGCGGACAGACGAGCAGCGTGTCCAGATCGATGCAAGACCAGGCGCCGAGAGATAGATACAGGGGCGGAGGTCCTGGTAGGCCAAGGTCGGTCAACGGACACCATCCAAACAACCCATCTCCGTGGACGAACTCCGAGCAGCCTAACCAGGCAATGGTTGAGCCCGGGTGTTCACCTGACCTTGCCACAAACAACGGCATCAGGCTCCATCAATCGAGCAGTGACATGCCGAGAGGTCATGAAATGGCTTCCGAATGGTTTCAGGAGCACGACATTCGGGATGCGGATGCAACCGTTGCCCTCTCTCGACGCCAGAGCGTCTGTGTGCGACCAGATGCCTCATCTCGCACGACAGAACCTGCCGTCTTTCCAGACGAACTGAGACCTGGTATGACCCAAGCCTATTGCAGTCGTCGCGGACTAACTAGTGGTAGATAATGAGACGAGGGACGAATCGTTCGGTCAGCGAGGGGCGAAACGTCGGCGCCCAAATAACGTGATGGGCGATCACAGTGGGACACCAAGTCAACATGGGCCGATACATCAGGTACAAGGTCAGGCGGAGGACGCTATGGCTGCAAATAATTTGGCAGCAGTTCAGACATACGGGACGACTTACAATGAGTATCCTAGCACCGGCCACGATAACAATCAACTCGCTGTGGACTCCAGAAAAAGTTTACCAAGCTCAACAGAGCCGGGCAGACGAGCCAGCCATGATCTCAATGGGCAACATTCATATAATCCCGCGGAAGTCTTCAACCAAGGGATAGTCGCACCTAGTGGTAAGTCCTTATATCAATTGTTCGTTGTCGTTCGCTTATAGTTCATAGTTCGGCGAACCGTAACCGCCCGTCAAATAGCGCCGAGACGTACAGTCGCCATCGAAGCTCTCCTAAATACAAATGAAGAAGTAGCCGCATTTTTAAGCAATACTCTGGAGAACACGGGTAGCTCGGCCACCCCTGCTTCCCAGCCCCGCCCGCATCCGGATGATAATACTAATGGAACCGATCTGCACGTAGAGGACGGCATTATCCAGAACGGTGAGCACCTCCCCTAGAAAGATTCTGTTAAATAGCTAACAATTTCTTATGCAAATAGGTACGGCCGGACATCCGGCGGGCACCGGAGGTTCCCTAGCTCACCTATCTACAGGTAGTTACATGTGGGAAAGACTTCACCCGTCTTTTAACCCGTCAAATTACTATGGGCAAGTCCCACAGACAATTTCACCGGCCGCTTCTTTTGATCCGTCTGGCTTCTATGAGGCATTGCAAACATTTCAATATGATAATTTACCACTTCACTTCAATCCATCGGGGTATTATGAGCAGAACATGGAAGGCGAGGTTCCTGCGATGTCATTCAATCCATCAAGCGTGGGTTTAGAACACCACCCTTCTGATCATCAGGCACTGCTGTAAGTAGCAATCCCGCGTTAGATAGCTAAGAATCTTATATTACAAAAAAACATGTTTCACGTGAAGAATGAAATTTACCTGTTGGGTAACTTTCCCACGAAAAGACACGCTAAAGTCGGAATGATGTCCACTGGCTCTTCATGGAAGATGTACGTTCCATCTGTGGGACTACCTCCAGGAACCAAACAAGCTGTCTCTGAAATGACTATAGGAATGATATATTCTGGGCCTGTCTTATTATGGACAGTTATTCGTGTGCAGATCTTCCAGGCTGTATATCCTAGACCCTAAAACTATTATGTTAGAACGTTCACTCGTGCAAGGGCGGCTTTACATACACCCATTTCAAGGTGTTTAAGAAGCGGCGCAACATAGGCGTTGAGACTCTGATTTGAATATTTCACGTTGCCGTTGCTCTCCGTCGGTCCCGCGTCAATCACACCATCCAAAAACGCTTGCTGCAGAATCTTCATCAGCCCTCTGCCGACCTCATCAAGATGATGGGTAGTGGGAGCCATTGTCTCGATAATAAACTGAATAAGTCTGACGCCAGAGAAAGAGTGTTACTTCCTAATTTATAAGAATGAAGAGGAAGAAGAATTCTCCCTTACCCCACTGCTCATCTATCGAACAGAGGGGCCACCTGTGTCATGTGAAAAAATATTTACGTCACAGAAAAATTCTCGACAGGCAGTGGGCGGGGAAGGGAAACAAGCGGTTCTAATCAATCAACCCATTTGTTTCCTCGGCCTCTTGGCAGAATGTTGGTTAGCTAATAATAGTTTTGGCATGTCGCCTATAGTCCACCCCCGGCTGCTTCATATTATTCCAATCGTTCTCTTTTAACCGCTTTAACGACATACCCTGCACTGGCTTTGACGCCACATCAACTGGAGTCTCTATATGAATGCGGTTATAGCATCAAAGATGTAACTTCACACTTCCCCTGAATCAGCCCCTTTGCTGTGAGTGTGAGCTATGCACTGGCGCAGTGGCATTCCAATAGGAAGTATAAATGCCGCTGCAGGTTCCCAAGATGGATCCTCTGCTCTATACTCGTCTCAACGGCACTTTCAATCTATGTACAATGTGGCCCCAATCGCCAGACCACGTTTCTTTTCCCTCTGACCGCCATGAATCGGACATGGATGATATTCTCTCCACGGCATCCGGCGAATCTACACTCGTTGAAAATACTGAGGTTATTCGAATTCTTCTAGCGGACCAACCATTTGTCTTGTATGATGATCCTTTGGACACGCAAGATATAGTAGTGATCCGATCCGCCCAATTTCGAAACTTTCTCGCGAAAGAAGAACAGCACTAGCAATTAACTGTGAACGTTCCGTGGCTAGTTGCAGTTTTAGTAAAGCACAAGGAACTCTGGCCGGGTGCCTATGTCCCACTACAGCTGCTTAGCCTGCGCAGAGTTATGACGATGGGCGATATGGGCCGTGAATCAGACAAAAACTGGCGGAGGCGCTACGGCGAGTGCCTCATCGCTGGTAGCCTGACGAAGGACGGAGAGATCCAGCTAGACGACAAAAAAAGGTTCACTAGCCACGGGACCTTCTACAAGAGCCGGCTTGATCATGCAGATATGCCTTCAGCCGGTGAGCCCGGGATATATAAGCTCAATTTTACGGTCTTCGCAGCCGTTGGTGCGTTCAAAAGGGTGGCATATCTATCCAGTGAGGAAATACATCATCCGGAGGAACAGGGAATCCATCTATATGCCTCTCAGGTTAAAAATCGGGTAGGATTTGCGGGACACACTGGCAGAACATGCAACCATTGCGGGTGTGGCTGGGGATGTGGAAAAGAAAATGTTCGACTATGGTCGGAACACTCACTCCTTGATAGGGCGCTAAGGCCAAGTGAATCGAGTGATCCGGTTCTAGGAGATGTTTCCAAACAAATTCGCCCACACGGAAGAAAGAGGGCAGGAACAAGCCAGGGCGGTGTAAAGGAGAAGTGCCAGAGACTGTAGATATGGCCTATTTGTAAATACCGGTCAATAGATCCACATTTAGCTGCAAATTTATGTACCTTGATTGTTGATACAGAATATTACACCTAGGCAGCGAGGCCAACCGATGATTCTGCTTCCGTATATTGCTGTTTGTTAACTGTAAGGAACAGCGGGCAGGAGTGGTCCGCGAAATCAGCCAGAGTGAAGACGCAAGGCAGCACTTAGTCCAAGTATAAATAAATAGCTTGCGGATGCCTCACCTTTACGCGCTAATTAACGCAAGCAATGCCGTCGGGGTACTCGTATCCATCAGGGTAAACGCCATGGTCAACCATATTCTTGCTCAAAGTTCCGGTTATAGGCTGTAGTGCTTGTAGTCTTCGTGGTCTTATTGTTGCTACTGTCTGTATGAGACCCTGCACGTCGCTTCCGGCTGCGTGAACGTGAAGTGTTTGTACTCATTGGTTGATGAAATGAAATATGAGGATCTGGAAACTGAGCTAAGGTGTTAGCATAGAACCACCATGTCGCATGAATTACATACATTCCGAAGGTCAGACAGGTCAGGCCCGCCCTGTCTAGAGAGCCTTTTGATCTTACTCAGGCTCTCAGGCCTGTAATTGATTAGGGGGTCGGGGGCAAGTGTCTGGTAACGACGCTTAAGACTCGCGTGTAACTGTCGAGTGAGCGCCTAGTGGGGGGTAAATGTTGACTCTAGTGCACTGCCAGAAGGCCTGTTTCGTCGATCCAACTCCTCGAGAGCGTCCCTCGTTAACCAAATCATCGACAAATTATCCCAATATGCTGAAGTTGGCTGGCCTAGCTTCAGCCTTTTCGATGGATGTCCGTCAAGATATTCCCCAGGCTCTTGTCGTTTGCGAGATGATCTCGAGGCGTCTGGGTAAGGCATATGGCACAGAGACTGTAGGTGTTTTGGTTCCAAATATGAAGTGAGAACGGCAATTCATATACCAGTGTCTGTTTCATGTCACCCTTTGGCCCGTGCTCCTGTTGGATATGAGTCTGTCGCCCCACAACAAGAGAAGTAGCTCGCAGGGGTTTTTGGAGGAGAAGAAGGTTCACCATCGGGTAAAGATGAGATTACGAGTAGGAATTTATGGGAGATGCATCATCAAGGGAGGAGTGGTTGCCTAGTTTACACGTGATTTTCTGAAGTGGTTTTCATACTTTGCTCATCTTTTTGTGGAAAAAGACCAAGCCTCGCAGCCTTGAACGGTTAATCAAACAGGTGCAGTTAGTTAACGAAGCTATCTGGCTTTAGGAAGCGTCCAAAAATATTTCAATCTTCTTATCTATCCCACATATCCCATTAAAACCACTCTTAGACGGCGGTATCTGCGTCCATAGCACTGCGATTGCCTTCACTTTTCTTCGGGCCTCTCTCTAAGTAGTTGATTCTGCCCAGCGCATTGGCGCCTAATGTTTGATCGGACTATCTTTTAACCGAGTTGGGAAGAAACCATGCTAATGTGACCATATGTGGCGTCACCCCACCTTATCTTCCGATAAAAGTTGATACTCGGACTGATATATAAGTGCATAATAACGCTCCTCAATTACTTTCTATTGCTTGCTCTAAAGTCTTTTGTTGTTTGATCGATGTTAGAAATTTTTACAACAAATGCCCTATTCTACATTAAACTATTCAAACAACTGTTCATTCCTGGACTCTATCTAGCCTGATCGGGTCCGCGGCTTTCTTGACCTCGCTGAAAGATAAAGTACGGGATTCGGGCCACAAAAGAGATAGCATTGAACATCTTCAGCCGCCATCTTTCTTGTTCTTCACCGCCTTACTCGATATCCGGATATTGCGCCTGAGCATAGCAGTCGATCAAACGTTTAGACAGTATCTATCCCTACAAACTACAGTGGTGCAGCGAAGGGGAGCCTTTGATGGTAAGTCCCTTTAGCCGTGAATATTCCTATCTAATATCCCATTAGGCTTTCGAAGAGAAAGTCCTCGATTCGAACATAAACTTCGATAATGTCGAGGAGAACCGCGTTAAAATGATCCCAGGCAGAGGGCAGATGGTATACTGGAAAGGGTGCAATGTGACCGTCCTTGAGAAGGACAGCGAAGGGACGGAGAGGTTTAGGAAGTTAGTTGACATGCCTAACGGGCAGGGCCGGGTTGAATCCGGTATTAAGTTGTACATCACAGACGGAAAAGTGAAGGAAGGATAGAAAGGCATACAAAGGTTATATGCTAGGTATATAACTTGTTTTGTATTTTAACGCCTCCGTCTAAGCCAAGAGCTAAGTTGATAATAGCCCCGTCCCTTGTGAGTATCATTGACACGCACTCTGTTACACGCATCCCCTCCGCTAGTTCCTTCCTGCGCATCGGGCTTTCGGTGACCGCTTCATGTATCTCAGGGCCAAATACGTTAAGGATGGCTTCATTGAGGACGCCCTTCAGAGTAGCTTCGGAATTAGGGATGATGAGAGTGACGCCTTCGTTAAAGACAACGTGCCGAGCTTGATTCACCCATTTCAATTTTGCATTAAAGAGAGCCATCACCAGCCATTCCACACTCCATTCGTTGACTTCCAGGCTCATAAGACAATCAATTGTTCCTGCCCAGATAGGGAACACCGTTGTCACGGCAGCTTTCGATTCATCTTGGACTGTGAGTCTTCTGATTGCAGAGCTCATATCTTGATTAAAAACTTCCGCAACCCCTTGCAACGAAGCATTTTCGAATACTCGCTGTTCCGGTGCTGGGGGGAAGTTCAGATCGTTCAATGAGGCTTCAGATGCCAGCTCAAATTGTGGGTTGTTGCGAGAAATATCACTTGTGGAATCGGCGGTCCCCGATGCGTGATGGGGTTCATCAGGGTTTTGTGAAGTATTCGCCGTTGGAGGGGATACTGGTCCTGTATGAGCATCTTGAATGGCAAGTGGGTTGTTCCATGGGCCTTGGTTATTGAGAGGCTCTGTATATCCAATTCCTTCGTCCTTACAGATTGCCTCCGCATATACTGCCAATCTTTTTGGGTGATCGACACTAGACCACCAAGCTCGAAGTTTCGGGGTGAGCTCAAGGTAACTCTTCTTGGCTAACTCCGTGACTGTGTTGCAAAAGCAATATAAAACCAGAACAGAAGAACCCAATCTTGCTATTCTTCGGAGGGTGTCTTGCGCAACCACCTTTCTTCCCCGCGTGGAGATTGGCAGCTCTGAAGCTGACAGATCTTCCCTACAGAGCTTTGCAAAGGAAGACAATCGTCTGCATTGACGCGTGGTGGGTTGGTGAGTGGGGCTATAGAACTTCACTCTTTCTTCCTCAAGTGGCTTGATAAGACTGTCTTCTAGCACTGACGTCATAACTCGACATGCGATAATTTGACTATTTTGGGGCTTTGAGCGATTTGGGAAGTTTAATAAATTTGAGAAAAATGGTCTATGTGAGAAAGATGTTCGTATTTATAACCACGATCAGAGACACGTCACGTTGCCTGCACGCACGTGCCCAGAGGTGGAAAATATAGGGCAAATGAGAATCTGGTTCTAGACCGATTTTTAGCCCAATTTTCTCAATCTTCCCAATTATCCCTGGTTTACCGTAATGCTCAAAGCGCTGGAAGGGCAACGCCTGTGGAGCCAATCAAAGTCGTGTACATGTTGCACAATTAGCGGTTCTATATGCGGCATACAAGTTTCGAACTAGATAGGCAAGCCAACCTATACCCATTCCTTGCCTACTTACCCGTCAAAGGTACCTGGCCTGGGGAAATGTCCGCCTACCGTGCTACTAGGTATGCTAGAATATCCCGTTGCCATTTGCATCTAGATGTGAAAACTCAGGGTTTACATGCAGCTCAAGACAATCGCCCTGCATGATGTATGAAATGAGAATTCCTGTCTGCAATATAAAAGGGAGCAGGATGCCACTTAATTCCTAAGGCAGAGACACTAATCAACAAGACCGATCCGAAATACCAAGATACAATCATTGCCATATTCCAGTCCACCCCTTGAACTCTCTCTTGTCACTATGACCCAACCAAAGAAGCCCACCGGCCAAACCGCTGATGCCCCGCCGTCACCTTTTGTCCACACTCCGCCCGACAGCCCAGGCCACGAATGCAAATCTGCCCCGGAGGGTGACCCAATGGTTATGAACATGTTTCCTTCCTCTGCAACGCTAGACGATGCGCCAAACTCCGATGGCATGGCTCTCTCCAATGGCTCGGCACCCCCAACGCCGCTATCCACACCCATCGGTGAATTTCCCCAGAAAGGTCAGATGTTGGGCGAGGGCCCCCAGCAACCTGTTACCCTGGCGGGATTGAAAGATCTCCTAATGGAAGTCGTTCAGGAGCTCAAGGCTGGCCCCGCCGCGGTTCAATCTGAGGCAACAACTCCTAAACCGGAAAGGAAGCCTACAGTCGCGCCACTTGGCTCCAAGCTCGAGTTCAAGAGGATTGAACAAGTGTATGGCCCCTTATGGGCACTTTTCTTCTCAGCTAACTGGTTTGCAGGTGGGATAAGGCAACGCGGACGTATGTTGACAAGGCAACGGTGAAGGAGGAGCTCGATGAGCTTGACCAATATGCCTTCGTTGTTCGATCCCGAGGCGGTAAGTGGAGATACCCCACAACATTCATTCGTCTCCACATGTTCTCACAGCTATAACAGGTGGAAATTCCATTAGGAGGTTGGTATATGTTGACATCAAATCCAAACACCTCCGCAGCGTCTTGCAGGATACTATGAAAAATGTCAAGACCGTCAGCTTGCAGGAGAAAAAGCCAAGCGTACGTCATGTCCCATTTCAAATCCAGTCGGTAATTGACCTGCGAGTAGGTCGAACTGGACCTCCTCTACCACTTCCTCCCGGAACTTAAAGCGCATGAGTCAAAGTTAGCTGGTGCACCCGAGCGACAAGACGAGCTGCGATATCTGTCGTTGCTCGTTGAGTTCATTTCGACAACATACCAGCCCATCACCGAACGGCTTGCAACACAGCTCGAATGCGGCAAGGTCACGTGGGATATCCTCTGGACTATCTTCAAGCCAGGATCGATCATCTACACAAAGTGTTTTGGGACTGAGAAGCAGAGATGCGTTGTTCTGAATGCCATCGAACAGAAGAGGAAGCCGGGTGGCGTGGACTATTATAACCTCGACTGCAGCTATGTTGACTGTGACAGAGATGTGCTAGGAAAAGCTGGCATACTCCTCGAGATCGACAGGTTTCGAGGGCCGCGACGCATCGACCTGCTTCCGGCATTTCCGCTCCAGTACCACCCAGAAGAAGAAGCGGTCAGACGGAATCTCACCGAGTGTGGCCGGAAATTCTGTGGGTTAGTTGGAACGCACATCCGCCACTGCCGTGGAACCGCCTTCTTTATGGAGAGGGGAGTACCCGTTCGGGTGAAAGTTGACGGCCGTGTCGGGATCGACGCCACATTCTTTCGCGAAATGAACCCGAACTACCTCCGCCCGCGGGTTGAGAAGTATAACTCGATGGGACTGGACGCAGACGGAATTTGTTATGTCGACTTAGACGCACTTCTTGACCAGCAGGCACAGATAGAAAGAGAGCGGGTGAAGAGCGATGGCGCAGCTGCGTTTGATATGAATGATGATGACTATCTAACCTGCTGCCCCACGATTCCTGGTTTTAGCTTCAAGGACAATGCTTTCTGTGAGGCTCCCCCCTCCTATGTGTTATGTTGGTATTTCTATAAATATTTCGTCAAGGCGCTAACATGGTGACAGACGAGTTTGCTGTTGAAGACATCTGCGATATCAAATGGTCGCGCTCTCTCTTCAAGAGCTTGACGATCCCAGACGAGCAAAGAGCCGTCCTCATGGCCCTCGCGAGGACCCGTATGGGTGTGGTCCCCGCCATCCCTTTCGATGACTTTGTAGCGGGAAAGGGCCGTGGCCTGAGTGTGCTTCTATAGTATGTATCCGCGGCGCTCAGGTTCTTTTTCGCTGCTAACAGGCACAGTGGCCCACCGGGTGTAGGTAAAACCCTGACAGCGGAGGCCACGGCTGAGCATCTTGAGCGGCCTTTATACCCCGTAAGTGTGCAGCCTCAAATACAGCTAGTAGCCTGTGTTAACGTTTTAGATTCCTGCCGCGCAACTGGTCACCCGGCCTGATTTTCTGGAGGACAACCTCAAACATACGTTCAAGATCGCAGAGCATTTCGACGCTCTTCTCCTCCTGGATGAAGCTGATGTGTTTCTCGAGCGACGATCATCATTCAACTCATCCAAGGACGGCGTTGTCACCATTTTCCTTCGCATCATGGAGTATTTTCAAGGCATGTTTTTCCTCACAACCAATCGAGAGACGGAATTCGACGAGGCGATCCTGAGCAGGATTCACATAAAAATCAAATATCCAGGCCTGAGCCAACGGCAACGAGAGAATATATAGAAACATTTTATATCTCAAGCTTGTACGCTTCAAGGCTCCGCAAAAATAGATGATCATTGCCTGAATCAGCTAGCAGCCGCAGATATTAATGGTCGAGATGTGTGTACCTCGGAGTTCTTTCTGATTAACAGTGCTAACATGGTAATTAGATCAAAAACTTGATGTCCGTGGCACACGCCCTTGCTACCGTTGACGGCGCTCGCGTTGATCGTACGTATATCGAGCGAGCGTCCACATCCAACCAGGATTTCTCCCGCGAATTCGACCGAGTTAAGGCCCATAGCATGTATACCTGATTCGGCTTGATTGGAATGTTTTTCGGTCTCGGGTTGCTTAAATCACTATAAAATGTTCCAGTCTCATGTTTCTATCTTCCGTATAATGCATATTCCTTTCCCATAATTCCGCAACAAAGAACCCGATGAAATCATATGGGATAAGGTCTACGAGGCCGTCACTGAATCAACTCCTCCCCCCCGTCCGTTGCACTCTTTCCAGACGCCCTTGACCCGAAATACAGGTAGCTCCGTCAACTCGAGCGAGCTCCGAACCGACATGGACCCCGTGCTAAGGGAGGAGCTGGGCCCCCTATACATTGACATACCGAATTTCCACGAGACCTCCTTTGAAGATATCCCAAGGCTGCAGACGAACGCACAGGCGGTCTTTGAGAGGTGCAAGGAGGGAGAGGAACCGCTGTTCCGACAGGGAACTGGCTAGAGCGGATGGCCCGAGGGTGTAAAGGAGGCGCCTGTGCTGGCCTGGCTGTCGGAAACTATCGACAAGATCAGACAATTCTTTGAGGAACACGCGCCTGACGAGACGGTTCGAAGAAGGCCCCTGGCGCAGCCTCATAAGCCGCTAAAGGGTTCTACGGCTAAGCGGACGCTAGATATCGGCTTTATGGACGGGACAGATCCCCTCGAGGACGGAAAGTACGCCTGGTCGCAGATACTCGTTCCCGGAGAGCTGAAAAACAAGCCAGGCTACGAAACCCAGTCCAGGCTCGACACGGGGAGATACGCGAGGGAGGTGCTGGCTGCGCAGGACTCCCGCCTCTTCGTGCCAGGCTTCACGCTTTGCGGGTCGCTCATGAGGCTATGGCACTTCGACCGTCTGGGAGGAATCGCGTCAGAGCAGTTCGACATCCACGAGGAGGGCCTTCGATTCGTCTCGGTCATGCTCGGGTATATGCTGATGACTGAGGGGCGGCTCGGATTCGATCCGACGATTATCACCAACGCCGATGGCTCGAGGTACTTTAAAATCGAACGGAACGGTAAGGAAGAGCGTCTTATTATCGATGGGGTGATAAACCGCGCACACTGCGTGGCCGGGCGAGCCACGACGTGCTGGAAGGTACATCGCGACGGAGACGAATCCCGAACGCCCCTGGTGATCAAGGGCTCATGGCAGTACCCTGAGCGCGACGAGGAAGGGGAGCTGCTGCGTGAGGCCACGGAGAAGGGGGTGGTCAACGTCGCGAGATATTTCTATCATGCGACGGTCCAGGTGGAGGGTCGAGACTGCGATATCCATGACGTGGTGAGGAGGAGGTGGGACATCACGACGGCAAGCAACTACAAACCGGCCGGCTCCAGGCCTCCGCTGAGCAGGAGCGCATCCCATAAGGGGAAGAGCAGCCGGACAGCCAGCCGCAAACGATCGTCCACCTGCGTCGAGCCGTCGCTGCCTCCCGGCAAACGTTCGCAGTCCCAACATCCGTCGCACCCCAACCGTGTCTACCGTCTTGTCGGAGTCGAAGATTACGGACAGCCGATCTACACGGCGAGCTCGAGGGTTGCCTTACTGGCGGCGCTGGAAGAGTGCATCGAAGGATACGAGTCCCTTCATCAGAAGGCTGGCATGCTCCAGAGAGACATTTCCCCCAACAACCTCATGATCAACGAGGACAAGGAGAGTGCGTCCTGGAAGGCGTTCATCATCGATCTGGACCTTGCCATCAAAGAAGACCGGGAAGGTGCTTCGGGGGCGCGGGGCAAGACCGGCACGCGGGCGTTTATGGCGATCGGAGTTCTTCTGAACGAACAGCATTCCTTTATGCACGATCTCGAATCATTCTTTTGGGTCTTGTTCTGGATATGTATTCATTATGAGGGCCCCGATAAAGGAAAGGTTGTTGAGGGATTTGAAGACTGGAACTATATGAGCACTGAAAAACTTGCTGGCGTAAAGAAAGGAGCTATTGATGATGAGGGAGATTTTCTCAAGTCCACGGCGGAACACTTTACGGAATACTATCAGCCACTCGTACCTTGGGTCAATAGGCTACGGCGAGTCGTATTTCCCAACGGCAGAAGGTGGAAAACACCTGATACAAGTTTGTATTCTGCCATGAGAGAAATTCTTCGAAACGCCCAGGAGGACCCTAATGTTATTGGGTTAAATTAAGTTCTTGTTATATGCATGTACTTAATTCACTTTGTTTACAAACGTGCGTTTATATATGTATTGTTATCCAATAAAGTAATGAGCCTTCACATGGAATATTTTCCTTTAGGTTCACAATCGAACAGAGGGGGTCTCAACGGGCAGAGAAATAGTGTTCCTCTCACCTCAGGTATTTCCTCCAGAATACTCGCTCCCAGAAGCTCGTGTTGCCATGGGAACCTTACAGATAACAATGGTGGCGACATTCTTGAGTGGAATAATATAGTTCCACCCCAGATATCATATTATCATCGAACTGGGAAAATTTCAGCGAGGAATAAAACCTCTAGGAGTTTACTGCTCACACCTTCTTGGAAATTGCACCGGCAGGCGAAGCTATTATCCCACAATGGGCCAAAGCTTTCGCCTTATAGCACCTCACCGTCGCGAGCGACTTTGCTGGTGTGGCAAGCTTGGTGAAATCCTCTTTGATGGATCCGCGTCGACGCTCGTTTCTCTCTTTGCTAGACCCGTTATACCCTTAAAATCCGCGGTTAATGAACCCGAAACCCCACCTGTCGCCGTTCGGAAAACGGTCGTTCCACGAAAAAGGCGATGGCAGACAGAGGATTCCTGCGAATCATCCCATTCCCACGAACCCACACGGGACAAAGTTGCTCGGCCCCGGCTCCCTGAGATGCCAGTTGAGATCAGCCGTATTATCTTCGACTCTTTGGATATTACAAGCGTCTTTCTCTTGGGCGTTACCTGCCAGCGACTCTGGGTAATAGCGAAATCGGTAATTGAGCGGCATTTTGCCGCGTACTTGGGCGCTTGGGCCGGGACACCTATCGTTTGTGTTGGTACTGGAACTTGCCGTGGTAGAAATGTCACTTATCCACAAGGATTACTGCTCCCGGAGGATGTTGATGAGCTCCAAGAAGGGTTGGACCTTGACGAATTAGAGGATTGTCTGCCAGACGAATACGCAGGGAGGCCTGTCAACCTGTACGACATAGCCGATGCTCGATACGACGTCATCAAGGATCACGGTGTATACTTTCCCCAGGACTTGCTAGGCGTCGCTCTCGATTTTACGCACAAATATCCTCGTCCAGCAGATATACTTCAATTAGCAAATCCAGAGCCCTCTTATTTCTACCCCACCAATCAGGAATGGGTTCTCAGAAATTTGACCACCCAAGAATTTGTTCGTCCTACGGCTATTGCCCTACACAAGAGCCACATCCACGGCCCATTTATTGACAAACTAGGCTATGGCGAAGTCATTCTGTCGAGGATCTGTTGGTCCACGGACGATTTCACGTCGATGGCTGGAGAGGGAATCCATCAGGGGATGTGGGCTAGGCATGCTCTAGATATTGTCCCCTCCACCCATCTAGATATTGGTGGCCCATGGAAAGATATCAGCGATGAAGTTGCGGAGGATATTGCAGAGATCTGGAAAAGTGAATATGGCGAGGATTGGCGAAAACAGCACTGGTGAAATGCAACAGCCCGAAAACGGAAGCCAGCTTGAGTGCTCAGGACACAATTTCCTACTCCGTAGATGTGCAAATAGAGGCTGCGCCCGTATGTAGGTACGTATGGCTCATCAATATAAACATTTTACACCCCTACGTTCGTATACTCATGTTCTGCCAATCGTTCACCTGGTCATCCAACAATATTCAGCCATAGGAGATTCCTCGGTACCTCTACATTTGGCATTATAAAATACGGCCACGTTTTACTCGGTTGACCTGGTCCCATGGCTAGCTCCTTCAGGTCGAAAACATGCTATGATTATACTTGGTTCAGAGAATGCCCTCGTTCGAAATTTCCACATGACAAGAACCCTACTAGTACAGTAATTTGATCGCTTCGAATGTCGTAATGCTAGCTTGGCCACGCATATAAAGGTGGCCTTCCCGCCGCCAAGCAGAACCCGTATCAACCTAAAACGGCAAGTAGTCAGTCTTCCAAAAGTCCTTTTTGTGGGTGATGTCGCCTCGTGATGTTTGTACGAATAACCTGCGCCCGTTTCCGTTTTCGCCAGCCAACCACCTCGCGTTGCAAGATGGGTACTATGGGAGATTTCCAAGGAGACCCACTGTGGCACCTGGCGGCACTCTCATAATAACTTATTGCCTGCCCATCCTGATCAGCCCTTTCAGGACCTTCCCTTCCGGCCCATGTCTCGGCAGCTGCTCTTCGTCTTAAGAAGAAGTGGGCAAAGTGGTGTACCTGAGCTCACAGAATGCTTGCTGGAATAAGCACTTCCTTAATCATCCACCGATGCGCCCCTTGATGGTTGGTTGGTTTATTCATTTACCCTGACCTCTCCCTCACCGGGATATGCAGGCTACCACGACTATGACTTGCGCCCCTTAGTGGCACGACCCTCAAGGGTGCCAAGTCCAAGGGGCAACCGACCAGACTGTCGGGTCCGACGCCCCCAGCGTAACTCAACAGACTGCACCAATAACATATTGCCTGCCCATTCTGATCCGCCCATTAAAGATTCTCTCTTTAGGACCGCCCCTTAAGCCCTTTGTTTTGAATCGAAAGAAGGGTATTAGTATGTTTGTATACTTCTCCTAGCTCCCCAACTCATGCCTCAATTGACATGTGGTTGTTGGATCCCGTGGCTGTTTTTCCCGATGGCCTCCTGGGCCACCTGTTCGTTCGACCCTGTGGCTGCTTTGCCCCATGGTCTCCTCGGCCACCTGTTAGTTCAGCCCTGCGGCCGCTTTGCCCTTGTGGCCTCCAGAGCCACTTGGTCCCCCGTGGCTTTGAAGTTCTATAATATTTAAACATCTATATTTATGAAACCTCGTGATATGAATTTTTATAGTTTTCTATCTATATAATTGCTTCCTAGTTTCCATTTTTGTTTCCCGAATGCTTCTTCTGTTTAAGTTTTTTCCGTCGCGGTTTGTAGTTCCTAGATGTTATTTGGACAGGAGGCGGATAGATCTTCTTCTGCTTTCTATTAGTGAAATACATGAATAAGTTTTCCTTTTGAACTCACTATTTCATCCTCAGCGAGTAGGCTCTTGATAACCTCTCCGTGTGTAAATTGCACGACATAAGTCTTGCCATCCAAATCTTTAATTATTGCATGGATATCTGCTTGACAATCATGGTGGTAGTCCTTGAGTTCGGCGATTATCGTCTCCTTCCGGCGATATATCTTTTGTACAAGGCTCTTATGCTTAGTCCAAGGCTTGGTGACACGCCCTGAGTTGGGTTTTTGCGTATCCGACATGATTGAGGCGTGGGAGTTAGAAGGCCATATCTAGCCACCGGGGACTGTCCGCTTTATAGCTATTCTTGCTGAACAGAAGCGTGGCCTCTTAAAGAGCGTGGCCTCCATTTGTCTCCATGCACATTAATGCCTTTCTGTCGGACGGTATTTCTGTCGTTGTCTAAAAATAACACTGTTGGGGCGCTTAGGATGGACAGGGGTAAATATGGTGGAGCCAAGTCGCCATTTCACTGAAGGGGGCTTTCTCGCTGGCTTCCTGGCTTCCTGGCTTTCTGGCCTCCTATCAGCATGAGGGTCTTACCAAGATTGACGCTCCCCTGAACTTTAATCTTCAGGATATCATCCGTTTATAATTTAACTCTGCGTAGATCATTTCGCCATTTTCTAACTAGGCGTTAACTAAGCAAACCTTATTTGTATGACAAAGCTTGGCCTTGACCGCGCTGCCCGAACATTAGTAATCTTCATCGTCCTCATATCCGACATCTTGCTCATCCAAGGTGAGCGTTATGTCTCCACAATTATCAAGTTCGTATAATGAGTCTGTAATACCTTCTATGCCTTCGACTTCTGGTATATAGGGAGGAATTGAGGAAGGATGGCCTAAACTCTTTCCTTTTGAGGCGTTGTGATTTTGATCAGCCCCACTTGCAACTGTAATGCGTTGAAGGCCGTTATTATTTCCATCCCAATCAGCAATGGAAGCGAGCCTGCGAGGGTGTGAGCTGAGTCATCCAGATCCCAGCGGCAAGCTTCCTCCTATTCAACCATTTGTAGTTTAGTCCACCCCTCACTCCTCCGAATTATGACTCATTACCGTCAATCGAGCCGTTCCACAAGTCAGTGCCCAACGAAGAGCTCCCCAAGCAAAGGCTTCTTGAATAAAGATTCCTGGCAGTCCATGCGTGCCGTGACTTAATAAATTTCCTCGTCTGCTGCTGGTATACCTTCTCGGCTTAATGGAGAAACGAATGGACCAGCCATAACGATATATTTAGAGACTTCAATCTCCACCACTGCCATATCTGAGTTGTTGAGTCGTTGGTCCTGCCCGCAGTTTCCCTAGACCTGCCGCAGTTAGGGCACCTTCCCTGTCCCGAATACAGCCAGCGTCCATCGTTACCAATGCTTTGTCAGCCTTGATTTTTCCGGGGAATCCGGCTGGATAAAGAGTATGTTGTACACTCGCGTGTTACCTCTCTCCCCGCTGGCCAATAGCCTTCTTGAACAAGAGGGTGGGTTATAAACCTTATATTTTGAGTTAAACGTATCATAGGGCTGTAGTTGAACCTTAGGGCGATCTTCCAGCCGTCCCAGTAAAGCTAACTATTTGACGCCAATGAGGCTAACGTCTATTCACCCTTGAGTTTCTACTTTTGGCCTAAAGGGACTTAATAGGCTAAACTGGTAGCAAATCTGGTATTTTAAAACTGCCTGGATAACCCAGTGTGCTACACAAGCAACTAGTTACGGAGCTTGCATTGGAATTCACTTGCGTTGCTAGCTGTAAGGAAAGCTCGATGAGGGGCTGATATTCTCCGCTCTTCCTATCCACTTGGCCACGAGATAAGCTTAATCTTCACCATAAAAGAGAGGCGCTTTAGTTCTCTAGGGATAACATTGTTCAATAGAGCGATAGGCACAATGTGGGGAGGTACGACTACCCGCTCCCGATTGCGGCAAACCATCAGCTCCCTATGGCATGTAAATGAGGTCCCTGAAACACCCAGAGAGAACTTCGTCACCTCAACAACAGACGTAAAGCATCGCTTGAGCTTCTCTCGAGAGAAGGAGATTGTTAGCAACCTCGCATTCCTCTCAGCCGTGTCTGACGATAACCTCAGGGTGATGGCTGTCTGTATTGAGGAATATAGTAACGGCGAGGGTATCACAATCCGGATAGCATCAAACACTGGAGATCTTTCAGAAGTCACTGCGGGTTTTAAAAAGCTTGGAAAAATCCTAATGCAAGCTGCACGGCGAGGTCAGTAGCTGTTCAATATAACATAGGAATCTAGCTGATGAGTCCATTAGAGCGACCCAGAACTGAGGATATAGGGGCTCTTTTCGGGGAAGTTATTGCCCTCGATATATTTCGAATTCTCTCCCGGCTACGGTCGCGACATGCAGAAAGCAAGAGGTCTTTTAAAAAGCCCGCTATAATCCTTCAGCTCCAGGAGGTGATCAAGGATAGATCCATTGGGGGTGGAATAAGCCCCAGCCTTAAGGCTGAAGTAGAATCTTTGCGGGACTTATTCTTCAAATTAGAGCGTCTGCCAAGTTTGAACTCCATGAGAGCTCAAGCACACGAGTTGCTGGGTAGGATTGTGAGGAAGGCTTATGATCTTACATTGGTCACTGACCTCAGCAACGTCTTTCAGGGCTCAAAACTCGACCCAAGCCTGCTGATGCACCTACCAGTAGCAATCGGCAAGCTTGGCCGGTATTACTCTGCTGCTTCCGAGCTTGTCTGTGCTGCAAGGAACAAGCAGTGCCCGGTATTCCACGACATCCGGGTGGAGCCATTCGAAGTCAATAAGCCCGGCTCTATCCCCGAGATCGGGAGGATTCATGCCGAGGTACAACTCCTCTTTTTTTACGAGTTATATCCAGGCTACTCGCGCCCAAGGGTTATCTGTTCTAGTAAGAGTGCTTGCTATTTGTGTAATCTTTTCTTCACTCTCCATGGCAAGTTCTATATTCCTAGAAGCCATGGCAGAATATATGAAAAGTGGATACTGCCGGACTGGCTGGATATCCCGGCAGAACGCCATAAAGAGTTGGCCACCATCACAACCAGCTTGAGGACAATCCTAGAAACCAAGATTAGGGCAGCTCCAAAATCAAAAAAGGGTTGTTGCCACCCAAATGAGAGTGTATTGCTCCCGCTTGCACACTGGCCATCATCAGTCGCCTCGGGGGATCTTTCTGTTGCTTCACGGTCGACAGTTCGGCCCCAGCCAGCTCACTTACAAGAAATGAATCCATCAATGCCCTCGCAGAGTAAGACGCCCTCGACACCGCCGAAGACCCCATCGGTGAAGCCTGATAGTTCTCATGGGGAGATAAGTTCATGCAATATCATGGATCGCAAGCCGAGTCCAGCTGGCAGAGTAGTCATTGGGCATGAGGAGTTACCCTATAGTGAATACATCACGGCTGCAACGCCTCCACTACATCTGAGGCTGGATAATTTGACTCTCCAATTTGATTTTGGTCAATCATCTCCCTGCCAAGTACTAATCGTGCTGGTAAAAGCTCCCATGTGTAGGTATCAAATCGTTAGTATCGAGGACATTCCCACAGCTGCCGAAATCAAACTGGATTGTACTTCGCATGCCTCAAAAGAACTCAAATTTCAATTGACGATTGCGGGAAAAGAATTTATCTGTATTTCGTTAGTATGGGATGAACGGTAGAAAGATCTTGTAAGAAAGGAAACGCCCAGAGATTCATCTTAAATCCACAAACTGCTGCTAGCCTTGATATATATTTTACCAAGAAATCCTAAATTATGTGGGCAAGGGTTATCCGGATAGCCACTCAACAAATGTGTTGGCCCATGAGCTTGTCAATACTTGCCGTGGTTCCCACCAATTGGAAATGTACCCACATAGACGCCAGTATATCTGCGGGCGACCTTTCATGGCTAACGAGTGTCCGGATTCGGGAATTGCACATCTAGCTGATCTTGCATGAAGCGCAGATAACCCCAGCAGGTGCATAGCCTTGATGCAAAGATACCTAACGATGAATAGATCGGGAGCCTTATGATTTCTTGGGTAGCGAAACTGCATCTAGGAACGTTTTATATGCGGTTAGAGCCACCGCGATAACACCAGTTTCTCGCTTTGATTGCAAAGTTCAATTGACATTCAAAGTACCACCCACACCAAAGAGCCAATCATGACGGTCGAAAATACCGACTACAAAAAGCTAGGTGATCCAGCCTTGCTCGGCAAAATTGATAGTCTTTTTGCCTGCGGAGTTGGAGAATATGTTGACCTGCCGCAGATTGTTGTCGTTAGCGACCAGTCAAGCGGCAAGAGCTCAGTCCTAGAGGGACTGACGAAATTACCATTTCCGCGTGATAGCGGTCTATGCACCAGATTTGCAACCCTGATCACGTTCCGTCGTGCAAAAACAAAGCGCATCTTAATTTCTATCAGACCTCACGTGAATTCAGACAAGGAACATGCCGTAAAAGTCAAGCTTGGAAGACTGAGTGGGAAGATTTGACGGCGTATTCGTTCGGTCAAATAATGAAGGAGGTCAGTCTAATTCCCACAGAACTAAGTACCGCACTGACGCTGTGTAGGTCTATGAAGTGATGGAGTTGTCAGGCCCTGGGGGGAAATCGGACGGGAAGAGTTTCTCAAACGATGTTCTTCAGCTGGAAATATCTGGACCAGATGAGGATCACTTGAGTGTCATCGACGTCCCTGGGATATTCAAGAATACGACTGAGGGCGTTACGACCAAAAATGATATCGAAACGGTCCGTGACATGGTGTATAGCTACATGCGAAACCCTAGGTCTATTATGCTCACGGTCGTGCCAGCGAATGTTGATATCGCCACCCAGGAAATTGTTGAGATGGCCAGGGAGCTAGATCAAGACGGCGAGAGAACTCTTGGCGTGATTACTAAGCCCGATCTCGTGGACAGGGGAGCGGAGAGCGCCGTCGTTGACCTGATCAGCGGGAAAGAGCCAGGAAACCGAGTGCAATGGAGCGTTGTGCGTAATCCGGGGCAGCAGGATTTGCTTGATCAAAATACAGACCGGCAATCGGAAACGCGTTTCTTCCGTGATGTGTCGCCATGGAATACTTTGGAAAAAGAACGCGTTGGCATCAGTGCCTTACGTACACGCTTACAGGAAGTTATCACCACTCGGATTCGCCATGAGTTTCCAAAGGTACATAGATGAGAAACTATGCATTGTTACATCTAAGCGTTTCTGACTATCTTAGGTTAAAGCTGAAATTAGCAAGCGTTTGCAAGTCAGTCGCCGAATGCTTCAAGCGCTTGGCACTGAACGCGATACTCCCGAGAAGCAGAGGGCATTCCTAGTTGGTTTGGCGACGCAGTACGAAAGAATGACTTCCCACGCAATGTCTGCTAATTATGGGGCAGATGATCTCTTCGACAAGCATAAAGAACTGAGAATAGCAACTATAGTCGCCCAAAGAAACGATGTCTTCTCCAGCAATATGGAGTTCTGGGGCCATGAACGAGATGCTGATTCGGACGACGAGATATTTGATGACAAACGCAAGAAGAAAGTCAACATTCGGACAACCACCGACAAAGACGACTTAGAGGATATTATACAACCCCAGGAATACTTGCTCTCACCTTCTTCAGGTATCACGTACTGGTTGAAGACCTTATATCAAGATTCCCGTGGATTTGAACTAGGAACATTTGCGTCAACTCTTCTGCCAGCAATTATGAAAGAACAGTCCAAGAAGTGGGACTTAGTAGCATTAGGCTACATCAGCGATATTATGGTCATGACGCATTCATACGTTCTCTGCCTCCTTGAAGCGATCTGTGTTGATGAACGAATTAAGTCGGGCTTGGTGTCTGTCCTTATGGACGGTCTACTTGATAGGTATCGCAAGGCGAGGGACCAGGTAGTATTTCTGCTCAACATCGAGAGATCAAGCCCTCCAGCCACATTAAATGACTACTTCAGCGACAATTTGCATAAGCGGTATGTGGTGCTGTTTTCTACCAACACTGACACGAGCTAACATCCCCAAGACGCCAGGAACGCTTCAAGAGCGCGATAGCGCAAAGGGCAATTTCAGTTCCGTCAGCAAGTTTTGGAGAGAATGAGCAAGCGGTTCGAGTACGTGATCTTATACAGACAGATCGAACAAACAACACAGACCGTGTCATTCGCGAGTTAAAGGACATCCTCTGTTCGTATTATGAAGTTGCCCGCAGGCGGTTTGTTGATAATGTGTTGCTACAGACCGCACATCACCTGCTCGTGACTGGCCCAGATACGCCTTTGCGGTTGCTCTCACCGTCCTACATCCTCAATCTTTCTGAAGATCAGCTTGAAAATATTGCAGGTGAAGACCCGAGCATGGTAAGAAAGCGTGGTAGCCTGAGGAAGGAAATAGAAGGGCTCGAAAAGGGACGAAGGATTCTTCTGTGATGTTTCTGGGCCTACCCTTCGATAAGATTCCATAAGCTTCTTTGCTCACTTTTCCCGCGATTCTGGGCGTGCCTTGCTCTTTATATCTTACTTACAGTATTGAGTTTCCGCACTTCGTAATTTAGTAGTTCAATTCTCCGCAGGAGAGGTACGCTGTCTCCACGGCCAACATCGTTTGAAAGCTGGCGAGGAACTGCTGTCACCCAGCGACCAGTGGTGGACCGTCGACATCTACCTGGATGGTATATTAGCTTTACCCTCCCACCACTGTCTCTTTCTTGCCCTGACGCCTTAACACAGATATCAGCGCTGACCTGCAAACATCCCTCATCGACGAATATTCCAACGAAAGACCACCAAGCGATGGCGAGGTCTAATCTTCTTGAAGATGACAACCAAGGGCGGAGCAGAGCAGTTGAGGGCTCCATGACCTCTCTGCTGAGCACTAGCTTCGGCTAGAGCTACGGCGCAAGAATATGCAATTTTGGGTAAATTGACTAACAAGGTTGCAAACGCCCTTATTTTTTTTAATTCGTCTGAAAACCATCTTTAGAAGCTGTATGTGGACATTTCGCCTTGTGCTCTTTGTAATGAGCGACCTGACACGTCCGTCCGCAATACATGACTGCTTTGCACCTCCCACACGTCATCAACCGCACAGAGTCCTTTCCGCAGTTCGCGCATCGCGCCAGCGCCGATAACGAACCCTTCTCATTTCCACTTCCGCTCTCCACCGCCGCTAACATATCCTCCGCTCTCTTTCTCGCCAATCTCAACACCCGCTGTTCGCCCAAGCTAACGTGCGCCACCGCCCATGCATTCCCTCCCGAAGGATAGACGCCCTCCGCAAGTCGTTCTCCTAACTCTTCTAGCTGAGTTCCGAAACTATCTAGAAGACCGCAGAACGATTCTATCAGAGACTGCAGAACTTTCACTTCGTTCGAGTCGCTGATTTTCTCGTATTTAGGATCAATTTGCTGAAGCGCTATGGTGTTGAGATCCGATTCGTCTGATCGCTGAATACGGAGGTATTGAAGGACATTTTTCGGGAGCGGATCAGTGAGAGTGAGGGAGATGGTAGAGGTCAAATCGAGTCCGGCTGATTCCCAGAGCTTACGCTTTTGCTCAAAAAATGGCGCCATTGGGTGCGTTTCAAGAACGAGTTCATAGTTGTCGTTAGGATTACTGGGTATGACGAAGCCATAGAGACGCAAAAGGCGATTATTTGGAATAGACCCGTAATAGATAAACACCTGAAAGAATACTCCCCAGGTAAGCGCACAAATTGGTAACATCAGGAAGCAAGACGAACATACCTGATCTCCGGCTTCGTAGTCTTTCCCCGCAAGGATAGAGAGGTTTCCAGACAAGGGATCGTAGGCGTGACACTGCCTAACGTCGGATGAGTGGTTTAACATATCCGCGAAGGGTGCCAAAAGTCGAATCGATTTTCCATCAGGCAGTACAAAATCCATCGCGCGACTCCACACGGTGCAAAGTGCCCACTTGTACTAAAAGAGCGGAAAGAAGCGTTAGTTGTCGATTTACAATATCCGTCACACGCGTATAATACCTACATCTTCGATGGTGAATTTGCTGAGTGGAAAAAGATCTCGATGCCGGATAAGCAGTCGCACGACTAATGCCTTGTAATCGTCCTGGATGCATCGCCCCAGCTGCTTCGTGATGGCGTACAATGAAGTTCCAGCGCAAACTTCCAACTCATCCTCCGTAAAAAAGATACTTGAAGAGTAGCTCTTAGGTAGCGCCGCCAAATGGCTTCGTAGGCCATCGTATCCTGACTCGCGCGATCGGACAAAGAGAATATAAATAGCCAAGGTGTCGTCAACAGACAAGGGCGGCCGCGCAGAGCGAAGGGCTGGCCCAAGAAGAGAATCAGCATATGCGTGTTCGACTGTCCAGAGAACGTCAGATGGAATAGTGAGAATCCTTTCTCCTTCCTTGAAATGCCGCAGCGTTTTGACACCGCGCCCAATGACCGGGAAATCGGCAAGCTCCAGGGCGTCCAAGCCTACCGCCCCAGACTGTTTCAGCCAGCCTTCCATGGAATTAGATCAGAGACAGCGTGAGCGAAGAAGCAACAGGTCAGGCCTAAGCTTTTCGTTGTGGGAGGTGGACTTTTCATTCCAAGGAGAGCACAAACCCCGCTGGCAGCCTAAATAACAAAATCGGGGCGAAAAGGTGGGTCAAAATCCTTTCTGATGTAACATAACTCACCACCCAATGATCTCTACCACCTAATGATCACCTAACATAAATATTTTTACTACTACTGTAACGGTCATTCAATATATTAATGAAAACATACTGGCACCTATGAACTAAGATACAAAAGTGAAGAAGAGAAGAAGGAAACAAGCAAGCGAGGCCTTGCTCGTGGCTCGATATATACTCTCTATCGGAGCGCACGTCGGACCGATCATAGTATCGGCATTTGCCAGCTTCTTTGTCCTTCTCGTACATGTCTCTCAATCTCTGCTTCTTCATCTTGCTCATACCCGAAGCCTTCTGACCTCCGCTGCTCGTTGGTGCTGTCTCGGAAGGCCGTGACGTTGATCGCTACAATGTCTTGCTCGTTCCGAGACATCGTCGGAACGGCTCGTGCACAAACGAACTGATCGAAATGTCGGAACAACGTTCCTGCGACCCCGAACCACCAAGCAAGCCGTCACACAAAATGCATCAACATCTTTTTGAATGCCCACCGTTACAAAAAGGATATAATTTTTTGGAGTTTTGTTTTGTATCGGTTTCTAGCTAGTTTTCTAAGAACGTTTAGAATATAAGAAATGCTATCGAACTAGGATAAACGCGTATAGTATTAGATACAAAGTGCTAGATTAAATATTGCTTGTTCTTAGAGGGGTAAGGGGCGAGAGTTCTCTAAGAATACAATGTAGGGCACGTGACATCACATGACATCGATTCTTTCACCTTCTAGACAGCTACTCTAACGCTTTTTGTTCCACAACCTCCGACTATCACCTAAAAGTAAGTTACTTAGGCTTCATGAATCAGTCAACCATATTCACCACCGCTCTATAGCAGAACCTATATACTGCGCCGGAGCCAGAACTAAGAGGTTTGTTAAGGTTGCCAAAAAAAAAGCCGCCTTCGCCACACAATCACCATGTCTGGCTCGGATATTGTTTCCACGCTGAACCTCCTCATCAAGCTCGGGTCAGAAATTAAGACCCGACTTGACTCGTTCAACCAAGCTGCCGAGGACCTTCAACTGCTGACCACCAGCCTTATACTTTTGTTGAAGGTTTTTGAGAATCCCATAAACGAGGACATCATAAAGACCCATGGGTCGGAGTTTATGAATATCCTGGATATCCTACAAAGCATTGCATATACATGCACAAAATGCGCGAAGGCCCTGGACATTGACCTTGCTGGAACAATAACTGCGAGTAAGAACCTAGAAGCGCGTGGCAAGAAATTTGTCCAGCGGATACGGGCTTTCAGCAGGATGCCTGACCTTCTTGCTGAAATTAAACGCAAGACCGAACAACTTGAAAAGGTATGCAGCGCAGTGTCTGTTACAATTCTTAGCGACATTAGAGAACAAAGGAAGCCGACGAGTGGAAAGGAAACTATTGAATCCACCCCCGTCGTGAAAACACAATTTGTATATAAAAACATACTCGACCTTGACCTCAGCACGGATTTTGCTAGTGTCGACCAGATGGTGGGAAACCTCATGAGGGAATGCAAACACCTTCATCAACGACTCCAGGAGGCTACTCTATTTCCCGACACGTCGGCTATTAAAGATTATCAAACGCTGAACCCAGAAGGAGCATCATTTTGGAAGGATAGATTTCAAAAAGATGAACTCAGCGCCTCGGCTCTTCGCTATGAGGTAAGGACGCTTAAAGCGTCCCCTTTATTCCTGAATATCACCGCATAATGCTAATATATCGCTTTCTTGACAGACATTATACGTTTCTTGGGCACGCTTCGTCCATGAGGTAGAAACGTCTTTTATTCTCAAAAAGATACCGACTGGGATTTTTCGAACTGGAAACATCGACCTCCTTCACAAGCAAGGATCTCACTATTGCATCGATCGAAGCGGCACGCGTCGTCTTTCCACCATCCGGCCTCTCTGGCTTCCGGCTCTTCGGTTTGCTCTCGACCCGCTGCACAAGGGTTACGTTAAGCCTCGGGACTATTTCAATCTTCTTCACGACTTCTCCTTATCGGAGACACTTAGAAGATTGGTCCTCGAAAGCGCAGGCTATGGTACACTCGTTGAATGTGAAAGGGCATCCGGGGATCTTGCTTTCCCGGCGGCAATTGAGTCCCCTTCCGATCACGTCGGCTGGATCTCCGCTCAAATCGTTGCCGTTCCAACACCCGATGAACTTGGAATCGTTACCGAGCGGGAGGTCATGGAATCAAGCAGCGACGATCTCTTTGCTTACTTTAATGATATTACTCAAGACGTTCACGTTTACGTTCGCTACCTTCAGACCGGTCAAATCGAGCGTAAGAATATCTCAACGCAAGTTCGTCCGATCGGGGGCATTTCTATTGGCGCTGCATTGTCTATCCGGCATGAGCTGGAATCAGGTGATCATGCCTGGAGCTGTGATCTTCACATCACCGAGTTCAAGGCATATTACGGGGGGCAGTACGTTATTACGGCGGGCGTGGGTTCAACTTCTATTGTGTTTTCCACGAGGCCTCTCAAGGCTTCCTTCGATAAGATGTTACGCGACGACAACAACTCCTCAACTTCTACCATACCGGAGTTTGACTGTATGCTTCTGGGGCCGTCGAAGGTATTCATTAACCCACCGAAAGTTGGCGAAAAGGTCCAGGTATGTACTATTTCTACCAGAGTACCGTGCGGTACATCTACCGGGTTGCAATTCTCATTCCGTGATTTGGCCAGATCGAGTACGACGGATTTTGGTATGATTCGAGAGTCACGGCAGTGGACAGCGATGAGATAGAGTATGTCGACTGGGACAGTTTACCAGAGCAAGTCCCAACCAACATTACAGAGGCTCAGGACGATAGTAACTGGGATGAGGAAGATAGCGGTAGCTTTTTTTTTTCGGAAGAGCAGTTAACACAACTCGGAAAGGGCACGCGGCGGCTATGGCGACCATGGCGGAAAGACATCAGAAGGTACGACGTTCGGCCTTACCGCTGCTTCCATATCGGCGACTCTGTCGAGGCACCCGTCATGTACCCGGATTTTCGATTCCACTATCATGTTACCGACAACTCGCAGCTCTACCTTCCTGCTCGAATTGTTGACGTCCAAGGTGACCAGTATGTGATTGAATTCAGTCCGGCGCTTTCGGTTCATGGGTGGTGGCCGGGAAGAATGCCCAAGGGTAAACAAGTGGACCTAGTGCCGGGATCAGGCATAAAGGTAGAAAACCCGTTCGACTTTAATCGCCTGACGGTAGGCATGGAACAGGTACGTCCTTTCTCTGCGGGGCCGCGACCGGTTTTGGGTGGTCAGTCAGCAAAGCCGTCTGGGTGGAGTTCATTTCAGGGCGTTCACCTCCGCAACCTTGAGGATCTTTTGGAGCGGAGTCTTTGGAACGACGACCACGGGGGTCAGCAAACCGGCGGCCAGAGGGACCGGAGCCCATTTGTGAATGAGGAATAAATGCATCGTATACTCTCAGCAGGATACAGAGCTGGTCAAGGTATCTCGGATTCGGAAAGTAACAGAAGCAGTTAGACTTCCGTCACGACGGGTCGGAACCGATCCACAGGCTCAACCTCTGACCCATCATTTGGCCCGACCCATAGTCTAACCCACGGGAGGCCTATGCCTCGACCCAAGCCCGTGGCTTAGAGCACAGGTGGCGATGTCGCTCCGGAGGGTCAGCCGGGTCTTTATTTTGGCAGCGACGTGGATCTTCTCAATAATGATACAAACCTACATTAATAAAAAATTGGCTCTTTTATTCGTGGTTAAATGGCTGTCAAAAGTAGAGATCGATAAATGTCTATCTACGGTGGATGCTAAATACAGTAACGTAGCTCACCACCACAAGATGACCACCCAATCGTAAATATTTTCACCCACCAGCCACCATCTACAAAACGCTATATAATGGTCAATGAGGCTGCAATTGCAGCTGCGATTAAAGATTTAAAGTCGCAAGAGACTCCTAATTACTCACAAACTGCAAGAAAGTGGAAAGTCGACCGGAAAACGCTTGCGCGCCGCTATTCTGGCCAAACTGTATCGAATCAAGAGGCCGGGTCACGATATCGCAAAAGTTATCAGGTTCACAAGAGGAAGGACTCCTAGGGCATATTACTCGATTGGCCCGTAGGGGCCTATCACCTACGCCTAATATCATTGCAAGAACTGTTCGAGGGTGGAGTCCGCATAGCCGTCACCGTCGTTAGACGACAGGTCGTCGTCGGTGTCGTCGTCCGGGTCCTCTGACTCTGTGTCGGATCTAGACTCGGAGAGCGGCTTGCTATGAACAGCTTTTGACAATTTTGACGGCTTTCCCGGTTGCTTGTACGTCGCCCCGTTGCCGGGCGCTCGCTCTCTACGCACAGTGTGTGCTGGTATTACGATCCTCCTGCGAGATACGCTATTGCCGCGGACAGGCCGCCGAACCGCTTTTGATGGCTTTCCGGTTTTCTTGGGGGACGCGCCCCCATCGTCGGACCTACCAGAAAGATAGGGCGACGTCATATCCGTGTCGGAGCCCACATCGGACTCGGGGGCACTGGAGGGGCAGAACGAAGCTGTGCTTGCTTCGCTGTCGCTGTCGCTGCTGCCCTCGCCGCTAGAGTCACGGCGACGCTGCCTGCGCCGGGACATTGGCCCGAAGGCGACACTGATCACAAATGTAGGTGGGTATTAAGGCGGGGTGGGACTTGCTGCACGGGTGAAGAGAGAAGTCGGCAGTGGGAATGAGGAGTTGAACGACGCATGGGGGAGAGGTATCTTGAGCAGTGCATAGAGGGTACCTTGGGAGGGGGGGTTCCTGGGGAGAATATATAGGAGCCGTCCGCGCTCAGCGTGGCAGGGGTCGATGAGCGACATCATTCTTGGCACCAGCGCAGGAAATGGAGTCCAAGGTGATGGAGGGTGATTGAGCGATCGAGCGCACGGAGAATGGGCGGTTGCATGCTAATTCACATTCGACGTCGCGAGCGAAGTGTCAACTGCAACAGTCACGTGAGAGTGATCGGTGGTGCGTGTGCGGTACTGTGGACGGTCCCAGAGCTTCCGCGCACGCCCACGTTGCGCGAGAATGGCCGGATCTGGCCCGCAGATCGAGCCTCATTCGGCCTTCCGGGCGTAAATCGAAATGTTAAGTATAATTCGGTCTTGAACGATAGAGTAAGGACATAAAACAAACCGTTATTACCTTATTGTATTAGAAGCGTATCAAAACAATACAGGCCACGTTGCCAGCACCCAACACAGCCAGAATATGATGCTGACCGAATTATCGAAGTCCATGCAAGGTTGGGGTTGGTCGGTACCACACCTTTCAGGAAAGTACGTATGCAAGAGCCTTAGTTCCTCTATTGCGATGCACTTTGGCGCCATTTCCCCGTATTATTTGAGTGCAACAGCACCCATTTATCTTCGCCGTTTCCGTGGAAATTACCAGGAGATATATTTGGAAATTTCCGCCACTGCCAGGTTACTATTCACGGCAGCCTCAACGGTCGCAGCAATCAATCGATCAAAAATCCCTAGTACAACCATGATCAAGAACTTAAATAGCATCTGGGATATCTCAAAAGATACGCTTCAACTAATGAGATCCCTGGTTCCAAGATTCACCAACCTACGTAAACTAGAGATCACTTGCAATGTTCACGGCACACTTAGTTTACTGTTTATTAAATTTTTCTTCATGTATCTTAGTGCAAGTGACACAGGCTGCATAGCTGCTGACAAAGCGGCTGGGACGGCGTAAATGAATCAATCAATCATCAATCAATCATCAATCAATCAGATCATTTTCTCTCGGAGGCGACCAATCAACCAATAGGGTGGCGTCTCTACGGAACACAGCGGAACAGCAATGTGATGCTGTAAAACCCGGAACACTACAGGAAAGGTCGCAAAATGGGTGTAAAATAGATGAATGATGATGATATCTAGGCTACCAGGCCATTTTGGGCCTCTATATATGTGTGTGGGAAAGGGCTAACCCTACATGAGCCGTGTATAAGTGGATGTGCGGGTGGGGCGTATGAGGTCACGTGATGCAATATCCGACATTTTCTAATCTAGCTAGTGAAACTTTAAACTTCTTAATAATATACTTTGTAATACTATATCATTAGCATTTTTATTAAAAATATTGCTTTTTTTATCAGCGTGGGACCCATGGGCGGCCAATTTACCCATTTAGCTAAAGGTGGACCACCCAGGGCGGGTTAAGCCCCTAAGTGGGCCGCCCATATGGGCGGTGGGCGCGCACCCACCCACTGGCCCATAGGTTTTGACCCGTCCATCCTCATGTCTATGATTGGTCCTTTTGCAATAAGTCATATTATAAGAAAACGAAGCGAAGGGCAGTACGGGGAAGAGTTATAAATAAATATGATTTTTAGAGTACCTATACAGCCTTGAGTGACGGAAGAGTTTATTTGTCTTTCCTAGGTTTCTATATAACTACTACAAAGGAACCTGAAATCATGAAGGCTATCATTCTATGAACTCGATACGTAAATGGCGGATAAGCTAAAAATCGAGGTTAATTCCGACGGGACAGTGGATCGGCCCACACTTTTCTGAAGTCGTCAATTATTAGTTAACTCGTGAACTACATGAAAGGGGACCGATAATCACGTGATATCCGTCTCGAAGAAAATGTGTTGGACCAGCGAAAGGCTTTCTGACGGGTAGACTATTCGAGAAAGGGAATATCAAATATAGTTATAGAAGGTATCTCCCGTGCTCTAATATTCTGTTTCCTGATAAGTTTCTATCCTAATTATTCGACGGCTGAAACCTATTTGAGACTTTGCAAACGTTAGATGCTAACCTAGCCTACGTAGACGTAGTTATCCCGTCTCTCTATTGTCTAACTAGATACCTAAAGGAAATAATAGTAATACTGCTCTCCTTTAACAACGGCGGCCACAATCGGAGAAGTTTGCTTTGCTTTAGGTAACAGATTGGGACCAAGCGAGTACCTATGATAAGGACTCACTCATATGTAGTATACACTACTCTATCGAGTGGAAGGTTACTGTAAATAGAAAGATGGTCTCGAGGGATAAATCTGGTGCTGGCATCAGACTCATACTAGGACCTTTTTTTGCGGCGGAAGCTGAACAAGCTTTTACGTAGAAAACTTTCCTACAGTTAGATTTATATTCGACAACCTTTAATATATACTTTTTAATCGATTTGTAATCTTCAGACATAGTGGTTATTAATAAAACAATATTTATACGTTATTAATAGAGATGTTGTTACGTTGCTGTAGTACGTAACGTTGATGTGGCCAGCACCCATTATATGAGTTTGTGGCACGGGTAGACTGAAGAAAAATGAGCTCAAGCAGTTGATCACCTTGTCAACAGACGAATCATATTTGGGAGGTTTGAGACGCCCTTCCTGGTCCCTATCAACGGAGTAGGCAGGTGAACGATGATATGATGGCTCAGACACAGAAGGTAACACACTTTCATTATTGGCATCATTGAAATGCCATGGTTTGCTAATCCTGATACGCAACTCCTGAGCCCCTGTTCGTACGGAGATGTTTGCTCGTTTCCATCTAAACTGGCGGCTACAGTCTGGGGCCAGCCACCGTCAATCCTAACTGGCTTTGTCTAAGTGGATTGGGGCTCGGGTAACCTGCAACCTGCAAGCGAAAGTTACTCTCCACGCAGCAAAGAGAATTAGGTCAGAGGCCGATGCTAGTATCCAATAGCATTGAGACTTTGCCATCGACTCCGTCATGGCTTTCCATCGGGACTTACGAGTGCAAACTTATCCAGCCATGGCTAGGTGGAAGTGGTGGTAATGGTTTGGTCTTAAGTTTAATATGTGTTTTCCCGTCTCCCAAGTAAATCGTGAGACTGGCCAGACAACCTCGAACGCGGTTTTGAGATGGTTCAACAGCCGCCAACTTGGGATTGATCAGAATATTGACGCCAAACACGCACGGGCTGCTGAAAACTTAAGCCTTTGCCACGCGTCTAGTACTACATACGGAGTATCCTTCATCATACCGTTACCCTTCATACCCTTACCGCATGGTTTATATAACTCCTTGGGGCCTTCACCTTGCTTCAAGCTCAGTCAGGCGAGGTCTCGCAACCTGACCATCGAAGACGTCGTATGCCTTCGCGGCAGTGAAACTGAGCTTACTGAGCAAAATGGAAGGATCACCCACTGACAACAAGGGACCTCGGATGTTATCCGTCATGTGGACTCTGTTCAGCATTTCGACCGCGATGCTCTTCACGAGACTGTGGATACGCACCCACCTCACGAAGCAGCTAAGCTGGGATGATGGTTTTATGGTCCTAGCTGCGGTAAGCTACTTCTCTCATACACGGTATATACTTGAAATGACACAGGTTTCTTTGTGATTATTATTACTAGGTTTGCGGATGCATCAACTCGGCCTTGCTCACCGTCGCTATCAGTGGCGGCCTAGGGCGCCGTTGGGCCTATCTTGACAAGGACCAGCGCATACAAATCGTCAAGTACACCTGGCTTTCGCAACCCTATCTGTTGAACGGAGATTCGGTGTAATACTGCCTGATCGTACGAAACACGTTAGTCAACTACGCCGTTTCATTAAATATCAGTGTCAGCTCTCCATCATCGAACAAATGCTACGCCCGGCGTTTTAACGCCTGTTTCAGCTGTAGCTGGCATCTCCGCGATGGCAAGATACATGGCCGTATGAGGAACATAAATAGGAGCTCAATATCGTGTATTTAGATGATCAGTGCTTGATAGATTGAAATCTCATAGATTGCTCCAGACCCACCTGACCAATCAAATCAATCAAATATCTCGTATCTCAGACTATCATATCATGTGTATAAACTGGGGAAAGGTCTCCGCTATGCTACTTATCATACGCATTATAGAGAGGGCAAAACGTCAAGCGCTCTATTTCTACGCAAGTATAATCCTGCTGACCCTCATCAACACAGGATGCGTGTACATTATGGTGGGCCAATGCCGACCCCCTAATGCATTTTGGGATCTAACGCTTAAGGGGAGCTGCTGGAATCCAAGTGTCCTGCGGAACTACACCTTTCTTCAGAGTGGTTAGTTAAAACACTTCCTGCAGTATAAAAGAGATTGTATGCTAAATATAACCCGGCAGCTTCGTCCGCCTTATCAGACCTAGTGCTTGCAGGGTATCCTATATTTGTTGTCTCTAGACTGCAAATGCCACTACGCGTCAAACTCGCGCTTGCATGTATCCTTTCGCTTGGTCTAGTGTAGAAACCCACCCCTCTCTATTTCTATTTGGGCGAAAATTGGTTTGCCAAATTTTCTAACCCCTCTACGTATAATAATAGTGCTTTTGCCGGAGCTGTTATAAAAGCCTCTTACCTTACCCGGCTTACCGATCGTACGAACTATTCCTGGAACCGCATCGACTTGGCTACCTGGGCGGTAGTTGAGCAATACCTTGTCATTATTGCAGCCTGTGTGCCTACCCTCGGCCCGCTATTTAAACTTAGCCGCCGCGACAGGTCCTATCAAGGAGGTGGACTATCAATATACAGAAGATACCGCAGACAGAAAAATTCTGGGTCAAGCTCTTCGCGGAAAGCATCGCTTGGGATCGTTCCCGAGGGCGGCGTGCCTAGGCAAGTAGCGCCAGGGAAGCGCAAAAGAGGTTTCAGAGGGATATACAGCGTGTCCTCTATAATAAGGGGAACCAGCTTTGCCCTGTCTCAATATGACAACGGGCACACCCAGATTCAGAGTGAAGCGGACAGCAACCAGGAGGCCATGATTGATAAAACAGAGGAGCAAGGGGATGGGATCACAAAGGTGACAGAGGTGCATGTCAGGACAGGGGATCAGGGTAACATACAGGAAGACTGGGATCATAGGATCAAGCCATGGGAATCAAAGAGTTCCTCATAATGTGCCTACAATGAGGAGGTTAGGGGGTAATCATTTTGTCCATGGTCATAAATATGAAGAGATCTTTAATGACTCATAAAGTACCCTAGGTTATTGGGGATAGAATTTCACACAATAGATGGCGCTGCGAAGCATTTGAAGGTACAAGTCACTAGCCATCCCCCTTAGTCTCGATATATAGTACAGCATGCGCTGACTCTTACCCTCGTAGTACATGTTCGCTGATAGTGTTGTATACAACCGTCAAGATAGATTCTCGGGATCGGCCGCACCTTGCGTTCGGGGTCAGGGGCGGGGGAGACGCGACCATACGTAGACACCCACGGTGCATAGTGGCCGTGGATCTATATTAAACTATAGTCGCAGGCGTTAGAGCCATTGTATCTCAATATCAGAGGTATAGTAAACGATCGGGATAGAAGTAGTAACGTAGAGGGGTCGAGATCATTTAATAGTTACGACATGCCGGCTGGCAAAGTCTTCGGTACCTGGAAAGATTCTTTCGGAAGTTCTCTTTATCTTACTCTGTACCTAGAGCATCTCAGCAAGAAACCGCCTAGGCCCATCACTATTACCTCACTGCAGTAATCAACAGTATAAAATCCGTTGGCTGGATGATGACTGAGATAATGGAACCAGGAACCGCATACCCTAACCCAGAATCTATATTGCTTGAAAGCCCCGAGAAGTGGAGCCACGATATTCTCGACTTCCAAAAGAATACCGAACACAGTGCTATCCCAGAGCTCCTATCTGTACGTGAGGTAGACACCGAACCCCAAAGGCAAACATCGCTGACAAAGTATTAGCACGTCTTCCTCGCCATTGCCAAAAACAACCTCACTTTGTCGGGACTTAATTTTTGAAATATCTCTACAACCACTGATCTATCTGGCTTATACTGTAGCTTAATCTACTCGCCAGCTCTCAAGGTATCGTCCAATACCAAGAAAGTATGGCGAGCAGCCAGTCAACGCCCCAGGTGGGCCTCATGCCCCAAAACACACGCGACCATGCCACCCAAATTGAAGCAGACATCAGAGCTATAGAGGAGTACCGAGCGAATCCATTAGGCAAGAACAGAAACCCAACATGGAATATGATCAAGACCTTCATGGAAAGCGTAGAGGACTACTTGGAGAAGACCCGCGACCTTGCAACCACCCATGAGATGATGGCAGAGATAAACGCGTCGAACAAAGCGCAGGAGGAAATGAAAAAGGACATAATACAGATCAAAAACCTCCTTATAGCCCCAAATAGTAAAGCAAACAGACTGACTTACGCGCAAGCAGTGAATCGTCCCCAATTCACGCAGCCCACCCCGGCACCACGACCCACGAACGGTCAACGCGAACTGCTGGTGAAGCTAAACGAACCAAACCCAACCGCGGCTACAAGACAGGCAACAGCTGAAGAAATAAAGGAAAAGGTCAACTCAGTACTCAGAAACAACCAGGAACAGAATCTGAAGGAAATCCAAATTATTGCAGTCAAAAGACACCCTAGCGGTGACCTGACCCTCTACACAAACAGCCAGGCAGACGCAAAAAGAATGATCTCATATAGAAACGGATGGACAAAATCTCTGGGAGAGAAGGCATCCATAAAGGTCCCCACCTACGGAATATTGATTCATGGAATCAGCACGCAGATGGAAGCAGAAAATCAAATAGAAATGGAAGAGAAAATCAGGTGGAACAACCCATCGTTAGCTACGGCGCGAGTGGCGTACTCGGGATGGCTTAAGAGGGACAGAGGGAATAAGCGAGCGTCTTCGGTTGTAGTAGAATTCGAGAAGGAAGAGGACGCAGACTATGCTATACAGAATGGAATCGTATTTGGAGCTCAAATCTTTGCTTGTAACTTCTACGATAGAAGCTGCAAGCTCAAACACTGCTTCCGATGCCAGAAGTATGGACATATAGGGACTCATTGCAAAGCAGTAGAGAAATGCGGATACTGTGCGGGCGAACATGAAACGAGAACATGTATAGAAAGAGATAATCCAGGATCGAAACCAAAATGTGCAAACTGCGAGGGAGAGCACCCAACCTGGAGCCCTCAATGTAGTAGACGAAAAGAGGAATACGAATGCCTCGCGGAAAGAATGAAAAGCATGCCGTACACACACAGGGAGGCATCTCTCAGATATGGAAACCACACCGATATTAGGAACCGTCAACCAGGAGAAAGTTACACAACGCAGGTCGCTAGGGGGAGAACGCAGGACAGGAACGTTACCAAACCTACGGCTGGCCCCAGAAAAAGCAAATCACCAAGGAAGGACCTAAGGCAAGCTACAACAGCAACAGCTAACGGCGACACGACTAGACGTGCCCTTCAACAACTTGACCTTAACTCAAGGCCGACGATTTTGGCAAGGAACACTCAACACAACAAGAGGCAAGCATGCGAGACCGAAGAGTCTCCCATAGCGTCACAGGATACAATCATGACCATGACCCCTGTTGATGGATAGAACGACCTTATCGATCCTACAATACAATGTCAACAAATCAAGAGAACAGGTAATGGCGCCGCTGATGGCCGATGATAACACACATGGATATGATATTATCGCAATCCAGGAACCATGGAGGAACCCCTTCCAAAACACAACCTTCCACCCGCTGAAAGACCGATTCGACCTAGTGTACAAGGACGACCAGGACACAAGGGTCTGTTTCTTTATCAACCGAAGACTGTTAGGGTCATGGACATATACACACCATACGAAGGATCTGAGCACGATCCACATCGAGATATGGGAAGAAGACATTAAACGAAAGATTCATGTACACAATGTGTACAATCCAATACCATTCCATGAGAGTAGGGGTGCCTACTTCAGCACGATACCAGCGCTATGGAAGGCATTAGAAGAGAATAAAGAAGACGAGCACATTGTACTGGGAGACTTTAATCTTCACCACCCGATGTGGGCAGGACAGCAGACCAGAAGAACCTCAGAAAAAGCCGACGACCTCCTCGATCTGATAGCAGAATACGACCTGAAACTCTTGCTACCAGTAGGCACGAAGACAAGACAAGAACAAGGGGAACCAAGCACCATCGATCTGGTATTCAGCACGACTCTCCTGGCAGATGTATAAACTGTACGAGATAAGCCTTGCCATCCAAATCTTTAATCACTAGATGAACATCTGCTCGACAGTCATGGTGATAATATTTGAGCCCGGCTATTATTGTTTCCTTTCGTCGATATTTCTCTTGTATAAAGCTCTTATGCTCAGTCCATGGCTTGGTGACACCTCCTGGGATTGGGTTTTGTGTATCCGGCATGATTTGAGGTGTGGGGGATAGAAGGCCATATCTAGCCATCAGGGACTATCCAAGTTATAGCTACTTGTGGCCGAGCAGAAGCGTGATTAAAAAAGCGTAGCCTCCATTTGTTTACATGTATAAAATGCATTTCTGCCAGACGTCACTTTTACCGCCCGCTAAAAATAGCATTGTTGGAGCGCTTAGGATGAACAGGGGTAAATTGTGGAGCCATCATAAGTTTATCCACAAAAGTGAGTCGCCCATTCATCCATATAGCTGCCGCTTGCTACAGTAGATTCACTAGCACGACTATCTGCTTCCTGGCTTCCTGGCTCCCTGGGTTTCTGGCTTTCATCATTTACTCAGCTACACACGCTAGAGGGGTCACCCTTCGCCCGCGAGGCACCGTTCCTGGTGGCTCGTCCTCCTTCGCGCCAAGTTCACCTTCATTCACCCTTATTCCTCTGCATTCACCTGCATTCACCCGAGCTGCGATGGCGGGCCGATTAGCATGGAATCGCCAGACCTCGCGACTCCAAAAATGGAGCGGCCTCATGGAAGAGTGGCCTCCCAAAGCAGAGGCGGGTACTCGCGTAAATATAAATATACCCTCCATCTGCCTTCCTCTCTCCACACTCCCTTGACAGCTATCCTAACTTACCTTCGCCCATCTTGTCTTATACCCATTACAAGATACCATCCCTTTGTTTCCAAGTCAATGTGCCACTGCCCGTCTTTGAAGCCGATTCGTGCCCTGGTGACGGCATAGGACTATGGGCATCGAACGCAGAGGGGCCGTTGGCCGCAAGCAGCGCACGTACACAACGGGCCTACCCCAGGGCTACTTCGCACAAGTACGTGAGCAGCACGCCCAAGATGGACCGACAAAGAGGGTGCCTCCGCCCAACACCCAGGTTAGCATGCGGACGCTGATGAACAAGCTTGAACAGTAAGTCCTCGGCCGTCGACCCCTTCGAAACGCACTGCTGGCTGAACTTCGACTTCCAGATATTGTCCCGGCGAGCACAAACCAAACACCCAGGGAGTGGATCAAGACGCTCGAGGCTCCCGACGCAAAGGCATTCTTCAACTGGCTGAGGGTGACCCACGGGACATCCATCAAGAGAGAGTCAGTCCCGCATAGCTACTGGCGTCGTATAATGGTGTTCTACCGAAATACTGAGCACCGATCGGTAGACAAGGCGATACAGGAGGATGTCGAAGCTGTGAGCCTCTCTTCCTCCCAGACGATCGTCTCCGAGCAGGCTAACAAAGGCGGTTTCTCGTCGAGCTAAGCAAGGACTGGGGGCTCCTTCCGCCAAAGCCAAAGGAGCCGGCGAGCAAGAAGGTGATATACAGTATACTCGTCACCAACTGGGCACGATGCGAGAAAGTATACGCCGACGAGAGGCAGCGGCTGCAGGTATCAGCAGGTATCCTCCTCGGTTGCATCTCCTCATCCCGTATAGTGTCCCTTTTCGACACTCGCAAAGGTGAGTCCTCCGCGCAAACGCAGCAGTAAACGCAAATGTCGGCCGTCTCGTCAAGTAAAAGAACTAGTTGCCACCCCTCAAGGGTGCAGTCACGGCTCGACGAATGCGCACCCCAAGCCAAGACGCAGAAAGTCTTTGATCCCTCGAGCCCGGTCGCTAATGGCTTAGATCCCCCCGTCGGGACAGGGCTCGAGCCAGCTGACCTTACTTCCGATGTCTCCGGCGAGGGAGACTTCAACCTGGCGGACCTCGCTCCCGACGGAAGCGTGACCGACGACGGCTTCAACGCGGGCCCAGAGGAGACGGGGCCATCGTGTGGAGACATATCTCGTTCTATATCGTCCGCAACCCCGAGCCCTGTCGACCAAACATACTCGTCGCGAAGGTAACGCTCATCCACACCAAGCGCGATAACAGAATCTATCATGCACCGTGCGAACGAATTCCCTTACCCCTCTGACCGTGTACCCTTGCTGACCGAGGCTGTAGTAAGATATTCACTACTCCAACACCCCGAGCCTCTTCGATCTCCTCGGACAGCTCCTGTCAATGGCGGTCAAGGATGAAATCTTCGTAGCGGGGTTCACGACGCTCGAAGACTTCTACTAGTAAGATATCCCCGACTATAAAGCTAGCATGCAGCTGAAGGTTAAGAGGAAAAAACTCGACCTGCCAACATTCCGTAATCCCGAACGCACGGCAAATGGGTACTGTATCTCACCCACGATGGCTCTAAAGGGCGCCGTGTGATCCAGCATACTTAGGAGCCTTGGAATATACGCCGGGCTGAAGCACAGCTTTAGCCAATATAAAATCCGGCGTTTTGCCATCAACGTCCTTAATGGTAAATCCTTCGTTTACCGTCGGGAAATACCTCCTTCCGCAGTTTATTGACACAGGGAATGAGCGGTTGGTAATCCTCCGTGAAGTGTTCAGTTGTTAAACGGGGGTCGGTATCTAGGTCTTAGCTAGTGTCCGGACGGGGCTTGCTGTCGGAGAAGGATAGAACGATAGTAAGGCCGTTTATTAGAAGCGAGGCACTATATACTGATAGCGGCTCGGTTCCCTGGGTGGTTTTGTTGGGCAAGGGGTTCTGAATCCAACACTCAGTCCCAGGTGTGTCTCTGGTACGCAGAGGTCTTGTTGCTGTGAGGCTGAAAATCCAGTTAGGCAAAGGGACTTGGTATATGCAACCAGTTGTATACAAGTGCTTTGGGTAACTGATATGGTAAAACTGAAAAGCTCAACGTTGAAATGGCCTGTAACTTGAAGGAGCTTTATTGAAGGCTTTGATCGCGAGTATAAGACTCTTGATCCTAAGGCAATGAGCGTCCTTGTATATTGGATATACAAGTCCCTCATTAAGTTTTCCGTGAAAGCCCTTTATGGACTCCCCTTCGGGGGTCCCTTGTGGACTCTCTGCTGGTAGCCCCAGTTGGACTCATCTAAGTCTTGGCTTCTTGAGCTCCTTCTTAATCACGTGACTCGAGGTTGTTCCGTGCCGTGCGTTCATCCGATGAGTTGTGGGTTCTAAGGCTGCGCCTCAGTCAGTCCATAACAAAAATTGTATTCCTTCAAATCAGAATCACTTTTCTCGTGGCTCTCTATCAACGCAATTACTGGAGTTAGGAAGGTTTCTGATTAGGCTGAGATTCTTTATGTTGTCGGACAAGATGACTGATTTCGAAGATGCCATCCGACTCGCACAAGAAGCTGTCGCTATGGCACCAGAGGACCATCCAGATCGGGCAAGATGTTTAAATGATCTTAGAATTGCACTCATCAACAGATTTCGAGAAACAGGAGCGATGGTCGATATCGACGAGACCATCCAAGTGACGCAAAAATTGATTAACATAACTCCAGAAGATTGTCAGAACTGGGCAAGATATTCAATCGCTCTTGGAATTCTACTCAGTACCAGATTCTTGAATATGGGGGAAATATCCGATCTTGATAGAGCCATCCAACTTCAACAAAAAGCTGTGGATTTAACGCCAAAAGACTGTCTAGATCGGGTAACGTATTTAGACATTCTTGCATTTACACTCGATATCAGATACTCCAGAATAAGAGCAGATTATGACCTCGAAAATGCTATCCAATTTGGGCGGGAAGCTATTGATATAACACCAGCAGGCCATCAAGACCGTGCAAAACGCCTAAATGATCTTGGAATTCGATTTGGCGATCGTCACTTAATAACAGGGGTATTATCTGATATTAACGAGGCTATCCGACTTGGACGAGAAGCTGTCAATATAACGTCAAAGGACAATCCAGATCGGGCAAAATATTTGAACGTTCTTGGAAATCAACTCAGCGCTAGATATGTGAAAACAGGAGTAATATCAGATCTCGATGAAGCTATTCAAGTTGGACAGGATGCTGTCAATATGACGCCAGAAGACCATCCAGATCGGCCAGGACGTTTGAGCAACCTTGCAGCTACACTCCGCCAGAAACATATAAAAACAGGGCAAACGTCTGATATTGACGAGGCCATCCGACTTGCACGAGAAGCTGTCGCTATGATGCCAGAGGACCATCCAGATCGAGCAAAATATTTAATCGTTCTTGGAAATCAACTCAGCGCTAGATCTGTGAGAATAGGAGCAATATCAGATCTCGATGAAGCTATCCGAATTGGGCAGGATGCTATCAATGTGACGCCAGAAAACCATCCTGACAGGGCAACATATTTAGGTAATTTTGCAGTTATGCTCGATAATAAATACCTAAAGATAGGGGCAATGTCTGATCTCGAGGTTGCTATCCAAATTGGACGTGAAGTTGTCGACATAACACCAGCAGGCCATCCAAACCAGGCAGGGCATTTGAACAATCTTGGAAATCGATATAGCGATAGATATTCAAGAACAAGAGCCATGGCTGATCTTGACGAAGCCATCCAACTTCAGCAGAAAGCTGTGGATTTAACGCCAAAAGACTGTCTAGACCAGGCCATGTATTTGAATAACCTAGCAGCTACACTCGGTGAGAGATACCTAAGAACAGGGGCGATATCTGATCTCGAGGTTGCTATTCAGCTTGGACGCGAAGCTCTTGTTATAACACCAGCAGACCATCAAGATCGTGCAAAACGCCTAAACAATCATGGAATCCGACTTGGTAACAGATATTCAAAAACGGGAGCTATGTCTGATCTTAACGAGGCCATCCAACTTGGACGAGAAGCTGTCAATATGATGTCAGAAAACCACCCAGAACGAGCAGGGTGTTTGAATGATCTTGGAATCCGACTCGGCAACAGATACTCAGAAACGGGGGAAACGGCGGACCTAGAAGATGCTCTTACATACCATCAATCCGCTCTATGTCAGCCCAACTCGTCTACCATCACTCGAATATTAGCCGGTAGAGAAGCTTTTCGGCATTTTGCAATCATATCGAATTGGCAAAAGGCTTACGAGGTTTCGGATATCGCCCTTCATCTTCTTCCTGAATTAACATCGCGTTCACTTGAGAATTCTGATAAGCAGCATATACTTGGTCAAGTGGTAGGCCTTGCTTCTGACGCAGCAGCGGCGTCATTACATGCAGGGAAGGGGCCGTCAGTAGCACTGAACTTGCTTGAACAGGGCCGGGGCGTGATCGCGGCATCCCTTGAGGAAATACGGATGGACATTCTAGATCTACAGGAGAGATACCCTAAGCTGGCCGAGCTATTTTTGCGTCTACGGGATGAACTAGAGTTGCCTGTTACACGCAGCACTTCTCTCATGGACGGAAATGGCGAGATTTCTATGCAGGTTCAAATGAATCGACGCTACGAGGCAGGCAAAAGGCTTGAAAAGCTGATTGGCGAAATCCGCGAGCAACCCGGATTTAAGGATTTCTTGCTAGCGCCAAGCGGAAGTGAAATGCTAGCCGCTGCAAAATATGGTCCTATCGTTATTATAAATGTCAGCGAGTACCGTTGTGATGCAATACTTGTCGAGCAACATCAGATAAGGTCCCTGGCTCTACCCGACCTTCACAGCAAGGAGATCAACAAAAAGGCACAGGTAGAGGATCTAAGAAGCCTGAAACTTCTAGAGTGGTTATGGGATGTTGTCACGAACCCCATCCTGAAAACTCTAGGATTTACCGAACCTCCGTCTGATGAAAGTTGGCCACATATATGGTGGATTCCTACTGGTCCTCTAAGCAAATTTCCCCTCCATGCAGCTGGGCATCATAGTAAAGGCTCTTCTGAAACGGTTCTCGATAGAGTCATGTCGTCTTACAGTTCGTCCGTTAAAGCAATTATACATAGCCGCCGCCGTCCTAATATATTTTCAACCCCAGCCCAGGCGCTCCTTGTCGCCATGGAGCATACACCGGGAAGTTCTAGGCTTCCTTTCGCAACTAAGGAGGTTGATATGTTGCATGGCATATGCAAGGCGATGTCGATCGACCCTATCGAGCCGGGACGAAGCAAACAAATTGTCACATCGCAATTGCCACAATGCAAAATATTTCACTTTGCTGGGCACGGCCATACGGATAAATACGATCCATCCAGAAGTTATTTACTTTTGGAGGATGGCAAGGACGACCCGCTGATGGTAGCCACCCTTCTAGCAATGAATATCCGAGAACACTCACCATTTCTAGCCTACCTCTCTGCTTGCGGGACTGGTCGGATCACAGATGAGAGGTTCGTTGACGAGAGCATCCACCTGATCAGCTCGTTTCAACTGGCAGGGTTTCGCCATGTTATTGGCACTCTGTGGGAGGTTAATGATGAACTGTGTGTAGACATGGCGAGAATCACGTACGAAACGCTGAGAAATGGAGGTATCACAGATGAAAATGTGTGCCGCGGGCTCCATAACGCTACCCGTGAGCTTCGGGATCGTTGGCTAAATAGGGTTAAAAGCGGTGATAGACCATTGCGAGATATTGTTCTGTGTGATGGCGGCGATGGCTACAGACAAGGTAAAGGGTCGTTACATTGGGTTCCATATGTTCATTTCGGCGTCTGATTCAAGTTCTGTTCATGTCAGTGGTACTTATCATGCTCGGGGCCCGAATTTTTTATAGTAGGCTCAATTTCATTGATTCATTAGATTGGTAATTTTTACCACCTTATCTTGTCCAACATAAATCCCGCCAGAGATAGAGTAGCATAATACATATCCAATCATGTCAATGAAGTATCTACTGTAAATCGTAGGGCAGACATCAGGCGATCCAATAATAATGTGTCCAACCGATCCCCAAGGCTCCTGTCGGATTTGGTGGAGATTATGTTATTTATCCCCACTCCCATCTGGTCCACCACCCGATGCAGGCCGAGTTACACCTCATAATGCTGCTTTCATTATCAGGCTCTATATAGAGCCCTAGAGCTGCTCACGAGGAGCATCCTCTTTATACAATTATCAACTTCATCATATTCATTCCTCATCATCTGATTGGTCCACCAGGCTCTTTGTCAGCCTCTCGTAGGCTGATCCGCTGCATCTTCCGCTTCTCCATCACCGTGCCTGTAGGCGGCGTTGCCGATAGCTCTTCGTCAGACACAACCAAATATATTTTTATTATTATCGTACCTCTCAATAAAACATACCAATATGGAGGATTTGGGCTCTATCTGCAACCGCATATGGTTTCCCATGAAGCAACTAAAGTACATTCTTACGTGGTCCTTGAAATGCAAGATCAAAGAAAGTGATTGCGAAAGTCAGATGGTAGAGAGTATGTCATTATTCACATTTCGGGACAAGAAATAGGATAACACTTATTTGATGCAGTCGAGGAGTATCGTGCGGGATATCCCCGTTTTTCTGCTCTTGTCGCCGCACATCCGTCGTTTCATATCTGCCGCCGGTTCGGTAATTTACGAGCTCGCCTCCTCCTCTTCAAGCAAGATAAGATATCGTTGCTCGAGAAGCAGCTCGAGAAAATTGATAAAGAGGAGAGCCTCGAATTATTTCTTGGGAGCACGCGGCATGATGCTAATAAGGAACGGCGTTTGATCATTTCTGATATTGATATTGCGTTGGCTGACTACGGTATTCATGCTTTCCCGAGCTCTCTAATAATGTTCAAGCCTGATGGTTTTATAGACATGTTCATCGAGAGGACTCAACAAATATTCCGTTATGAACCTGCTAATCCGCGGGATGTACAGAGCCTTCGGAACTGGCTCCGTGGAAACGCCTGCCTAGCAAGGAACGAGACTGCTTATTTGGACAAGTATAATGAATTGCTCAGCATAACTTCTTCTGACGATAAATCTATATCACGGCTAGAGGCTTGGATTGAGGATATCCTCGTTCGTTACTACAAGGGTTTCCACAAGGTCTGAATTGCACTATGTGATCAGCTCAATTTGGCCTTCTAACACGGTTATAGCGTCCATACCCCAACATCTCGAGCGACCCAAACGTATATATATTCCCTAATCGCTTACTAGCAGCTGCATCGCAAGCGCTATTACTCTTCATCGTCGCTCTCATTCTGTTAGTTCCAATGCTTATTTGCTTGACTGTGAAAAGTATACTTTCGCGAGCCGTGATTGTTGCAGTTGCTACGTCCATATTCATTGCGACTATATCGGTAATAACTAGGGCGAGGTCAATAGAATTGTTTGTAGCGGGCTCAACGTGAGTGTCATGGTCACAAGTAGAAATGATTCGACTTATTACGTACTGACAGACAGATTTACAAAATTTTTAGATATGCTACTGTTTTGGTTGTATTCATTTCTAACAACGGAATGAATTGATTGCATACCGAGCACCATCAGCAATATCCGTTAATGTATCTATTTTCATTATTTATTATTATTATTATGTGATTGGTGGTAATTAGCTATAGCATCCACAAAGTAACTGTTGACGGAGGCAAACAACTTCCTCTCACCTTATCCGTTAATATATGGCGGAATAATGAAAGGAAACAGAATTTTGTGGAGGCGCAATATTCGACGACTAACTCAGCTTTTGTGTATAATGCTACCTAAAATGCTTACGTATGAATAAAGAGAGGGTGAGAGCTCTCATCTACAGTAGCTTGCGATACCGGATTCACCTCTAAGCTGTTGATATTGAATTGTTTGTTCCGTCATGTGCATGCTAAGGTTTAGCCTTACCTAGAAAGGTTAAAGTGGACTTGGCTCGGTACCTGACAATGGCCTGTAATCTAAATGTACTATGTCGTAATATCCTTATTTTTACAGAACAATAACCAGGGGCTATTTTGTAGCTTATAGCACTGCACTCTGAATAGTATCCTAGAATGACTTAGCAGCCGATGGGTTCTCAGTATATCTCAATTTAATAAAACCCAGTATGTAGCTATCTGTATACATGTAATCGATAGGATTGCAGGGTTATCTAGCTATCGAATAGTACAAAAGTTGACTATATTGGCCATAATGCCCTTGGTTTAATGTTTGTCTTTGATACGGGAAAGCATATGCTGTGATGCCAGTCGACTTGGATGATCTTCAGTCAGTGTTGCCTCCTGTACTTTGACGACATGCTCGAGGAGCCGCACGGCCTCTCTGACCTGGCCATCTGCCTGGTAGGCCCACGCGAGTTCGTGCTGTGACGCCAGTCGACTTGGATGGTCTTCAGCCAGTGTTATTTCACGCACTTTGACTACATGCTCGAGGAGCCGCACGGCCTCTCTGACCTGGCCATCTGCCTCGTAGGCCCCCGCGAGTGCGTGCTGTGATGCCAGTCGGTCTGGATGGTCTTCAGCCAGTGTTATTTCACGCACTTTGACAACATGCTCGAGGAGCCGCACAGCCTCTTTGACCTGGCCATTTGCCTGGTAGGCCCCCGCGAGTGCGTGCTGTGATGCCAGCCGACTTGGATGGTCTTCAGCCAGAGCTGTCTCCTGCACTTTAACGACATGCTCGAGGAGCCGCACGGCCTCTTTGACCTGGCCATTTGCCTCGTAGGCCCCCGCGAGTTCATGCTGTGACGCAAGTCGACTTGGATGGTCTTCAGCCAGTGTTGCCTTCCGCACTTTGACGACATGCTCGAGGAGCCGCACGGCCTCTTTGACCTGGCCATTTGCCTCATAGGCCCCCGCGAGTGCGTGCTGTGATGCCAGTCGGTCTGGATGGTCTTCAGCCAGTATTGTCTCCTCTACTTTGACGACATGCTCAAGGAGCCGCATGGCCTCTTTGACCTGGCCATTTGCCTTGTAGGCCCTCGCGAGTTCATGCTGTGATGCCAGCCGACTTGGATGGTCTTCAGCCAGGGCTGTCTCCTGCACTTTAACGACATGCTCGAGGAGCCGCACGGCCTCTTTGACCTGGCCATTTGCCTGGTAGGCCCTCGCGAGTTCATGCTGTGATGCCAGCCGACTTGGATGGTCTTCAGCCAGTGTTATTTCACGCACTTTGACAACATGCTCGAGGAGCCGCATGGCCTCTTTGACCTGACCATTTGCCTTGTAGGCCCCCGCGAGTGTTTGCTGTGATGCCAGTCGACTTGGATGGTCTTCAACCAGTGTTGTCTCCTGTACTTTGACGACATGCTCGAGGAGCCGCACGGCCTCTCTGACCTGGCCATCTGCCTGGTAGGCCCACGCGAGTTCGTGCTGTGACGCCAGTCGACTTGGATGGTCTTCAGCCAGTGTTATTTCACGCACTTTGACAACATGCTCGAGGAGCCGCACGGCCTCTTTGACCTGGCCATTTGCCTCGTAGGCCCCCGCGAGTTCGTGCTGTGACGCAAGTCGACTTGGATGGTCTTCAGCCAGTGTTGCCTTCCGCACTTTGACGACATGCTCGAGGAGCCGCACGGCCTCTTTGACCTGGCCATTTGCCTCATAGGCCCCCGCGAGTGCGTGCTGTGATGCCAGTCGACTCGGATGACCTTCAGCCAGCGTTGTCTCCTTTACTTTGACGACATGCTCGAGGAGCCGCACGGCCTCTTTGACCTGGCCATTTGCCTCGTAGGCCCCCGCGAGTGTTTGCTGTGATGCCAGTCGACTTGGATGGTCTTCAACCAGTGTTGTCTCCTCTACTTTGACTACATGCTCGAGGAGCCGCACAGCCTCTTTGACCTGGCCATTTGCCTGGTAGGCCCCCGCGAGTGCGTGCTGTGATGCCAGTCGGTCTGGATGGTCTTCAGCCAGGGCTGTCTCCTGCACTTTGACGACATGCTCGAGGAGCCGCATGGCCTCTTTAACCTGGCCATTTGCCTCATAGGCCCCCGCGAGTGCGTGCTGTGATGCCAGTCGACTTGGATGGTCTTCAGTCAGTGTTGTCTCACGCACTTTGACTACATGCTCGAGGAGCCGCACGGCCTCTTTGACCTGGCCATTTGCCCGGTAGGCCCCCGCGAGTGCGTGCTGTGATGCCAGTCGACTTGGATGATCTTCAGCCAGTGTTATTTCACGCACTTTGATGACATGCTCGAGGAGCCGCACGGCCTCTTTGATCTGGCCATTTGCCTGATAGGCCCTCGCAAGTTCGTGCTGTGATGCCAGTCGACTTGGATGATCCCCTGCCAGTGTTGTCTCCTTCACTTTGACAACATGCTCGAGGAGCCGCACGGCCTCTTTGACCTGGCCATTTGCCCGGTAGGCCCCCGCGAGTGTGTGCTGTGATCCCAGTCGACTTGGGTGGTCTTCAGTCAGTGTTGTCTCCTGCACTTTGACGACATGCTCGAGGAGCCGCACGGCCTCTTTGACCTGGCCATTTGCCTCGTAGGCCCCCGCGAGTGCGTGCTGTGATGCCAGTCGACTTGGGTGGTCTTCAGTCAGTGTTGTCTCCTGCACTTTGACGACATGCTCGAGGAGCCGCACGGCCTCTTTGACCTGGCCATTTGCCTCGTAGGCCCCCGCGAGTGCGTGCTGTGATGCCAGTCGGTTTGGATGGTCTTTAGTCAGTATTGTCTCCTGCACTTTGACGACATGCTCGAGGAGGCGCACGGCCTCTTTGACCTGGCCATTTGCCCGGTAGGCCCCCGCGAGTTCGTGCTGTGATGCCAGTCGGTTTGGATGACCTTCAGCCAGCGTTGTCTCCTCTACTTTGACGACATGCTCGAGGAGCCGCACGGCCTCTTTGACCTGGCCATTTGCCTCGTAGGCCCCCGCAAGTGCTTGCTGTGATACCAATCGACTTGGATGACCTTCAGCCAGCGTTGTCTCCTCTACTTTGACAACATGCTCGAGGAGCCGCACGGCCTCTTTGACCTGGCCATTTGCCTCGTAGGCCCCCGCGAGTGCGTGCTGTGATGCCAGTCGACTCGGATGACCTTCAGCCAGCGTTGTCTCCTTTACTTTGACGACATGCTCGAGGAGCCGCACGGCCTCTTTGACCTGGCCATTTGCCTCGTAGGCCCCCGCGAGTGCGTGCTGTGATGCCAGTCGGTTTGGATGGTCTTTAGTCAGTATTGTCTCCTGCACTTTGACGACATGCTCGAGGAGGCGCACGGCCTCTTTGACCTGGCCATTTGCCCGGTAGGCCCCCGCGAGTTCGTGCTGTGATGCCAGTCGACTTGGATGGTCTTCAGATAATTTTAACTCTTCAATATGATAGACCTTCTCCCATAGCTCTACAGCACCTTTGATTTTGCCTATGTTGTATAGGTTCTCTGCAGCTAACTTGTAAAGTGCCAGATATACTTCCTGAGGTTCGATAGGGTCAAGCTTCAGGCTATGAAATAAGGTGCTCAACGTCCTCTCAACTGAGCGGTCCATCCGCAGCTGGTGCATCAGTCTACAACATTGGAAGACAATTTGAAGCTTTGGTATTGATGAGGGAGGTATGCATGATTGTCCGTCTTCCCTGCTCAAAAGTGACTGTAGGTGCAGCTGCAATGAGAGCCGATATGGCCGCCACCCGGTATTTCTATAGTAAGATAGTGCGAGGGTACATCCCGCAGATATCCATGACTGGCGGCGTTGACCATCAACCTGACGTAAATAGGCCCAGTTTTGCACAAGGGGATGTAAGTAAACTGTTTTGGCGCCGCGCTCCTCTCCCTTTTGGACCAGTGCAAGGGACTGTAGTAAGTTTTGAGCACTTTGTAACCGAAATGGGTCCCAGATATTTTTGCGCCATTGTATGGTTTGGGGAAGTTGGGAGACGTGCCAGCGGGAAAGGGTGTCAATGTTAACATCTTCTTCGGGTGTCTCTTGAGCCACTTGAGCGCCAATCCAGGTATCCTTAAATAGCTCTAGTGGTAAATTGCTGTAATGTAGAATGGCTAGGAGATGGAGCACAACCAGCGCATCCTGACTATTCTCCCTCTTCGAGGAACTTAAGGCCTGTATAGATGCTTCAAACGTCGCATAGACATTGTGGTATCTTGGCGGCGCTTGATCTGGGCCTAAAGATAACAAACGTTTTGACTCTATTCCATACACTGCAGGATACTCCTCGACAGAGCAGAAGTCCTGGGCTATATATGCCCCTGCTTGTATCAACGCGAGCGTGTGCGAGTCCAGAAGTTTGACGATACGCAATGCAGCCTCTTTGTATTTGTCTGACGGCTCCATATCTGCTGCCTGGAAAAATAAATTCAGACAGTCAGCAGGCTCTAAGCTCCCAAGTGACTTAGATCCAACAGTGCTCAGTCGACGACTTCGGTCATTTCGTGATGTCAGGAGAATGGCACCTCCGGATCCTGATGGAAAATAACGTGTGTAGTCAAACTCAGGGTCGTCGGCATTATCTAATATAAGGAGCCAGTCGCGCTTCTCGTTAGATAGCGATTGCCTCGCGCCATCAACTGTCTCAGCAGCTGACTTAAGCATCTTTGCTATTTTGATAAAGTCGTCGGTTGCTGCGGATTCGCTGCCTGCATCGACCCAAAAGACACCCCAGAAACTATGTTGTCAGCAGTACCTTAGCCCAAAGGTAGGATAAACATACACTTCTCGCATCTCATCCGCGACTTTTAGGCAGATTTCGCTTTTTCCCAGACCCCCCATGCCAGTGATAACGAATCGTCTTTGCGTCCGACTTCCCTCTTTGATGGTTATTGCCGATTTGATTCGATTTATAATATCAACACGGCCAGTGAAAAGTGTATTGACAGATCGCTGCACGCACCAAAATTTATTTCTAGCAACCTCTGTTACGCCTACAGAAAATCAGCTAGGGCTATGTATTGATTTAGGAGAAATTTTCCATATACACACTCTCTTTCAATCCCAGGTTTCGAATGCAGTCCTCCATCCGGGATATTCGATCCTGGTGCGTGAGATACCCTTCCGTGGCCGATTCAATTGCGCCCTTACTTTGATATTCATCCATACCGATGTCCTGGAGGCCCTGCTCCACATTGAAGCGAAAATAACGCTTCTTACCGTAATGGATCCGCCATCGGTCTATGAACTCTGCTTCAGTGTCCTCTGTTTCGGTAGCAATTTGTGTTAAAGTCTTGCTTAAGAACCCCATAAGACCTTCCTCGAATGACTTCATGCCCGGGTTTCCAGTCCCGATCGAGATAAAACATTTGACCAATGATTGCAGATCCCCTGTATCACGACACCAGAGATTCGATGCTTCTCTCTCTACCTCGTTGACGGGGTTGTTTGCTCCGAAGGCGCCATCAGCGAATGTACGGTTACCGATGGAAACCGGATCAAAGAATGTCGTTGCCGCGGTGGTTGCAAGCGCGGCTTCCAATATCGTCGCAGGGATATTTTGCTGACCACGAGGAGGTTTATAGCTCCGAAGTCTTACGATTTTCTTCGAAGAGCGATCCGTAGCGCATACGAAGCTAGTCTAGTTAGATACCTATTGATCAAAAAGGGATTGGGATACCTACACATGGCACCCTCGCTTTGTCCCATTATCAAACAACTCCGTCTCAGGGATGCCTTTTTGAGAAATCACCCCTTTGATCGCAGCCTCAAGCTTGGTTGAGTCGAATAGTGCTTGAGTGCCACCGGTGAGGTTCATTGGAAGTCGGTGAAGCCTTTTGCCAAAAACGGCTTCCGCGAGGCTGCTGTATGCTTCAATACACTCATCCACATCCATCTCAAGCCGCCCAAGCATAATAGCGATAAGTCTATGATGTCAATTAGTTGTGTACGTCGCCTAGACGTAGGCTGTCTTACCCGCCGGTGCTAGTTCCGCCGATAAGGTCAAAAATGTCACATGGCTTCTTTCGATGTTTGCCCTCTTTTTCATCATTTAGCCAATCCATAATGGCTTTCAAGATGTAAAGCGAGGACAATCCCCGCACCCCTCCGCCATCCAAAGATAGAAGGCAGCGCCCTTCTCGATCGAGGGAGTCTGGTTTCCCGCCGTGGTCGGTGAGCATATCTTGCTCCATTCTAGGCTCTATATTCTGTGCTGGTCAAAGTGGTTTTTGTTTAAGCTGTCTCAAGCATCACAGAAGGCTGTTTTGACGATGGTGCTGGCGGCGGAGCAGTGGACAAGGCTGAAAATTTGGGTTACTGCCGGGTGGGGTAATCCACTCAACTTCTCAGTCGGCCCACATTTTTCCGATGTCATCAGCTAGTTAATGTTGAGATAATGGCTTACCAGTATGGTTAGCCGGCCGCTTACTAGCCGAAGAGATATTACCTGTGAATATGCGGGCAGGATCTGGTATCGTTGCTCTCGTTGAAAGCGCGCAATCTGAACGGGAGTCACACCGAAAGGAGACCATCCTTTCCGTCTGAAGCCGATTCGCTTGTCGCAGCCAGATTCATCCACATACACGAGGTGAAAGGAGCGAAAAGCCAACATATTGTGCAGGTATATGTCCCTTAAGTCCTGGCTCTGCTCCTTCGCCACACGACGAGCGGTTTTCTTTGACCAGCCAATTCTGGCCAAAGCCCTGCTGATACAGGATGTGCTTATAAGGACCTCAAACTCATCCCAAAGGAACAGAGCCATTTCATCCAAATACTGGTCAGGCCGTTCAAGGAGATGTTCTCGCAGAGCGTCCAGCATAGCCGGCGTGATGGATCGAGGACGTCCTCCCCCGTTAGGCGGAGCTCTGGTCTGGCCAAAGTGACGGAGGTTGGAGCGAATGTTTTGAACCGAACGGATGCTACAGCCAGCAACAGCGCCGATTTGGCGGTTAGTGAGCGAGTTGCTGAGAATCATATCTCGAATGAGATCATGATGAGAGGCGGCAAGATTCGGTGGCATGGAGGGCATTAATTAATAGGGTCCTGTGTTTATGGTACATACACATATACGAGGCTGCTTTTCAGAGTCAACATTTAACTTCCTACGGCGCCTGGTCATCACTCAGTAACAACAAGGATATTACGACATAGTACATTTAATATACAGGTTAAGTTCAGGTACCACGCCAATATTACTTTAACCTTTCTAGGTAAGGCTAAACCTTATCATGCATATGACGGAATAAACAATTCACAACCGACAACTTAGGGGTGAATTCGATATTGCAAGCTACTGTATCATTTATCTAGTGGGCTAATCATATTCGTGTTTATCTTCGCTGCACTTGCCACCCCCACTGGAGACACGGAAGATTTCTTACTAGAAAGTCTTGTGAGCAAGTGCTAGGCTTACCCCTACCTTGCACGGGCTGTGTAGCTAAATCTCTATAAAATGAAACACGTGGACTCTACACAGCCCTGGAAAATTTCAATTGAGGCTGATCGCTGGGGGAAACTGAGACATATATAAGGAATTTATCGGGACACCAAAAGAACAGACGACTCGTGACCAGCCTTGTATGGCTGGCTGTAAAAGACAACTTATATTGTGTTATTCACCCTATGGAAGGCAGACAGAACTGCAAGCCAACATCTGCTGAAACCCTCAAGTCATCAAATCATCAATAGAACTTCTGAATCTTATTCAAAACGGACCAAGCAATGGACGACTTCAACAAGTGGGTTATCCTGAAATCTTCTAACAATGCGAGTGCTGAATTGTCTAGAAATAAGCCAAATATATCAATCGGCGAGGATGATGGTCGTGCTAAAGTGGTTCCATATCCAGCGGTATATAGATTCCGGTTTCTAGACTTGACGACATCTGTTAATTCGAACAGGAGAGCAAGTTCGCACCCGGAGACGAGGTCTACTTCTACGACCCTAGCACGAACGTTCGGGAAGGCCCATTCAAGGTCTCTTCGGTACCCAATGTGGGAAAGTACAAATTATGTCACAAGAGCGGCCAGCCAGCGAAGGACGGAAAGCTTGTGGATGAGAAGGACTTGAAGTTTACAGATGACCCTTTCTAAGTCAGACGCGGTTTATTATATAAGGTATCGCTCATATTTTTTGATATGTATAAGTTTGACCGTTTTCCCCAACTAGTCATATTATTCCAGAGTAGTACGTATTATAAAATTCTTAGCTATCCAGTGATCATCGAAGACACTATCTGTTTTCCGGAAGCGCATAATCAAACCGGACAGAAAGTCCAATGATCCACAAGGCTCCCGGGAAGAGGTATCCGTATTTTCGCCGGACATAGGTATCTCTGGTAATATAAGCGGCGCAAAGGAAGTTGGTTGACTGGTGACAAAAACTTTGAGTATATCCTCACATTGTAACCGACCTTGGTTTCTGAGTGATAATGGTACCTCCATCGTCATTTCAATGCTTTCCTTTCCGGCAAAATTGCTGCCTTTCGGTGGCACCGCAATATATTCTCTTCCTGATTGCCCATAGAGATTTACTATCTGCCAGGATGGACCCATGTCAAACACCACAATATATAGTGGTTTATTACCGAAATTATTGACTGTCAGGGTCAATTTGTCCTTGTGTTTGACATTAACCTCGAGAGAGCTGACCGTGCTTGTTTTATCGCAGAGCTCAAGGGAAAAGGATTGGGCAAAAGCCGTATTAACGATGCGGTTTTCTATGCCCTCGAAATATTTGAATGCAGCTAGGTGTTCCAAATGTCCTATGGCCAAATCTACTGCGCCTTCTTCATCGATGGGTATATCAGGTACACCAAGGAGTTTCTGATATGAGGAATCTAGGATTCGGTATTTGTCGCCAGCCTTGGTGACATGGAACATGTGATGCTGATCTTCATCATCCTCCTTTGAGATATGTAAGAGGCTTCTCCATCTATCTGTTGCCACCCAGTGGGAGTCATTTCCAACTTCTGGTCCGAGCTGTATTGTAACTTTTCGAGAAGAGAGATATGATAGTGGTCTTGCTTTCCATCCGGTATCCACTTGACCGAGTGATGGTGATCCACCTAATTCCGCTAGTTCCGATCTAAGGCCATCCACAGCATGTATTAGGGCCCTCACTGGCGCTTGCGCTGTATCGTTGAAGATGCCTTCTGGCGTATATGGAGGATACAGAGCGTATTCATCGTTTCGATGGACACCGTGGACTCGCCCTGCCATCAGCCAAAAACGATTCTTATCCTTTAAGACCGAATAAAATCCCGGGTCTGCTGACCTCAGTTCCCCGAAGAAGCAAAAGTTTTTTTCTCCATATCGCATAGGATGTTGGCTGGGCCATGTAGCGTGAAATGCAATGCACAAATGTTGATAGAGGGAGTAATGAGACGCTTCCACGCCATGTTTCCGTAAAGAGACAAGTGTATCGATCAAAAAGTAGGACAATGCTCCAAATTTTTTGCCACAGCCGTACTCGTCATCCCCGAGTTTGAGTTCTTTGGCCACCTCGTGTGGGCCACACGCAGTAAGGATTGTATAACCGTTTGGATTTATCAACCAATCCGGTATCGTACAAGTATCACGCCAGGGAGAGCTTGAATCCGTACGGTTCTGATCTCGGTAGAGAGTCACGTCTTCTTTGTAAAATTTGTCGATGGTAGAGCGATAGTCAACGCATCGAATTCCAGTCTCGTTTGGGTAACTGTTTCGTACAACACTCCCAGAGAAGCAGCAATCAAGGACAACAGTCACAGTGAGGTGGTTGTTCACTAGCTTTTCCATCCATGTTGCCAGAAAATAACCCCGGAATAAACTGCTTCCACAGATTTTATCGAATAAAACCAGCGCCACGTCACCAGTATTCTCGTTTCCGTTCGGTAATCTAGTTGGAATAGTTAATGTACCGTGCCCGGAATAGTGAATATACACAAAATCTCCTGGATTCGCCTTCTCTAACACCTCTTTTAAACTAGATTTCAGGTTTTCACTTGTCGGCCAAGATGATTCTTCCTCGATAGGGAGATTGCTGTCTGGTTGGGGAGGTGTACTTGCAGTGAGCGTGACCACATGTACTGGATTGGGCCCGGATTCTAGATACTCTTTGACGCTCTCGACATCTCGGACAGCACCTTCCAGGCATCGATCATTCCTATAAAAGTTGATTCCAATCAGAATTGCCCAGTGTCTTGTAACAATATTTGGCGATGCCATCCTGACTGAAACCGTAGGGTATGATGCGCACAGTCTTTCCCGTAGAGAAACACTAGGACATAGAGAAGATTTGCTTTTAACACATCAAAGCTTGAGAAACGGGAAAGGGTATACAAAGCTTGAGAAACGGGAAAGGGTATACAAAGCTGAAACAAAATGGGTATGATTCGAGGTGTGAGAAGAGTGGCATATGATTAATCGCTGAAATGAGATCGTTATCGTTGGGCTGGGTCTCGTTGGGCTCTTTCCATGAAGATGAGCTTACCTGCTGATTGGGCAGAAGACGAAACTGCAGCTCAGACTTTCTGTTCGCCACGTCGTGCATGCTCCACCACTTCAACTTCATTGGCCCAAATCGACTTGAACGTCACCAGGGCTTGAGTCTGACCATGAAGAGAACAGGTAAGGAGAAACAGGGGACATAGTATGCTAAATAAGCAGCGCAATGAGGAATTTCTGGATATATAAAGCGGAATCCCTTTTTCCTCCCTCTTCGGAAGCATCTAGCACTCATGATAGACGATCACACATTTTGAGAGCCTGAAATATTCAGTCGCCAATCTCAACCCCTCAAGGTCTCAAGATGCCTCTAATAACGAAGTCTGATGCGTCTAGGATACAGTCCGCCCAGGTAAGAAGCTCTGGAGATTGTTCTGGTCCTATCTTCTGCTAAGCCTGATAGGCACGTGGAGGAAAAGACATGTCGTCAAGTGGGTTCGCGGCTCGTGCCCAAGCCGCCGGAGATCGCAGCAGCAATATCAAGAACACTGGCAATATCAAGAACACTGGCAATATCAAGAACACCGGCAACACTGGCACTCAATTCCTTGGCCAGGGTAGCAAAGGCGGAGCCTCTGGCAAATGAACTTGGTCAATCTTTATTTTGAGAAATTCCACATCGTGGGGAGATTGGAACATGGGGAATTTGTCTTCCCTGCTCTGATATGTCCGCGGCTGAGCAATTTGTCCCTGTTGAAGAAAAACGTATGCCCAACAATGGATTTGGGTGGGGTGGTTTCTCAAATACTTTTAGAGTTCTTTTGGAATACATCAAACCAACTCTTCATTTGTTGCGAATCAAATATTTCACGGGTACAGACGGTTGACGCAAGGTCTTTTGTTTAAATTAAGTAGACCCGGCCTTCCACCTCAGGGTTTTTAATCGGGGGCGAAAGCGTAACCTTCTCACAGGTGTCGCATCATTTACAGGCTTATTTATCATGGACCACAAGAGATCATTTGAATATTCCGGAACCTTCTTAAAAAGGTCGTTTGACAGTAAAGAGCAGCATCCTTTAGCTACTTTTAGTGTAGCCAAATTATCTATTGTCAATTGTACAATCAGATCACGCAGGCCACGATCGTTTTGGATTTCCTCCTGAGGACGAGGCAATAGTTACTTTGTATGGTACTAACAAGTAGAATAACCATGACGTTGTACTTCCCCGTCGCAGCAATCACCAACGACCGTGATATTCCAAATTTTCCAGCCCACCAACCACAGCCCACCAGCCCCTAAGATTCCATCAAGCACTAAGCTAACTCTACCAAAAATGCGTAACTCCTTTTGATTCCAGACTGAACAAGGGTTCGGAGATATCAATGGAGCAGCGGTGTTTTGGAGATCCATCGGCTAAGAGTCGAACGATATCTGCGGAAACCCAGCATATTCCGTCAAAACCGACCAAAAATCATGCTTCTGCAAGAGTGATTTAATGTTCTGAAAGGCAATTCTTGAAATTATATCACACAGCCCCCGATCGGTAGATAGAGTGCTTGTATAAACTTTCCACGATAGCTGGGGAAAAGTCATCCATGTCCCAGCAAGTGCGCACGGCGTCTTCAAACTTTCCCTTGGCTCGGTTTTTCAGATGAGGGATGGAGTATTTCTCCGCAACTTCATACATTCTAGTGTTGAAGAGCATAGGTGAAATTCGCGCTCGGTTGCTGCCACACCCATCATAATCAGCCTCATACATAAAACGGATCATTGCTTCAATGGTACAAGGATCATTTTTCGAAAGGTCAACGGCATTCTCCTCAGTCTCCTAGCAATAACTATAAGCTTCAAGCTAGTGGCATTACCAGGTTAGACAGAGGTTCCAGTTCCCCTCGAATATACGGGTGAAATACTCGGATTGCCCACAGACAACCACCTTATGAACATTGAAGTTGCCATCCGCGGTTCGAATAACAAGGTCGGAACTTGGAGGAATCGAAGTAGTTATAACCTGTTAGCTTTCAATCGCCACCTTCAGATATAAGCTTACCTTTTAAGCTATCTCTAAGCATGTCCTTCTCAGCTTCGCCCATCTCGTCTGCAATGATAGGTGTGATGTCCTTAGCAACAGCGGGAAAGTAGGGGGCCTCCCCACTTTCTTCAGACACGCGGCGTAGTTCTGAATCCTCAACACCAACAGATGCACTCCAGTTCAACCCTTTCTTCCCTTTCTTCCCTTTCTTCCCTTTCTTCCCTTTCTTCCCTTTCTCCTTCGCCATAGCAATCAGTGCCTTATCTGCCGTTTATATTCCCTAGAAGCGCAAGGAAGGCCAACAGAATAGTCACTCTTAGAACCGACACAGGAGCGTCTAGTCCTTGGGCCTGTCCAACGCATTTTAAACGCAATTAAGTAGTATTGCAGTTCCACGTAGTACTTCCAGGCCATTCTTGAAGTCGCAAGTCTTTAAACCCGTTTCAGATTTAACATACGTACTTCCACAGCACAGCCTAGTATAACGTATTCCACCAGTCAACGATCATCACCACTTAATGAACACACCCCAAAAACTCTGCATCCACCAAAACAACCACCTTCCAACAGCCACAAAATGATCAATGAGGCAGCAATTGCTGCTGCGATTGAAGATTTAAAATCGCAAAAGACTCCTAATTACTCACAAACCGCTAAAAAGTTCAAAATTAACCGAATAACGCTGGCGCGGCGGTATCAAGGTGCTGCAGTCTCAAGAGCTGAAGCAACATCTATCCATCGCAAAAAGTTGACAAATGCACAAGAAGAAGTGCTCCTACAGCATATAAATCGATTATCAGAGAGAGGCCTATCACCTACGCCCCAGGTACTGCGAAATCTCGTATACGAGCTCACTAAACAGGCTGTTGGCATCAACTGGGTGGCTCGGTTCTGTAGCCGGCACAAGGATCGCATTAAGAGTCTCTATCTCCGCACCATTGATCAATCCAGGCATGTTGCTGATAATTCCAAGCATTTTGAACACTTTTATGAGCTTGCAAGTACTTGTTTATTAGTAGTTAGCTATTAAATATTGATATTAACCTCTTCTTTAGCTTAGGGAAGCAATAAATAAGTATAATATTACTCCAGATAATATTTACAGCTTTGATGAGAAAGGCTTCCTTATTGGCCTAGGACATGCTGTTAAACGGGTGGTTCCTGTTCATGCGCTTAAAAATAGAAGGATAACAGCTGTACAAGATGGAAGTCGCGAGTTTATCTCTCTACTCGCTGCTGTCTCTGCAGATGGAGAATGGATTCCTCCTACACTTATTTATAAGGGAGAAGGTGATCTACAAGACACCTGGGTGGACGAATTTGACCCTCAGAGAGAAATAGCATATTTTGCAGCATCTCCGAATGGCTGGAGCAATGATAACTTTGGCAAGGAATGGCTTCAAATATTCGATAAGCATACAAAGGCAAAGGCTGGCCGGGGAAGAAGGCTTCTTATTCTAGATGGCCACTCATCTCATATCAATATGGGATTCATCGAATATGCAGATAAAAACCGTATCTTGCTAGTTATCTTACCTCCACATTCAACACACCGTCTGCAGCCATTGGATGTTGGGATATTTGGGCCATTAGCCAGTGCATATTCCCAGGAAGTTGATAATCTCTTACGCAGCGGATATGGGTATCTATCAATGTCAAAGCGAGACTTTTGGAGACTCTTCTACGCTGCATGGAAAAGAGCTCTTACACCAGCAAATATTAAGTCTGGATTTGCAAGTACAGGGATATATCCTATTATGCCTCAACGTCAAATGAAATACTTCGATAAGAGACCTCTAACACCTCCGAATATCGATATCGAGCCTCCTACCCCTATTACTGTACGGGGTCTCCGCCGCGCGGTTAAGAAAGTGCAGCTCCGGCAGTCATTAACCAGCCTTCATATATCAAAGATCATCCGCGCCAGTGAGAGGCTGGTCTTCGATAAAGAGATCTTACTACATGAAAATAAGTCTCTTACAGCTGCACTTATACAAGAGAAGAAGAAAAGGAAGCGAGGCAAGGGCTTAGGCCTATTTGAAAAGGATAAAGCAGGCCAAGCGCAGATATTCTCTCCATCTAAGGTTGAAGCAGCAAGGCAGCGAGCTATCGAGGTAGAGACTAAAAAACAAGATAAGATAGCTCAGGCAGAGGAAATAAAGCTTCAGCGATCGATTTACCGCGATAATAAGACTCAAGAGGCTGCAGAGAAGAAGGCTCAAAGGCTTGCAGATCAACAGCAACGTAAGGAGGCTCTTAAGAAGGCCCGCGAGGAGACTGCAGCACGGCGCGCAGAGGCAGCGATTGAACGGAAGCGTAAAGCTGGTGAATTGGAAGCTGAGCGAATGGCTAAGAAGGCCAAAAAGGCTCAAAACAACGTCTCAAGCCCTATCTCACCTTCCCGATTAGGAAAGAAGAAGACTTCACCTTCTAAGGTTGCTCCTATCGATCCTATTGCTCTAATACCCAATTTCCTATCCCAACCGCGGGGAACCCGTTCCGGGCGAGTTATCAAGCCCAACTCTCGTTTCTTTTCTTAATCTATCTAATTTGTATGTAAACTAGAACCCTACTATCGTTATTTAATAGTCAATTTTATTTGTTATTTACGTTGTGTTGAGATATCTCGATATTTACACGCATGTTTGGACGTAAGGAGCATTTGGAGGTGGTGATCGTTGACTGGTGGTGATCGTTGACTGGTGAGATACGTTACCAAACAAAGCGGTTCTTAAGCTCAATAACCTAATGCAAAAAAAAGGGAATAGGGTAAACTTGTCATACAGTGTGAAAGGGCCACATTGTTATGGTAGAGCGCAATAATTTCCCTAGTACGTCTCCACTGAGATCCAAACACCACGCACTCCGGTGGTCGCGGGCATTAGATAATCCGATAACAGCAGCACTTAAAAGGCGGGATAATTTATTTCCGAGCGCTAGGCGTGGCCGTATCTCTTGATCTTCCGTGGCATGCACCTTAGCGGATATTTTGAGCTTGGCGTACTAGGGAAATTACCGCGCTCTACCATAGTATGGCAGTCAGGATCTAGGGACAATCGTTCCGGTAGAGAAGTTATGAGGAACTAAACGAAAAGCCCATCGGCCAAATCTGCTACTTACGCCGCCGTCGCCTCTTCCCTAGACGCCTCTAACCAGCCCCCGCCGTGAGCATCCCCTCACAAGTCACCATTTCATTTTATCGCAAAAGTCGGAGTCGTAGTCGGAATCTCCCTCGTCGGTTGTGATCGCAGCCGATTCCAGCGCTTCTTTGCGGGCTCTCCTCTTTCCCATTCATCCAGCCTAACCTCTGATTCACTGAAACTACGAATCTGTCCTCGAATGCTGCTCGAACAACCATCCTTATTCCTCTCCTCAAAATGGTACTGGAGTGGGATACAACGAAAAGTACAGCATTATAAATCTTATTGTCTGAGATACGAGATATTTGATTGATTTGATTGGTCAGGTGGGTCTGGAGCAATCTATGAGATTTCAATCTATCAAGCACTGATCATCTAAATACACGATATTGAGCTCCTATTTATGTTCCTCATACGGCCATGTATCTTGCCATCGCGGAGATGCCAGCTACAGCTGAAACAGGCGTTAAAACGCCGGGCGTAGCATTTGTTCGATGATGGAGAGCTGACACTGATATTTAATGAAACGGCGTAGTTGACTAACGTGTTTCGTACGATCAGGCAGTATTACACCGAATCTCCGTTCAACAGATATGGCCACAGTGATTCATGAGTCTCGTCTTCTCTCGCTGGCCGCAGAGAATAAAAACCTTAAAATAGAGAATGAAAACCTTAAGGAGCAGGCGGCGCAGCTCAGAGAGGTGAACCAGCCGGTCATCGCGGAAGCACATCGCCTCAAGGATGCGCTAAGGCAGCTCTGCGGGCGCATCGGTTTGGATTTCGCTGAGATTACTCGTGTCCCAGCATGAATTTTGCTCCAATATGTATGTAAAAGTTAATAGGGGAAGAAGAATCCACAGGTGAAAGTGGAAGGAAAACGCTGAACCAATGGTTTATATATATAGAGTGGCATCTCTTCCCTTTCTCTCACGCTTGACTTCACGGTCTTCACAAACGGCGGTGATTTCAAAATACAAGGATACCTATAATAGCACCGACTGGATGGTTGAATACTTGATGCTATATGAGCAGCAGGGAATTAATCGTCGTCTCCCCAGGCCTGGTATGTATTTAGGGGTCCAGATGCTCTGGTTGCTGTTCTGGGAATATGTTTTATGAATATGTCATATTTGCATTGCTCGCGGCAGATCGGATCCCTAGCCGACATTTACCAATCGACGCCGGTGGTTACATAGGTGTTGGTGTCAAGCCTTTACTGGAATCGACATCCCGAGGGGTGAGAGTGCTAAAGCATCTCGGAGCCCCCGTCGGGTTGGTGAACGTTGGCCGGTTCAGCCTATCTGATGCCACAACTTCGGTCGCTTCATCTTTCGCCCTTTAGCACCTCCCCTACCCCGATGGCACTATCGATACAGTCACAGGATTTACAGAACAGCAGGAGCACCATCAACCACTGCGGGATTCCGCATATTAGAGTCGCGGGGAAAAAACGCCAGAGGGGGGATTATATATTAGTGGCAAACACTTCCTGTCCGTATGGTAATGGCGTACGGCCGAGCTAGTTCTAGTCATAGAATATCCTCTCTACCTCTTTTTTCGCCTCGAGCCCGCCACAGCGGAAGCCAGTCAGGTCGCAAGGCTGGGTGTGATATCGGCAAGGCTGGGTGTGATATCGAAGAATTTTGCGCCCTTGCTCGGATAGGTTTGTAGATGTACTGGAATTCTCAAATCGCACTATTGGGGTTAGGGGTTGTTTCCCCATACCTCCCCACCCGCATGGCTCTGATTAGCACCCAGTCTTGAAAGATCTTACAGAGACCCCTGCTCTAAGCAGCCAAACGGGTGGTTGTAATAGTTCATGCAGGGGAGAGAGAAACAGTCTGGGTCCACCTGTATCTCTGCCATATTATATATATTATTTGCGGTTCTGGGAGGCTCCCTTTCTCTACTCATCTCACACTAATTCTCCTCGTTCGTTTCTCAATTTGCTCTTTTACTGCCTGCCTCACCCATGCAATTGTGGCAAAGGGAGGCACACCCCCTTTCAACAACAACAGCAGCAGCAGCAGCAGGTCGCATGGGAAGTGAGCCGTTTCCATATGACTGCTTAGAGGTAGAAACTCCAACGATGGACGGGCCAATAGTAAGTGCAGCACACCGGTATATGCCTGTCTGGAGCCCATCAAGAATCGGTTCAGGACTCCAACTGACCCAGAGATCGAAATATCAGAGTGGATATGGATCCAACCCCATGCACCGCAGTTTAACAGGAAGTTACCCACAAGACATGTCACTCCCAGTTTTGGTAAGAAAAACATTAGACTGGTTAACGCAGATTGAAACGAAGTAAACCGCTAACTAGAGTATGTCACAGACATACCCTCGTGTAGGGCAACTTCCAGTATCATCTACTGGCATTGATAAGACTGCAGACGATTTCAAAGGGGGCCTGGCTGTCCCCAAATCAAATACTAACAACAGAGTTCGAACTATAAGGCCAGTAAGGCTCAGACGGCGACCAAAGCCTGTAAAAGTGGCCAAGGGAGATGGACCAATGGTAGATGCACCACTAAGTGAGCTGACGAAGAATATACCACACATTCCAATCCGCGACATGGAAGCCTGGGTAAATCGCCCGGTTGAGACTCGGCTGAATGAAGCGAAGATAAAAAATGGTAAGATCGCACGACCAATGAACTCATTCATGCTATACCGATCAGCATATGCGGAGAGAACGAAAGAATGGTGCTCGCAAAACAACCATCAAGTCGTCTCACGGGCCTCCGGACAGAGCTGGCGACTTGAACCCCGAGAGATCCGAGATCAATATCGACGATATGCAGCTACTGAGCGACATAATCACCACAAAGCCCATCCCGGCTATAAGTTTGCACCGAACAGGAAGCAGAACACACCCATGAACCAGAATGGTGCCAAAAGCCTGAGTGCAGCAGCCAAGGAAGATCTTAGCGACTCAGAAGACCAAGGATTTAATATTACCTCCCACCCCCGTCTGGCAAACAGACGACGAACCCTGGGCCCCAGAGGTGATATTAACCGTAGCCAAACTTCAACCCCGTGCGACAACGACAGTATATACAAGAGCGGTCATTCCACCCCCGTGTCCCATTCGCATCGCGACACATATCGGAACGGAGATATCAACCGCTCGCAATGGGAGGTGAACAACCCCGGCGGCACACCTCACCCTGGTATCATATCACAACCACATTACTACCCGCCATCGATGCGCCACGGATTGAATATCGAAGACGTGACATATACGAGGATTGGTATGCCGGGAGGCGTGACCTGTGACACCGCCGCATCAGTGACCATCATGCCAGGTAGCAACGCGGAGCTTCTTCAGCCACAGACACTCTCTCATACCGGAATACCTGTCCCCATGAACGAAGTCCCAGTTGATCCACGGCTGTTAGAATTCGACCACACACGTACCCCACTGCTAGCCAATAATGGCAGCAGCTTTGGAGACCAACCCGACTCTTGGCAGTTTCCTCTAGCAAGAAACCAGCACTATCTCCATGGGTACATGTCTGTTCCCGAAATCGACCAGTGTCCTTACACCATGCTTCCACCATCGTGATAGCAGTGGGCTGACGCCCGAGCCTTGCCTCCACCAACAGGCGAGGAATTTAATGAATACTTTAGCGGCCCAACCGTAAACTGGTCATGGTCGGCTAGTCGACCAGTTAAGCAAACAAACGAGATAAGTGCCGTAAATAAGGTACAATAATCTCTTTCCCCCTTCTCAGGTAACCACGGCCGCTTCCTTCTCTCTACCTAGCTATCTACCTTATTGAATCATGTTTCCCCTTTTTCATCTTCTCGTTCCTTTTCCCTATTTCGGTTTCGTGGCGCCACAGATGGCCGCGGTTTATCCATTTCATACACAATCGAAGTCAAGGTTTGAAAATCTCTGATTAATTTCCTTTTAGCCAATAGCAATGCCTCATACTAGCACCAAGGTTTACGTACGAAGTACTCTTTTTCAACTCTTTTTCTCTACTCTGTAAGACATTCATTACAATGCGATTGCTCTACCTACGCGGCTACTCCGAACGTGACGCCATCCATTCAGCTAGGAGCCAAATGACCAGGGGCCTGAAAAGTCGGATATTACGGCAACCCTTTGCTAGGCCTAAATTGTCCAATCTCATTCATAGAGTTGTGGAAGTTGGGGAAAGAGGAGTGATTAAAGACAGATATATATTTACTATACACATATACGTAAAGCTTCTCAAGCAAGGTCACATAACTAAATCTACGCGAGGGATTTGGTTGGCCGCGCGGAAGCCAAAGTTAAGAATAATCCTTTTAATCTCAAACTGCTGATCGAACTCAGGATGGGCGGTTAACCTGGTCCATAGATTCTTTCCACCCATCAATCTCCCAGGGATTGGCGACTGCCAGGACGGAGCGCTTAAATGTCCTAACCCGGCAGCCCTCTGCCGGAGCAAGACGCCGCGAATGTGGCCATGGGAGCCAGAGCTCGGGGTGCTGCTGTCGTTGGGGACCGGGATTGGTGTATCCTCCTCGGCAGGCGGCACGGCGCCACCGTCGCGAGATAGTCAGGATGCGGGGTGCGGTGGCGACGGGTCGTCGGCGAGACGGGCGAAGGATAAATTCCCCTTTCGCCTGTTCCGCCGTCTCATGTCCTCCATGGACGGCGGAGCCGCATGGCTAGCGCTGATGAGCCAACTCAACAAGGAAACGCGGGAATACTGATCCAGGCCGAGAGTCGGCTTCCCGACGTCTGAGAACGCGGCGTGCTACGCCTGCCAGAGATTCTGCCTGCCGGTCCACTTCACGGTAAATGCCCTGAGCGATCCTCTGAGGCCGGCGCTAGGGATTTCCGGAAGACCTGAAGAGCAGTTTGTGAGGCTCGGCCCTCCGCGATCCGCCAGCTGGTACTGCGAGAGGCAGGAGATCGATAGCGCTTTTGGGACGACGAGTCACCATTCACGGATGGCAGTCGCGTGCATAGCCTGTCGGCGGAAGATTTCGCGGAAACACCTGTTGTCACTGCCACGAACGAATACAAGTAAAAAGCCCCGATTCTCCTAATAGGTCCTGTCGACATCAGGATACTGTACAGAAGAAGGAACAATATGTCTATGTGATTTGAGAGGCCATTCGCGAGCAGGGATTGTTGTTCGGGGGGGTCATTTAGGAACGGGTTTGAGTCAACTTGCCACACAACTGCGCTTAGTATGGAATCCGTCCCCTTAGGTAGTTCGTTGAGAATATCCTTGAGCTCTTCACATGAAATTTGGGTTGCAGAGTTGTAGAGAATTGCTCGTAGTGCAAGAAACGGAGGGCCATATATGTCACCAGACTGTGAGATTGATAGTCTTGCGGGATACATTGCGAATTGAGAAAATGAGATAATTGGAAATCGTATTGGGTGGCCCCTGATAACAGTCCCTATGGGAATTGGAGCCTTTATATAGCCGACCTTAGGCGTAGAGGCCGTGCGTCTGCTACTGACCCAGGACTCCAAAAGAAAAAAAAAGCTCACAATATGATGAAGTTTGAACTAAGTGGCTTGTCTTTTCGGAAGCAGCCTCTAGAGCTAGAAATACACGCGAGGTTTACAATTGCAGACGCCTCTCCCCACCATGCCTATCTACAACCTCGGGCGCTTCTTCCCGCCGTTCTTCCCGCCGTCATAGCTGGTGCCTGATCTCTTCTTTCCTTGTGGACGAACCGATTCTCCGAGATTCATTCCCTTAACATGGGTGTATTGCGGAGATGGTCGAATGTTTTCTTTTCCACACTCCTGATCACACCCGCATTGGTTGCATCTTTCCCTTGCATAGCTATTGCCCACCACCTTGGTCCTAAGACTAGAGCCGTATAGGTAGACCCCCTGCTTCTCTAGCTGATATATTTCTGCCTCGGATTATCAGATGACAAGCCATATTAGTACAAATTAGGCAAATGAAATCTTCAAGTGATTTCTCACCACGCCGCCCTGACTAGGACGAGTGTGTACATATGTAACGCCATATACGCCGTAGACCCTGTACACTAGCTGGGGAGAACTCCGTGGCCCCGACATGGTTACATATTCTACCGCATCCGTGTCGAAGTAGAGATAATGTAGGTCGATCGGTCTGCAAATATAGGCCTGTCACAGCATAGTTCTGTGGTGGCTGGCCTTAGTATATGTATGAGAAAGAGACAGGAAGTGACATGTCGATACATCTATGCTCTATGCATGCATGCGAATAGAAATCTGCGAAGGGGCGTTTGTTGTGTAACTAGAAGCTTAGATCCAACTACAGCCAAAGCCGCTAGTTAACCTAGTAGATATGGATTAGTTAGTATGACTTCGTATGTGTCTGGGTTTAGGAGGAACAATTCATACATATGAAAACGTGGCGGGAGATTTCAGGTCTGGTTGGCATAATTACCCATGCCCGACTGGTACATAACACAATAAAGACAAGCGACACGGGGCTGTCGTGTAACTATGTGGTAGCCTGCTTTTCGTTTGTGACTTCCCATGTTGCTCGAGTTATCCTTGGCTGATGATGGATGGGGGCCCACATGAATGAGTTAGGGTTGGCGCACACTTACACTAGGTTTCAGGAGATACCCGTGGTGGATCTCAACGTCCTCCGTTTCCGAATTCCAATGTTTTCCCACTTCGGTCCACTTTGGCGAATTCGCCCGCCGTCTGTGTGAGGTACTTGTCGAACAATTTGGCCTAAGTAGTGTGCAACGCGACATCGCGCCTCCACCCGAAACCGACTCAGGAACTCTTTTCCCCGGAGGCCCAAGGCTAGAGACGACTGGCGGGTCTAACGCCCCTTCAGGTTGGTTGGTTTGGTTGGTTTATTCATTTACCCTGACCTCTCCCTCACCGGGATATGCAGGCTACCACGGCTATGGCTACTCTCATCTATCTTTCCATGTCTAATTACATGCACGATCTTGATGCCTCGTCAAGGCCTGTGGCTGCTCTCTTTAGTTGTCCCTACCTTGGAATCGTTCCGAACTTTCAGCGAAATCCAGAACCGCGTTAAGATCGCTTCTACTGATCTTCCATTTCATCTCATTCCCTGAGCAATTTGGTGGTTTACCCCCTAGCATTAGTGAGAGGCTGTTGAACCTATCTCCTACCTTTTGTCGCAGAACCTGACGTTGCTGCCGTAGTCTTGGGCAGTCCACCAGCACGTGATGGACTGATTCTTTTGCTCCACATTCACATTTGTCACTGTCAGTATATTTTATTCGGTTTCGGAATTCAGCTAGCCATGAGTGACCTGTCCTGAGTTGTGTTAGAAGTCGTGCTCGCGCCCTTTGGAGTGTGGCGTAGAGATGGCGGGTGTGCTGGTCTGGGAGGGCGGTGTCGATTTTCCTCAGGTGGGCTCCTTTGGAGGACAAGGACCATTCGTCCCTCCATTCCTGCATTGTTCTGCTGCGGTTGGCCTCTTTGAGGATCAAGGCAGGCTTGGGGAATCTGTGGGTCGGGCTTGGGTTGATCGATTGTTTTGCGAAGTGGTCTGCCAGCTCATTTCCCTTGATTCCACTGTGACTAGGCACCCACTGAAGGCAGAGGTCTATGCCTACGGATTTCAACTGTTTTGTTGTGTGCAGAATGTTCTGAATTACCTGCCCTCCGAGTCGTTTTGTACGGTTTGCGATGGCTTGAAGAGCGGAGCGGGAGTCACTGAGGATGGTGTATGTGTGACGCTGGAGAGGCGTTGCTGTCCCTTCGTCCGCGTGGGATTTCCATACAAGGTAGAGCCCATGGTAGATAGCTAGCAGCTCAGCTGCTGGGACAGTCCAGTGTTTTTCCGGTCCGACTCCCACTTGAATGCAGTATTGGACGTGGTGCAGATTGTCTATAACCACCGCCGCTGCTCCAAGCGCAGAGTTCGCCTTTGCAGCGTCTGTGAAGACTGCTTTGGCTGGGTTTTCCATTATTTTCCTAGCTCTCTCGATAGCTCTAGCCTTGTCGGAGTCAATGTGGATGGCTTTGAACACTGGTTTCTGCCATGGTTCCGGGGGGCAGGGGTCGATTGTCTCTATGGGTTCCGTCTCCTCTCTACTAAACATCCTCATTGTGTCCTCTAGAGGGTAGTAACGTCTGCATCCATTGCAAGTTGCCCCTGCCATGGCCCTCTTGAGAGGCTCATATATCGGGTGGGATTGTGGGAGCATGCGGAGATTGGTGACCACATCCCGCGCCCGCTGTCGCAGCCTGACACGCAGTGGAGGGACGTGAGCCTCGACTTCAAGGGCTTGCGTTGACACAGTCCGGAATGCGGATAGGATCCTGATCAGGGCCGTACGTTGGACCTTGGTGAGGGCCTTGGTCTGCGTGGCCGCCTTCAAAGGGTTGTACCATACAGTGGAGGCGTATGTCAGTTTGGGTATTACACAGGCCGTGTAGAGCTGCCTCATCTGCTCCGGCCGCAGGTGGGACAGGCGCCCGATAGCGACACAGGTTTTGGTGGCCCTCTTGACCATATACTGTGTGTGTGTTTTCCAGCGCAGCTCCTGGTCAAAGTACACCCCCAGGAGCTTGACCTCTGACGATGGTGAGATGGTGTGTCCATTCATTGTGATGGTCCCCGCATTTTGATCTCTTTTCTTTTTTGTGAAGTGGATTAGCTCCATTTTCTCTGCTGAGAAACGTGAGCCTGTTCGTCTTGCCCATTCCTCGATTCTGGGGATGTCTGTTTCTTGGATCTTCTTTAGGTTGCTCTCGGCACTTGGTCCAGTTCTCCAGCGGAAATAGTCATCTATAAAGGCGGATGCTCCTCCGTTGTGGTCTACCGGCTGATTGATCAGGTCCGAGTTGAAGATCGTGAACAGGCCATAAAAGATTGTATTCGCTACTAGCTGCTCTGGTTCAGAGAGCATGCTGAAGGACCTAACCTAGGTATAGGCCTCCGTACCAATATTAAATACAAGAGGAGGTGACCAAGCCTCCACCACACTTCCCCGTAGTCCATCCCGCCTCTTGCCCGAAGACTCACGTTCAATCACTACTTCGGAGGTCCAGCCCCGGCAAAGCCTTCCCCCATGCCCCTTTCATGGTTTGCTCCTTAAGCCTATGTCGATACACCATGCCCGCTGCCCTATATACCCTTTCCATAGACCGACACGCGCATCCGTCCTCTCGAGCCACATAGAAGGTGTTGTAGACAGTCCTCGTCCATCAGCCATCGCCTCCATTATGTGCTACGCCCCATGACTGTTACATCACTTCGCGTTGCCCTGCCGAATCTCTTCTCTCCACAGGGCCGACCGTGTCTCGCAGGCTCTGCTCAGGTGGCACTCCTAGCCAGGCAGCGCGTCCTGTAACGTTTCCAGCCCACTAACCAATGGTATCTTCGTCTCCTCAACAAGTCCCAGCCGATGGCTGTTGAAGCCCTGAGTGCCGGCACTTCCGTAGTCCCAGCTCCATTTGCATAGGGAGTTGCCAGCTTCTCCGTGGTATTTGTTCGGAATCCTTCGTAGGTACCGTAGTTCGATCGCCGGAGGGCGGCAGCAGGAGTATAAGCCAGGTTGCCCGGTTCAGCGTACCTGGGCGAATATCCCTTTTTGCTTCGTTCGCAGAGTATGCCGTCCCACTAATATCCCTCCTAAGAGGCCACTCCGCTGTGGTAGTGTTCCTCCGAGCGCTGCACCGGTGAAGGCAGCCGCCTCCCAGCGACCAAGTACTGTCTCCATTCCTCCCGTTCCCTTAACGACGCTCTGCAACTTGCATCCCCATCCTCATTTCGCCTTTCCCTTAACGACGCCCTCGCACCCAACCTTTATCGAAGTGTTGTTGTTGATTTTGGGGTGTACGCGAGCGCAGGGCATCACGTTCCTTCCAAGTGAAAACTCTGCACACCACCACAGGTGTCCTTTCAGGTGGCCTCCGGGCATCTTTTTCGGTCGAGCCATCGAGATAACCTTCCCTACTTAGAATCTGGTCCCTTTTGAAGATTGAAGCCACCCGTCGGATGGTTTTCATACCCATTTGGTTGGCAGTCCTGTGTTGTGCGAAAGCAGTTTGTCGCTGACTTCATCAGGCGAGTCACCACCACCACACCTCCAACCATGAGAATCATTTAGCAAGAGGATCTCTATCGTAAGAGCATCTCTCCAGTACCCAGGCTGCACCGCGGGGAGGCGATTCTCTTTTGCAGCCCGGCGTGTCTGATAAGGCACCCTAAAGATTTACATAATCAATGACTTATGAACGTGCATCATCGGATTATGACGCCTTTGATCTTTTCTTTCTACAAGATAATTTTCCACAATGAGAGTTATTAAACTAGAGCCTGGCTTAATCTCCGGGGTTGAGTTCATGCCTAACAACCTTATCATAATGGAAGATGACAATCCTTTTGGAAACGGTGACCTCCTTCAATATATTGCGAATAAACCCAACCAAGCCCAAGCGGCTATATCAAGTCTACCATCAATACCCAGCATCCTATTGAAAGAGTCGGTATGCTTGATTCTCCTTGATTTTCAGGGTTCACCTACTAACTTTTCAGAGGTTTCGCCGCCTCCTTGAACAGTATTTTAAGTGTGACTACGAGATTCTTTCCAGCCTGCAAATCCATCAGGTCAGTCGGACTTGTTCCATTCGATGGGACTCCGAAGGGCAGGAAAGACTTGTAGCTCACGTTGCTTTACATGATGTCGCGCTGGTGGTTCCAGGCGGCGATGCGATATTGGTAAAGGAGAGATCAATGTAAGTTTTCCGCGGAGGTAACTTACCTTCATTGGTTTTGATTGAATCAATATCATATCGTCTTAGCTGACACTTTTATAGAATAATGTGTCCTCCCTACTGTCTGTCTATAGTTGTCTCTCCCTACACGCGCCAAGTCTCAACAGTAGTGACTGTTCTCGCGCGGGCAAAAGCCAAACCTTCCCAAACATGACTTTCCTTTTAATGAAAACCACTCTCCTACGAACTACTGGCCTTTCTGTAACGAAATGATCTATTATTATGCGACCCGGAACTCCGATTAAATGTTATCTGGGTTACCATATTAGGTTTACTAGGCTGCTGCAGGCCTGGGTTGGTGAATATCCTCAAAGATCATTTCGCCATGGCGATCACTAGAGAGTCCTGGGTGTTCTGCCTGGTTGCTGTCACAAGTGTGTTCTAAATGCATGGTCTCGGCCCACTGATCAAGGTCTAGGGGGTAAGTCGGGTAATTCTGTTGATCCATGTCCTCTAGGAATGCAGAACCACTCCATTGATCTTGATTGATAGAAAACTCTGGAAGAAAGGTTGACTGGCACTGATCCGTACCATCTGGGCCCCCATTCCGCAGGCTAGGACATAAGTGATACCCTGTTGTTTGGCCCGGGGATTGCCCGTATGCAGGTTCCAACAATGCGGAGTGACGAAGTTGAGCAGCTAAGTCTATGTAGACGTTAGCTATATGTAGCAGAAACTTCTCGGTAATTTAATCTCGTACCCGTTGCAGCCTCCTCCCTGGCGGGTAACTCGATTTCCGGAATCGTACCGCCGTCAAGGCACGGCATTTGCCCATCGTCACAGCGATTTACTTTACTATTATCGGTAGCTAATGGGCGTGTGGCAATTCCATTGCTGCCTAATAGGCCATCTTGCTTGTGCGCTCTTTTCAAGTGTTGCCGGACCAGTCTTGGCTGTTTAAATAACTGCCAACAAAGAGGGCATTCTAATCGTTTGGGCCTATCTGACACGCGAGCCAAATCAGAAGTAATTCGCTATCGATGCTGTCAATACTCACGAGTGTCTCCGTGTCTCTTAAGGCTTGATCTCTTCGTGAATAGTTTGCCACACTTCTCACACGAAAAAGCCATCACGCGTTGGTGAGATGTTGAACTAATGGGCGTCTGCCTGGCTAGCCAGTTTATTGCATCATGTGACCCACTTAGTTCATGTCAACCACGCCAGCAGAACTCTCTACCAGACAATCGAGACAACAGAATAGCCTAGCAACAAGCAGCTGAGCCCCCTCGGTACGAACACCACGGTCTCGGATATCTTTGATTCTCCGTGAATCCATAGCTTGTCTAGTTTGTACGCTCACTTCCTTCCCTTACCGAGAAATGGCTATAAATAAAAGCTTCTGCCCTGGGAATATCCCTATTGCCATCCAAAGGTTTCGAAATGACGATGAGCTTGCTCGGTTCAAGTTCAATACTCTTACGCAACCACTATCCGGCGGCCACTGTCAAATCTACAGGCTCGGATTCTCCGACAATGTCGACTGGGCCGTTCGAATACCAATACACCTAAGCTCCTATTCTAAGGTGGAAATCGTCTCCGTTCTTATGACAGAAATCGAAACCCTCAAACATCTAGAGGATTGCCAATTCCCATGGTCACCGAAATTAATAGGCTATGACATGACATTTGACAACGCTGTTGGGTTTCCATTTCTCGTTTTAACCTGGATCCCAGGCGAGCCTTTAAGTTGGACAGCGATAACCCCGAAGAAACGAGTGGATCGCGAGAGGGTTCTCGACCAGATTGCGAAGATTATGGTATCTCTCATATCATGTACACGCAGAGATGGTTAGCGAATCTTATTTACCAGCAAGGCGAGGTAATTACTGACTTACTTAGGTGACTCGGCATTGGAGTACTTCACGAATAAGATCGACCAGAAAATCATTCGAATATGTCAAGGCCGCCTTCCCGAACTCGAAGTCAACCATTGCCTCCTTTTGAAACGCATACTCCCAGAGGTCCTACACCCGGAACTAGATAATGCTCCGTCGTTCATCGACCATGGCGACCTTTCAGCTGGAAATATTATTGTGGACCCGGAGTACAACATCAAAGGGTGAGATTCACAATGCGTTGTTGAATAAAGCGCTGCTGACATTTATCTTTTATAGGATTATCGACTGGGGCTTCGCTAGTTATCAACCTTTTCAGCTTGCTGCTAGTCTCCCTAGATTCCTAGCAGTAGAACATTCTCCTGGCCTTGAGCTATATTTAATGTTACAGAAAGACCGAGCGAACTTTCTGAAGGCATTGCAGCAGGAATTGCCGAACTCTTCAGTTATCGTGCCCCTGCTACTGAGACTATATTCGGCGCCAGACGTCGATTACAGAAGGCTTGTTCTAGAAGCGATTGTCAGTAAAGGTCGGCAAAAATGGTTTGCAGACAGACCTTCGTTATTTTCCGATACCCCGGTAGACTTGAAGTGGGAAGTGTCTGAATTTTTTGCAAGGCCGAGCGGCCGAAAGAGTGGGCTCCATGCCACCGCCTTGATGGAACGTCTGGAGTGTTGAGAATACTTCGGCTGGATTCAGCCATGCTGATCTCGGTCTACTCAATAAGTTTACTTTGTGTGTACGCCAAATAATGCATCCAGTTTTCGGATATAAAGAGCCGTAGCATATGTGGGTAGCGGTGCCATATGCAAGAAGCGGTGCAAGCTGAAGGCGGCGCAATGGTAGATGCCGTCCAGAATCAAGCTATATATATGGACTCACTCTCCGGGTTTAAATTCGCATACCTGCTTTCTTACCACAAGCCAGCCAAAATGTTAGTTGGAGACTATATGCCTGGGCACTTTCAAGCCCTTCCCACCCTCGAGGCCGCACGTGCAAAGTTCAGAGCTATCAACGGTGATGAGCTTGTAAAGGGTGTTTTTCGGCCCTTTTTTGTTGATGGTGGAATGGAAAAGAGACTTGGCCTGACTATCCTCCATCGCCATTTTGACTTGAATGCCGATGAGAGGCTTGTCGACTACAACGGAACCTCTCTTCCTTGGCCTGCGGCTCCCACCCAGGGGATAGAGGAACCCTATGCGTCCATCTGGTCAAAGGCCGCCGACGGCACATTCCGGCCTACCGAGTATCGTTATTCTCAGAACCATAAGGCGGCGGCAATCGGCCCGGCAGAGCTCAGTTTTATGGAAGAGTTCGATAAGCTCCTTCAACATCACGACGCATCGGACCTCTTCGGCCTTTGTCTCTATCCAGGAGATGACTTCGAAGGCTCCTGTGAGATTACCGTGGGTCGAGCTAACATCAATTTGAAACCGGCAGATGTAAGGCGCCCCCTTCTCTGAGTGTCATTTTGGACCCTAACGAAGCTCTACAGTATCCTAGCGACCTCCAGGTAGTGGACACCACGTGGTTCTTCTCTGCACCACTGTGGACTCGTGGGTGTAGATGCACATGCAATGCTAGGGCTGAGAACCATCCGCACGGGGTCCATATTTACACCGTCTCGGGGTAACCTGAAGAAGCTCATCGGTTTATTATGTTTATACCGACCTTGTTTCCTTGGTCTTGAAATTCTCACGTTGATTTAAATTCCTACTTGGATAAATAAATTGTACGCGTTTTGAGTAGATTATCTACAGCAGCCTTTCTTACCGGAACGGAACTGTGGCTGCGAATATTATTCTGTAACCGTAAGAACATGTAGTAATATAGCCTGGGTTGAGGGTTGCAGGGGTCTACAGGACTCCCCTCTGCCTTGACGTAAATAGATCCCTTGGCGTAGAATAGGTTTGTAGTCATGTGATGTAACTAACACATGATCGCTTTCATTCCAGCCCCCTTTCACTCAGCCTTCATTAAAGCACAAGAGCAGCGAAACGCATAAATATCGAAGAAGTTGGTTAGCTAAAGATAACAGAATGTTGCCTCACCCTCACGCTCACCCTCTGCCAATACCTCATGGTCATGTGCCATGGCTTCTCTTTCGCGTTGAGCATGAGGATAATTCCAGTTTCAACAAGCACTCCATGTGCGCACGGAACCAAGATGGCACTAGTTGGCCAACATTCCTGGAAGTCGACACTCATTTATCTTATCGCAAAACTCCGACGCGATTTTTGTCCTTTTTTAGCAGCTGGAGCCGAGCGTTACAGTGGCGAAAACGTCTAGAAGCAGAAGGGAAACAGGAACTCGTTCTTATTGTGGTCTGGGCGAAGGAGTTAGGAGGCGTTTATGACGCGGAGGAGCTCGCGTCTAAGATGGGATACTCTGATTCGAATGCTGACAATCGAAAGCCAAGGAATCATCGTGATGAATATCTAGTGGATCGTGGAATTGGAGATGAGTATCGCGTCTTAGCTGTTTTTGAGGGTGGTGGCCCCGACTCCGTTGTGACGTTTGAATGCTCCTCTTACAGGATTAAAACGACACTCCCTAACGGCTACTTTACTGGAAGAGACGGAGAGAGTCCATTGGAGAAAATTGGGAACGAGATTTATCGTCATACGGGCGTGCGCGACGACTCTCTCCGCGATTATCTTGTGCAGTCTGTGGCACGAACACCGTCTTTATGGTATTTGGTGGGGAGTTGAACGTCGATGAGAACATGGTGGCGTCTGCGTCTCAGGTGTTGGACATTCGAAAACGGCGGAAATCTGGGGCATTTGAGGACCCAAGACTCGAAAATCAGCTCGCGGAGGAAGAGGATGAGCTATAAAAAAATATCGTCCCAAGTGGCATTCCTAGGTCTCTATGGGGCTACGGCAACCGGACCCATAGCTGGCCCCGTCTGCGGACCAGCGTGGCCAAGAGTTCGCGTTCTTCGAGCCTGGCAGGTCCGAGGGCCACGGACCATGGACCGCTATGGCCCAACGACTCCAGTCTCCTGCCCGTGGATCGAGGTCACGGGGGGCCCCCAGTCACCCCGCCTCGGTCCCTGTGCCGGAGACTGGTCCGGGCTTTAGACCCTGGCCCTATGCCCACAGACGCCCTAGGGAAGCTGACTCGTTTCCATGACAGGTATTGGGCCACTTGGGTCATCAGCCCCTGTTCCCGGGTCCCGTTTGGGCCAAGGACTGGCGCGCCGAGGTAGATTGGTGAAAAGTTGCAAAATCGGCCTGCGTTACAGGAGTCAGTCCTGTTTCCTCTTTTCGTCATGCAACTAGGCGGTCTAGCGACTGCGGACGCGGCCATCATAGTGTGCCTTTGTATTGAGTATTATAGTAAAACTGTCACTGGTTTGATCGCGAGTATAAGAGTATATATATATGCTCCGCAGGCCTCCCTTTCATGGGCTGTAGTGTCAAGGCCCCATCGTGGACCTGTCGTCTTCTTGGCGTTTGGGACCTCATATGTATCACATCACGTGATTATAGTAGCTAGAGCGTATTTGTCTAGGCTACGCCGCAGATGGTCTGTAACACTTGCGTCGCGGGGTATTGTTGACCAGGCGAATTATATGGCGCCACGTCCATTATTTGTCATAACATCCAAGGATATGATTCTCTATAAAGCTGTGCCATGCTAGTTAAAACTTATTTATTTCCTCTACGTTCTTAATATCTCGAGATGTTTAATTTCAACTAAGCACATCTCGCAGCTTCTACTTATATCTCAGACACGATTGTATCGGACCTATTTCTCTACTAGAATGGCAACACGGCGCCGCAAAAACGAATATTATGCTATCGTTCGCGGACGTGTCGACGAACCTACGATATTCTCGTCTTGGTACTGTACGTCTCTTTAAGAATTCTTGGTGGCAAGGGACTAATTCCGTTTTGACAGGGGAGATGCACATCCGCGCATGACTGGATGTGAAATCACTGCAAAGGCCTTTTCTACGCTCGAAGGAGCACGTGCATATATGAAAGGAAAGGGAGTAACGGAATACAAGGAGGTTATAAAGGAAGGGGCGGGAGAAACTACTCCGCTGCCAGGACAGGAAGCCTTCTATGCTATTGCCAATGGCAGGATGCCTGGAATCTACCCTTACTGGTGGTATGTATCTTCTGTATGATTGCCACAGCAGGTTGCTAACATCTTGAAGTGGCAAGACAGAGCCAAAGGTAAAAATGGTCTCTGGAGCTTGCCACAAACGTTTCAGAACACGTGCTCAAGCGGAGGCCTTCATTGAGGACTGGAAAATATCTTATACTGATGTATACGCAAAAGCTGTATACGAAATATTGTCTAAAGACTTCCGGCCGCGAGATATGAAGTTGGACCTTAGTGAGCAAGGTGCAGATTTCTGGGAGGAGAGGGAAGGTTAAGCTTGGGAATATTGTTATAGGAATAACGACATGTGAAATCGGTGTGTCCCCACTAAACCGAGGGCTCGCTGCTTGGGTTCAACACCTAAGGCTTTAACGGGTTATAGTAGTATACTGTCAGTGAAATGAAATCGTATAATAAGGCCGATATTAGACTATACGTGCGGGATAACGTCGACATAGCTCAATTCTTTACTAATTGATCAACCTTATGCTCACTCCCGACCTTTCTTTCTACCTCATGTTCCTGACAGTATCTCAGACAACTTCCACTATTTCGGATCCTCTTCTGATACTTGAAATTCATCGTCACTTCGACAGCCAAGCGAGACGGAGGATGCAGTACATACTGTAGTTGTCGTGAATGACACAGCCCTTCTGCCCGTCTTCTATTTCTTACTTTGCTGCTTGCATATTTTTTTTTCTTTCTTCTTCATTTTCCTTATTCTCCTATTTGCCTTTTCCTCATTTTTCTCTTTTTCCTCTTCCTCTGCTGTTTTGCTTCCGTTTCCCCCCTGACTTCGGTCGCGGGCCTGGTGTTGGTAACCGTCCTGGTTTTATTTCGTTTCTGTGACTTGGTCCGTTCCTTACTCTTTAGACTAGGGATCTCTCTGCGAGTAATATCCTTCTCCAGCCATTAGCCTCCTATCTGTGACCTTTTAGGAAATGCACTCCTACTACCTTTCTTATATCAAGCCCTAAGTCTGCCACGCCTGTGCTCTGTAGGGTAGGCTGGCCTGCGGTTACCCCGTTTCCCCCAATGATTACTCGTAGAGGTATAACGCTTTGCGCTTTTCGCCAACGTGGTTCTTTCACGGGCAAGGCCCCAAAACTTGCAATCCAGATGCCTGTTTCATCCATAGGCCAGGCCTGGTATGAGAAATTCTCTGCACCCTTGACCGTTGGGTGCACCATCTCTATCCGCGATACGGCCCTGCCTCCAAATGCTCCTTTCAGGATTGGCTCTTCGATGGCCTGGTAGTTTGTCCTTCCCGAAGGATTAAACTTGTGTGGAGGAGGTGGTGTTATAACCATGACTGTGGCACCTTGAGAGATATAGTAGGCAAAAATAGCAGAGGCGCCTTTCATATACCTGCTCCATCTGCTCGACGACATTTTTGATTTGAGACATGAGGGGTGATTCTTGTCCATTAGTGAGCCCATAGCTATACTTAATGTCTGCATCCCGTGCTCATGGGCCCATCGTTGAGCGCAGTCGTACGGAACACCGCTCCACATAACTTGGCGATTCCGGGTACATTCGTGGGGGAACTTCTGAAGAATCTGCACCTCCTCATCAACCGACAAAAGCTGGCTAACCGCCAAACTTGCCATTAGTAGTTCTAAACTATCTTTTTGGGCCGGTGCACAGACGTAGTGAAGGCCCTTGGGTACCCTTTGTTCTGATCCTGCCACCTGCATCTTTCGGGGTACATCGCAGCGGCATCGAGGGTTAACCGGATGGTTAACACGCTCGTCATCGAAGCGGAGAAATTTGTCACAAGGCTCGCATTTGTAGAAAGGACGACTGGGATTTCCTATACGGTTTGAACTTCGGGTTACTCTAAATGTCCCTAGGCCGCCACAGCATCTGCAGCGAGGAACAGGATCTTGGCCTTGAGCTATGTTAACGGACATAACTTTTGCGAGAATGGTGTGTGCTTTTAGAGAGAGCTGATCAGCCTTAATATGTTAAACGTGCGCAAGGTATTCAAGTGAAAATAAGATGGTAGTTTCCTGTAGCCCCCATGGCTTTTAGCGCCTGGCATGTGATAAATCGGCGAGTTGGCAGACGTTCTGAGAGAAAGCTTACATACTCGCGTGTGTAGTAGTAATGTAGGTTATGTAATAAATAGTTTCTATTGAGTTCTATGGCATTATCATACATAAACGAAAGTAGAGAAATCAGAGAATATCTAATAGCCCGGGTAGTAGGCATCAGACGGTTTACGATAAGTTTTCAGTAGAGGCCAGCTCTAACTGCCTACGCTATAGAGGCGCCTGGGTCCGTCGCTGCGGGGTGTCCACAGCGGATGCCAGATTCAAGGGAGCGTTTTGTGGACTATCAGGGCATGATTCTTAAGTTGTATCATGTCTTCCAGGTCTACACAACAGGTCGGGCATCTGATGCGGTCCCCGGGCTTGATATGTCGAAGGTGCCTCCGCCGGAGGTGCTTTGTCACTCCCCCGGGAACCGAGTAGCCTTTTAGGCACCAGAAGCAGTACAAGGGCCGATGGTCCTCCATCACGGCCTTCAACGCGATATCCCTCTGGCTTGGGGGTGGAGGAGCACGTACCTCGGCCTTTACCTCGACCGTAGCGTCGGTTGACGCCTTTGCGACTCGCCGCTGGTCGCGTGGCAGCTTGCATGTATCCCCCTCCTCGAAGAGGCAGTATTCTGCCACCGCATCTATCGCCTCTGTGCGCCGGAGCATCTCTTCCCGCAGGTTCTTACCTGGAAGGGAGAGGAGCGCCGAGATCAGTCGTTGCTGCTGCGGTGGCACATCCTCGTTGCTGCCAAGGGACTCGTTGACCGCCTCGGTGATCTTGATCCCCGAAAGCTGCCGCTGGATCTCACGCAGAGGCTCCTCGTAGTCAAACTTTTTCTGTATCTTCCGTAGGAGCTCGGCCTTCGCCCTGCTTCGCGCGGTCGCTAGCTCAGTGTTGAGCCTCTGGTGGAGCGTATACTTGTGGGTCCCCTTGTGCTGCGCGATGGGGCGTCCCATGCTCTGACTGAGCTTATTGCGACGCTTTATCAGATCCTCGATGTGCGGGAGCTTGTTGACCGAAGACGCCTGGGCGGTGGTCAGACATCTTGGCCGACGCGGGTGGACGGAGCGAAGCATTCTGCATGCGGCACGCATGATATTGTCCTGCGGTTCGATGCCCCGGACGATGGCGGCAAGGTCCTTATCTACCTTCTTATGGAGGTAGAAGTCGAGGAACGTTCGCGTGTCGGAGTGTTGGAAGATTAGACTCCGAACCGCGTCGCTGATTTGGCCTGCGTGATGAAGATGTACGATGAGTGATAGGTGGTTGGAAGGATATATTTACGGTGCAGGACTTACCGCTGTTATCCAGCGCCTTTCCTGCGCCATACCTCAAGCTGTAAGCCCGAAGGATCTGAATGAATGTTGATAATTCCCCAATGATCCTGATCGACCTCCAGAGTGTCTGGTAGGTCAGGGCCTCGGTGTCGGATACCTTGACTCCGTCTGCCGTTTGCTCCAGCTTTCGGAACACCGGGATATCGTCTAGCTCCGGTTTCAGGGGAAGGCGAAGCTCGTTAGTGCCCTCGGGGATGCTGAGATCGAGAAGTTGTTTCGCCGAGGTAAGGACCTCCTCGCCCTCCAGGCGGCCAAATGCACCATCGGCGAACAGGAGGCCAAGGAGCATGACGTGAGGGCTGAGGATCAGAGACGGGTCGAATATAATCTCTGGGATCACAAAGGTAACGCTGATCGGGGAGTGAGTTAGCTGGATAGTCATCGGCCACCGCAAGGGTCGGTTCACATACGCATCTTTGTCTCCAAGAAATGTTTTGGAAAATTCCGGGGTAAATTCGATCAAGATGTTGTTGGGCCCGCCGTCAGGGTCGCGCAGGAGGGTGACTTGGATGTCCTGGTAGCGTACCTTCAGCAGCGCGCCCGGGCGGTTGGCGGTGAAGCCGGCGAGCTGGAAGTATAGACAGAGGCAGATACGTAGCCGCCCATGGCCGAACTTCTTCTCGGTCGTCGTGACCGTCGTCTCGACAATCTTGGTAAGGTCATCAAGGTAGACGACCGACTTCGGGCGGCCTTTCGTTGAGAGTTTAAATAGCTTTACCAGCGCTGGTATTATCTTAGACCACAAGTTATGTTAGCATGAAATGTCGCCGCTTGGCTGCCCGCGGATTCTAGGAGGGGGAAGGGAGATAGGGTGGAGCATGGTACTTTCTTCACCACACCCCTTGATGTCTCTTTGTCTATCTTTTCTTGCTTCTCCCTCTCATAGACTAGTCGAAAGACCTTCCAGTAGGTCTCCAGGGAGCTCTTGTACTGCAGCCCCTGCCGTCGCCTCCCATCTTTGCCGCGGCGTTGGTTCAAGGACCAGTGGAAGAAGGTATATATTTTCACCACGTCTACTTTCAGATACATCTCCTTCACGTCTTTCTTCAAGTAGGCGCAGAAACTGTATGGTGGTGAGACCGGGAGCAAGATCCTGTTAGGATCGGGGCAGACTTACTTCAACCACTCTCGCTCGACCCGGTCGAGCAGCTCCAGCGACTTGGGCGCGTACTCTTCGCACTGAAATGAGTTCCCGTCAAGGGTGTTTAGTTGCTTAAGGTAGAACTCCCGTGAGTGATTATTGTCCGCCAGCAACTCCGCTAGGTCGTCGGCGGCTTGCTGCTCCCCTGCGTCATCTTCCCCGTCACCAGCATCAATATAGGCATCACCGTCTTCATCCTCATCTTCATCTGGGACAGTTATACTAGTCTCTCCGCTGGCGTCGGAGGACGAGCAGTCGCTTAGAACCACAGCGGCTTCGTGGCTGGTGTTGGTAGCGACTGCTGTGTGGCGTGCCATGTTCAACCTGGCGGGGAAGGACGGGTATCAAGAGGGACTTGGAATAGCAAACTGGACAGAAAGGGAGCCGGCAACCAGAAAAGAAAGGGGAACGGTAGACTGGGGCAGATGGGTGAGATGGAAGCTTGGGGTGGAAGGGGCCTGCTGGGAGCAGACAGCCCGCCAGGGGCGGACGGTAGCCATCGCTTTATAGCTGGAAAATGGAAGGCCATTTCTGGCCTTCTGTCGCAGAATGGGCGAAGCGGTTGAGAGAATCATGTCGCAGCCGCCCGGTCTTGGAAGATGGGTGACTGACTGTGAACGGAACGGGACCAGAAGAGAGAGAGATGTGGGACGTCGACATAGCGTACCTGCAGGGGAATTAATCACGTGTTGGTGCGTGGCGCGTGGCCGGTACGGTGAATGGAAGGCCAAAAGCGGCCGCAAAAAAGGCCAAATTCGGCCCTCTCTTCACCGTTGGAAAGATTTATAGAGTAATAAAAGCTACTTAAGGATTATAAAAATACTATTAAATAAACTATAAAGTAGATTAAAGAATATAAAAATAGTATTAATATATTTAAAATAAAAACTAAAGATAAAAGGACTACTATTAAAATTTATAAACCTAATATTTATAAAGAAGATTATACTAAACTAAAATACTTCCTAAAAGAATATAATATTTATTTAGTAATTAAACTAAGAGTTACTAATATTAAGAAAGTTATCTTTATAGAATCTTATATATAAAAAGTAGTAGTAATATAGTTTAAACTATATCTTAAAGATTAAACTAATATTAAAGAATAATTTATATTATATATAGATATATTTAATAACTATATATAATTTAAATAAATACTTAAATAATTCTTTAGAAATACTAATAGAAAAAGGACTTTATAATATAAACTATAGAGATTTAGATAAATTAAAGATATAGTATAATATATAGTATAACTATAATAAATTTATTAAAAACTAGGAATTAATAATAATAAATAAAAAATAGCTATATTTAAATAAGGATTTAAATTAGAAACCTAATATAAAATTATTAAAATAGAACTATATAATGATTTTAAATAAATAGTTAAAATAGTAGTATATATTAATAATTAACTCTATAACCTATGAAATATATAATAAGAAAAAAGCACTTTCTAGAAAGAAAATTAATATAAAGGATTAAATAAATATAATAATTATAGTACTATATCTATAGAATTAGATACTACTAAAAAATAACCTTATAATATAAAAAAGAATTAAAGATATAGAGATAAAAAGTTATATTTCTACTATAAGAAATCTAGATATATTATAAAAGACTATAGAAAGAAATAAGGAAATACTAAGAAATACCTTAATACTACTACTATATCTAAGACTAGTAGCTATAAGAAGAAGTAAAGTAGAGAAGGCTACTAAGACTTATAAAATATTAAATAATACCTTAGGGTAATAAGGAAAACTACCTATCTATAGCTACTAGAGGGAAAACTTAATAATATATATAAATAAGTACCTAATATATAATAATAATAAGAATAGTAAAGATAGAATAAATAGATTAAATAAAAAAATAACTAGTATCAATATAATAAAATACTATAATAGGATAAATATATAATCTAATAATAAGCCTAAATTAAAGAATTAAAATACTAGAATATATAGATTTAAAAGGAGAAATTAAATTAAAATATAAAGATATATAGGAAATAAATAACTAAGAAAGTAAAATACTATAGATAATATTTAAAAATAGTTATAAACTACTATAGAAATAAAGAAAGAAATATAATAATTAAATACTTAATAAATATTAGATAATATATAAAGAGAAAGAACCATACTTTAGATATAATATAGAAAAATAAATAGAAGTTAAAAATTTTAAATATCTATATTATAATAAATATAGATAGAACTACTACTATAAATATTATACCTTTAAAGAAATATAGAAATTAGAATAAAGATTTTATTATAAAAATTATATAAAATATTTATTATATAAAGATAGTAAAGATATCTACTAAAGATACTATATAGATAAAAAATATCTAGTATATATTAATAAGTACTTAGAATAAATAGATAGAAAAAGTATTAATATAATAGATTAAGAAAATATAATACTATATAAATAATTAGAAGTCCTATATTAAAGAATAGATAAATAGATTACTATATAGTATAAAGAATATACTATATAGTTTAAAAGAAAGATAGTAATAATATTAATTAAAAATAATATAATATTTATAAAAGTAATTATAGCTCTAAAAGAGTTAAAAAGACTAAGTAATATAAATAATAAAATATTTAGACAAGGACTTAATAAATAAACTTAGTTAAAAAGAACTAAATAAGGAAATTTAGGCTTTAACTAGTATTAAAAGACTATAGAATAAAACTTATAATTAATAAACTAGGATACTAAAAAATAGATAATTTTAATAGTCTATAGGATTTAAAATAAATAGAAGTCTAGCTATAATAAAAGGAAAAAATTACTTAATAATAGTAGTTTAATTAATAAAGCTAAATATATAAGTACTAATGAATTTAAAAGCTATTAAGAACTTTATAGATCTAGAATTTATAAAGTAATTAGGGATTTATATCTAAACTAAGAAAAAACTATATAAGCTAAAAGGCTTTAATAAAAACTAAAACTAAAAAATTAATAAAGAAACTAAAAATATAAAGGTATATATTAAAGAATAGTATAAAGAATTAGAATATTTTAATATAATAAATTTAAAAAGTTATAATATAGTTTTAAAATACCCTTAATTAATAAAATATAATCTAACTATTAACTAGAGAGATAGTATATTATAATTAGATAATAAAAACTACTACTTTAACTAAAAGACTAATACCCTTATAGCCACCTATACTAGAAGAAAGAATTAAGATTAAATACTAAATAAAATACCTTAGATTAAAATAAAAATAATAAAAACTATAAATAATTAATTAATAAAGAAGTAGAAAATGGTTTACTCTATTTAATGATAAAATGGCGAGCAACTGGCTAAAAGCGGCCTGATCTGACGGCCGCATCCGGCCAAAAACTTGCCAGAATTTTGACCACGCACCTTGATAAGTACTGCACACGCACACCCCCCGGTCAGGCACCGGCCAATCAGCCTGTGGGTCCACCTCGCATCCCTACCTCACTAGGAGAGAAGCGTCAGCGTTATTCATTCACTCTCTGTCGAGCGGCTACATGCTAATTCAGCGGGCGACTGAAATCCGTTTTTGCGTCGTAGTCAAGAAATGGAGGACCTCGCACTTGGGCCCCGGGGGCCTCATTTTTTGAGTCATCTGCCCTTTCTCTCCTCGCTCGCTCCTCCTCCCTCCCTCTCTCTCTATGTAGTATGCATCCATATTCGAGCTCCCTTTTCCCCATCTAGATACCCTACGGCCGTTTGGGATAACTCCACTCCCCTCGCTTTCCAGAGAAGAGAATATGACCCCCCATCGCCGTCCAGACAGCGACGACGATGAGAGTTACTCTGATCTAAGTGAAGCCTATTTCAGCGACGCTAGCGAGAGCGAAACCGACACTTCCTCTGCCTCTGACTATGGCGCTGACGCCGCATTATACAAAGATCGCGGCGAAGAAGGTGAAATAGACAAAGAGGATGAAGACGACGAAGACGAGGACGACGCCGGACGCTGGCTCTAGAATGAGGAGGAGCAACGCCCTCTGGATTATTACATCCAGGAGGAAAACTTCGACACGTCTACCCTCCGAAAGCGGAGGTACAGCCCAAACACACAGTTGAGACTCGACTGGGTCAGAGAACACTGGGAGCGGTGAGTGTTTCATTCGTGCCGACGTTGTTGTGGTGGCCGCTGACGCCGCGCTTCTATCACGTCTTCGCAGATACTGTATATTCATGAGCAGAGACTATTAGCATGAGTACGATATCCTGTTAATATAGTCCCTAAAAGGCTTCCTTAGCTGGGTGTGCGACCAGCGTTAGGGGAAGGATGGGAGGGTAAGGCCTAGGATCAGATGCAAGAGCTCCCTAGAGACGTTCTAGAAGTGGTATATGCTCGTCTATAAGGTTAAAGCTAGTAGGAGAATAGATAATATGATTATTAGAAATGCTCAAGATATAAGATATCGCGGCCCTAAGGTATAGTGAAAGATAGCTAACTTATAAATAGATTATAAGTCTTCTAGTTAAGAAGAAAAGGCTTAGTATAGAGAAACACAAGAAGGCGACAATATATATCTAGGACCTTATAGAGCTCCTCTGAGTGCTACTAGCGACGACACATACGCAATTTCTAATCAGCTGGCTTTGTATCTAACTAATCCTCTACTGTTACCTCGCTGGGTTCACTTTGAACTATCTAATAGCGCTCTTAATACTCTGCTACCATAACCTGACCCTAATACTAGTTCTAGATTGTTACAGACCACCTGCGGCGCAGCCCCAGGATATACACTCATTGGACAACAAGATTCCGGGACGGAATAACTACACATCACGTGACCATAAGGACAGGTCCCAGATGCCAAGACCAGGGACGGGTCCCTATGGGACCGAACATGAAAGGTCCACGAAGGGACCGGGACATCAGGTCCACGATGGGACCTGAGAAGAATCAGGAGGAAGGGATTGGATATACCATATATATAAAGACACTTATTTCCTCAGGATTAAGAGTCTTATACTCGCGATTAAACCAGCTATAGTTTTACTATACTACTTAATATAAAGCACTATTCTAGTTATCTTATACTATATTTACTAAATACCCCTTTGCCCATTGACGTAGGTCAACTTTGTCTTCACTACTTATAAGGACCTTTAGCCTTCATCCGACCCAGGCACTGACTAAAGCCACACTTAGAACTGAGGGATAGTCTCACTATAGTATTCTATCTCGCCCTAGTACCGAGCCGTCTTCTACAACAACTCACTTCCAACCCAAGCTTTCCCTAAAGACCTTCGTACCTTCTGTCTTACGGCAGGTGTGAACCTCTGATCACCTTTAGGTAATCAAGGAGCGCCGTCAGCTTGTGACATAGATTTAGAGAGTAGGAGACCTTATTTGGTTATTAAGGTATGCGCCAAGTTCATAAAAAAATATTTAGACATAAAGGATAAGTACATAGACACTGCGTTATCCCTTCCTTACCCCTGGTATTACTAACTAGCTATCTATAGTAGAATCATATTTCCTATTCCTAAAATCATCTTTAATCCTACTCTTATCCTTAGCCCTTATATCTTTCTACTAGGGATATTATTCTATATCTAGGTGTTTAAGTCCCCTAGTATTTGAGGACTAGAGAGCCTCTACGATATTAGAATTCTTAAAGGCCTCTAGGAGTAAAGGCTACTACTAAAAGACCATATACTAGACTGGTTTGTCTTCTATTAGGTGGTCAAGAATAGAGATAGTACTATTACACTACTCCATACGGTGCGTCTAATAGTAGATTAGCTTCAATATCGCCTAAAAAAGGCTAGTGAGATCACTGGCTTTGAGCAGGTGGTGAAGCCCTATGTGCTTCGCAACGGTGCCATGAAGGCGTATAACGCAAGCCGTGAGTATCCATCTATCCCGCAGCCATCAAACTGTATCTAACAGGATATCACAGCCGACGTCACCGACTCCCTCCAGTGCATGATGCTCCAGTATCGCTCCATCAACACATATATCAGGCACTACCAGGACCGGAACGTCACAGTTGACGTGCTCAGCATATACCGCGAGCTCAAGCCACAGAAGGCCCTAATGGCCATACTTTGCTTAATAAGCTAATCCATCGACCCCTAGTAGCTATAGAAGCTTATAACTACACAATTATCCTCTATAAATAAGAAAAAGTATATTTAAGGACTTATTTAAGAGAGGAATTATATAAAGAAGGAACGCGATCTTCTTCTATTAGGGAAAGAGTTTATAGAACTAGATCTTTAGTATTATAAGGCTAACTATAATCTCTATAATATATAATAGAGGGTAAGGCTTCGCCTAAAGCACTAAGTAATCAAAAAGTATTAAAAGGAACAGCCTATTATTGATAGCGAGCACCAACTGTTTAGGCAGGTGGTTAATGAGGAGATTAAGAGTGCGTTAGAGAGGAACAAATATATAACGCTAAAACATATACACCTTATTGATTCCGTAATAACACTGCTGGAGACCACTTGGGAGAGGGAGATGAAGCGCCAGATAAAGGCGATATATGCGATCACAGCGTACTGCGGGGTCCTCGAAGGTTCCGCCCGTGGTCGCCGATGTGCACCACTGGCGGAGCCTGTTGAGCCCAAGGTCAGAGTTCAAACCAGCGTCAGCGCGCAGATTGTATAGCAGCCACCATTTGTCTCACCACTCAAGAGAGCGATCCAGAAGATCAATATAGCAAAGAGGCTGAAGATCTACTTTATCTACCTAGGAAATAGCGTAATCAAGGAATTCGGCGAGGTTAGCAATCTAATAAAACACTTCTAGAGGGTATATCTAGACAAGTTCAGGATAATGGCATATAAGATCTGTAATGTGCCACTAGACACGATCATAGACCTCTTATTATATATAGAGCAAGCGCATAGGACAGTGACCCAGAATACCAAATATCAAACTCTTAGTGCTAGTGCCCGAGTGGGAGGTTGATTTTGTAAGTTGGATTTTTATTATCGCGTAGACTAAAGGATTTCTACCCTTATTATTCACTTTATATATATATAGAATAGATAATATAATTTATCAACAAAGATGCTAGCCACGTGATAAACTTCTTGGTGTATTATTCTTAGTTATATTCTATCCATAGATATGTTGGCCAAACTTCTAACTAAGGTTCTGCCACAATATAAGGACTTCCTTTAGACTTAGTGTATCTTAGTTATTAGTTAATCTATATAGGGGTGGCACCCCGCCGACCTAAAGCGCCTCTGTGAAATATATAAGCGGCTTTACAACAGGTACTTCTTCTGACTGGTGATAGACTCTAGGCCACGGCGTTATTTGTCTCGCTAGTCTATTAGATATATTTCTATAGTATATCTAGCTAGGGTGTATAGAAGAGTTATGGATAATAGAATCGCCTAGGAGTGACTTTGTCTGACCAGTGGTTGGATAGGTTGCTAATACAAGTTTTGGCTCGCGCGCTGGTGCTCTATAAAGTTAAGACAAGAGTTCTATATATATAGAGAGTGTCTCTACTATAAATAGATAAAACTTATAGATCTTCTCGCTAAGTCATAGGTTTTATTACTACTAATATTAAATATAGCGCTAGATTAAGCAATAAAGTGGGCAAGATAGTAGAAGTAGAAAATAGATAAGGCTACCTGGTCGATCTTTTAGTAGGGAGCTATTATTACACACTAAGCTCTTATTTTAATATTATATAGATAGTGCTATACTATAGAGTATAAAGTACACCATTATTATTTACAATCTACCTATCCTATCCTAAGAGGGATACTAAACTAACATTAATAGTAGGATAAGCTCCCAGACTATATGGATAGAAATATCGACTCCTGAATAACTAATTTTGAAATTTCCAATCTGAGAGATGTTAGGATATGTCGGATATTGCATCACGTGACCTCATACGGCCCCCTAGTATATCCACTTATACATGGCTTATGTAGGGTTAGCCCTTTCACACATATATATATAGAGGCTCAAAATGACCTATAGACTTAGATATCATCATTATTTATCTATTTTACACCCATTTTGAGCTTCTGATTATAGCGTTCTAGGTTTTATAGCACTTTATTATTATTCCGCTATATTTCAGAGGATAGAAATAGCTTAGTAAACAAGGATGTGGATTTGTTGGAACAAGGATGGTACTCGATACATGTGTACTGTACGGCGTAGCGTAATAGCGGAGTCTGAAAAGGAAAGAGGGTTATTTGTCTCTAGCCTAAAACGCCCTACCACCTTTCACAATTAGTTTCGCTGTATTGCCGCCTAAGATAACTATATACATAATTATGGGATACCTATATAAGTTCTATTAAGATAATTAATAACCAAGGTAAACTAGAAAATCTACTAAGAGATATAGGCGATAAAGTGCCTATAGTAGTTATATTAGGAATAGTATATATATTTTATTAGTAAGGTTATACCTAGACACTAATTTCTCCAGCTACCTAGGTACTTTACTCTTTAACTTTATTATATTTATACTCCCTGCGCTTTATAGCATATTATTAAAGCTTTGGGTTACAAAACTGGACTTCTCTGCTATTATAACTACCAATATCTATACCTATATTGGGGTGATTGTTAAAGTGATAAATAAAGGACTACCGCGTGTAGTATAGTTAATAATCAGGAATAAAACCTCCCGTACGCTTTTATCTAGACTTTAGTTTATATACACGCTTATACTCTTTTAGAGTCTGATAGGCTTTATTATAAATATAGTTATTATCTTTGTGGCTTATTATTTTATATCTATCTTTATTCTCTTTAAGACTTATTGTGCTAATATCATCTATATAAGAATTAGTGTATTCTTAGCTTTAAGTTTAATATTAGAGGTATCTATCTTAAATATAACATAGGCTTTAGATAAACCTAATATTCTTATTATAATTAGCTTAGTAAAATTTATAATAAATATCATCTTAGACTTTATATTAATTTCAAGCTTTCACGTTGGTGGTGTTTACCCTATAGTGAACCTATAAG